ATTCTAGGATTATTTTGTCTGGCCTTTATGTGTTAGAAACAGGATAATGTATAAAATAGAACATTGGGCTCTTGATTGAAAATTTCACTTAGCTACAAAGCTCATTCGATTTCCAGTGTTCATTTTCCATCTGTCTCTCAGAGCTATTGTGGGGGATAAAGAAACCTTGACAGCCAGCCTGGCATCCTTGAAGGAGGGGCCAGGCCAAATGTCTATTATCACAGAAAAAGAAGCCTGCCTCTAGGACCTCTATATTCATTCTAAAAGAAGAGAGGAGCCCGAGAAAAAAGATGTGACTTAGGAGATATTTACATCAACCACTTACTATGAAGGATACCTGAATCAGCTTCATGGCATCCCAATTATGCATCGAGTTGATCTAAGGTAACATGCAGCAAGGTCATCTTAATGCTGCTGGTTTTGAATTTTGCCCTAGAATTTGGAGTGACCTGTGACTTTGGGTCTATGTAAACAGTTGGGTTGGTTCCAAGATAAAACTGGCTTCAACTGTTTACACAGCTATCCAATATTTTATGGACTTGGGTGACCCAGGGACATGGGATGGCACTGCCCCTCACCTCCCATTCTCCTTGTCATGTTATGAACCCCAAGAGGTTATTGTACTTTTATGCAGAGTGTCCAAGGAATAGTAAGGTAGTTTAGACCAATGAGAGACTTTAGAGACCAAATTTGGTTTTAACATTATTCATGTAACATTTATTGAAATACAATCACCATAGAATCACATCAAGAGAGAGCTCTCGTGCACACATTTGAAACATTCACACATACTTTCACACACAGGCCTCCTCCAGCGAAGATGATCAGCTTTCTCCAAGGGCCTGTGGACGTTCCTGGTTGCCACGGATCAGGAAGCGTGCATGTTCTTGGGGTCCCCTGCATCCCCCTGAAGCCACAGGTCCGTAGTTTGGGAGTCCTCTTGGATTCATCGCTTACGCTTGAGGCCCAGATGTCAGCGGTGTCCGGGAGGGCTTTTGCACAATTGAGACTCCTGCGCCAACTGCGACCGTACCTCGCGAAGGCTGATCTGGCCGGGGTGGTCCATGCCTTGGTCACCTCTAGATTGGACTACTGTAATGCGCTCTACGTGGGGCTGCCCTTGAAAACGGCTCGGAAATTCCAACTGGTCAAACGGGCAGCAGCCAGGATGCTAACTGGTGCTCCTTACAGAGAGAGGTCAACCCTCCTGTTCAAGGAGCTCCACTGGCTGCCGTTTATTTTCCAAGCCCAATTTAAGGTGCAGGTGCTTACCTACAAAGCCCTAAACGGTTTGGGACCATCCTACCTGCATGATCGCATCTCCGTTTATGAACCCACGCGCTCACTGCGTTCATCCGGAGAGGCCCTGCTCTTAATTCCGCCTGCATCACAGGCACGTTTGGTGGGGACGCGAGACAGGGCCTTTTCTGTGGTGCCCCCCCCGACTCTGGAACACCCTCCCAAAAGATCTTAGACAGACCCTACATTGGCAGTCTTCAGAAAGAACTTGAAGACCTGGCTGTTCCGATGTGTCTTTCCAGAATAGGAAACTCCAATAACAAGTCCCAGAAGCACTTTATTAGAATTAAGATTACTGCACACTGCACTTACCCTATAATCCTTACATATCACCTGTCACATCAGCACTTTTAATCCTGTACCCATTACTCTGGCCCGGCCCAGTTTTATAGTGTCTTGATGTGTTGTTTATTATTTAATATTGCTTTAACTGTTTTTAATTTGCTTTAGGTTTTGTATTGTTATGTTGTGTTTTGAGGCCTTGGCCTTTGTAAGCCGCATCGAGTCCTTCGGGAGATGCTAGCAGGGTACAAATAAAGTTAATATTATTATTATTATTATTATTATTATTATTATTATTATTGGACAAAATCCATTTTTCTTCTTTTTAATAAACATGCTGTTCTGTTCTTTTCAAGTTCAAGACATCCACATTCCAGGCCATATGACTTATGGGGTACTTCCTGCACACTCCTTGCCCTCCTTACACGCTCGGCCGCACACCTTATTGTTCATTGTTGTTCAGCTATGCCAGGTGTCCTCAAACTAAGGCTCGAGGGCCAGATACGGTCCTCCAAGGCCATTTACCCAGCCCTCGCTCAGGGTCAACCTAAGTCTGAAATGACATGAAAGCACACAACAACCCTATCTCATCAGCCAAAAGCAGGTCCACACTTCCCAATGAAATACTAATAAGTTTATATTTGTTAAAGTTGTTCTTCATTTTAATTATTGTATTGTTTTTAAGTGTTTTTGACCTACAAATAAGATATGTGCAGTGTGCATAGTAATTCATTCATGCTTTTTTCAAATTATAATCTGGCCCTCCAACAGTTTGAGGGACTGTAACCTGGCCCTCTGTTTAAAAAGTTTGAGGGCCCCTGAGCTATGCCTTACTGCCTCCTCGCTTCGTCTTCCAAGTCCGACCCATATCATGCTTTGCGCGAACTCCATGTTGATTCCTCTTGACATGTTTCTTCTGCTCTTCTTCATACACTCATACATTCATTCATTCATTACAGTCACAGTGGTATCTAGATGTGAAATGAATCCTTCTGGTCATTTGTCACCTGCAGTAATGTTGGCCAATTTAGTGGAGAAGGAAGGAGGGGACAATTCCTCCTCTATCTCCTTCCTCATTACTCTGGCACCCCAGCTGTCACTACAGGTTATAAGTGGCTGGCAGGATCCATGTTATATCTGAAGACTGCTATGACAGGGAGAACAGGAGGGAATAGTAAAAGAGGCCTTTTGGTTTAGTGTTGCTGGGGCATTGGGACTCCGGCTCACCTTTACAGCAGTTGGGGAGGTGGTTGCTGTGTATGGCCATCCAGGGATAGAGAAGATTCCAGATCATGGAAAAAATGGCTAGATAATTTATTTTTTACTTTCTTAGGGAAATTAGATAAATAATGTTTCCCTTGATGCTTCTGATTTGTGGTTTGCCATTTGTAGGGTTTTTTTCTCTCCCAAGAATTCTTCAGATGCCACCAGGGATGGCTATTAATTGATCCATATCGACACAAGAGAGATTAGTCAATGCCAATCCAAACTTCCCTGCATGATTCATCTGTGACTGTGGCTTCACATTCTACTCTATCACTGGATCATTCCCAAATTATTCTGCAATAAAACCTAGTCAAGAGTGTTACCAAAACTTGTGCTGGGTCATATACTGAGACAGATTCAGTTATTCTCAAAAGGTGTTTCAAGATTTGTTTGAGTGCTGATGTGGGCCAACATGACTATGTCTTTGGAAATCTTGACAGATTCCTTGGACTTCTAGGATTCTCCAAAAATCCCCTCTGCCAGATCAAGAGAGACTAGAGTACTTGATTAGGAAGTTTACAAACAAACAGTTTTATCTTTTTCACTAACATATTGACCTTAATCCCAGCTTTTTGGAGTGCTGGTTTTCTGGTGGATTTGTATAGATCACTGCTTCTTAAATTGTGGGCCCTGACCCCAAATGGGATTCTCTAAGCTCAATGTTGGAGGCCCCAAAATTTTGGCAACATCACCTAGCGACTATTTTAGACATTCACACAAATCTGTTGAGCAGTTTACAGTGGACTCTACAAAAGATGCTTCACCTGTACTTCACAAAAGGAAAATCACTCTGCTTAGCAAGCCTTGCAAATACTGGTTTGTTATCAGTAAATGTGTGATCTTCTAGCCATATTTTATATACCTATATTTCCAGGGTCACATAAAAAATTCTCAGGCAGAAAAGGGTCCTGAGTAAAAAAAAGATTTAAGAAGCACTGGCATAGATTATTGCAAAACCCTTGCCTCAGCTCTCTCACTTGGAATGGTGTTACGCTAAGTTAACTCATTAGCAAATGATCATATTTGGCCCACCCAAATCTAAAGAAAACATGCAGCATAATTGACAGCAAGATGGAGGTATTCTAATCTTAAAGTCTAACAGTTAGAAGTTGATCATAGTAAAAATAGCAACTATTCCAATATGAAGAGTAAAATGACAACAATTCAAAAGCCAGCACCAATCCCTGAATTCGTAAAACAAAGCAGCCACTGGAGTTCTCAAAGGGAGAGGACCAAAGATACAACATCTACAAGTATTGGTCAATCAAGGCTCTTCGGGCTTTCTAGTAGTCATTGGAACATTTATTTAAATAAATGTGTATTTATTATTTGCTTATTGTGAGGAAATAAACAAGGACCATATGTCACAGGTTAAGATTCCACAAATTCAGTAGTGCAGCTTGTAAATGTGCTGGGTACCACAACACACCATGCTTACAGAGATCACGTTTTACTTTTGTTACGGAGACAGAAACCACATAAACCGATATTTCTTCTTTGATCCCTGCTGTAATCTAACAGAGACTTCTTATCTTTGCATCATTCACTTAAAACTAATTATCTGAAGAACTCCCAGGTATAAACACACACACACCTTTATTTCGGAAGCAATGTTGCTTCCTGTTATTAAGTTTCAACAGTCTCATTTTTAAAAAAAATCCCTTTTGCTTTCATCATCTGACTTTAACCTATTAAGTCATAATTAAACATCATCTTGCAAAAGACACATAAATGAATATATAGGACTAATTTATTGCTATACCCCTCCTCCCCACCCACACGTACCCACAATGATTAACATATGGATGCATCAGCGTTGGAGTTCTTGACCCAACCTTTGCAAATGAAGAAGGTGGGGGGAAAAGTTTTGAGGAAAGTATACATAGGTAATGCACAAAATCTGTACAGGTTTCTTTCACCTTTTATCTACATCCCTTCAAAAAGAAATTCCAAAGTGTCATCAGTGAAAGGAAAAAGATTCAGAATATGAAAAAAAGGTGTTAAAATTCTACTATGTCACTTTTTTCCCTTTTCAATATTAAGGGTATATATATATACTCAAACTAGATTTAGAGTTAATTAGACCCAAGCTTTTGCCATCATGAACAAAGAAGTAAGCCTGTGTTTTATTGCACTAATCTTAACCACCATAGGCGGAATGCCTACAATCAAGCCGGACTACCTAGAAGCAATGCAGATTGACATCAGACTACTTCTAAATATTTTGCCAGTAAGTGGATGTTTTTCTCTTTGTTTGCACTCACTTTGTTATATGTTAAGGAAGAAAACCTTATCTTCTATTCTTCTTTTACAGAACAGAGAAGGCACATTGTACACACCAAATATTACAGGGGTAAGTAGAATATGGGTCCACCCCTATAGCCATGTGGCATAGCTTTTGATTTAAAATATGTAAGGTAAAACCTAATTAAAGTCTTAAGTACTCTAAAATCTCACTGATGCAAGTAGAAAATTAAGAATACAAATACATCTTTCCTATTGAAACCAATGAGACACTAAAGTGCTTTACTTTTATTAGATTGTATCCCCATATGCATTGGGATTTCCATATCATTTGGAAAGACAAAGATATGCAATTCATACTCAGTTCTTGCAAGAGGTCTGTCTAATCAACAAGGGTGGGTAGTTGATTTGGGATGCCTTTTATTGCATTTTCAATAACCACTCACCATAGATCAAGCATGGCAAACCCAGGCCCATGGGCCGAATGTGGCACTTTGGGGTCTCAGGTTCAGCCTGTCTGCCTTGGCCCTCCTCACAGCATGAAGATGCAGCGGCCTCCATCCCCAGACTGAGAGGAGGGCCGAGGTAGAAACATGCGGCTGGCAAGAGAAGGTGGTATCAGCTTGTCCCCTCTTCCTCCTTTTCTCTTCCTGGGCAAATAGCGGGCCGCCATCTCCCCAGACGGAGAAGAGTGCAGTGTGTGTGTGTGAGACAATGGCTTGTCCTTTCCTCTTCTCTGCAAACTTGTAGCCATCCAGGTGTTTTGGACTTTAGCTCCCAGAATTCCTAGTCATTGGACAAGCTGGGTAGGGCTTCTGGAAGTTGAAGTCCCCAAAAATTTAGATCAGTGGTTCCCAAACTTATTTGGCCTACCCCCTGGAAATCAATTTTTCTAAATCTTCTCTTCTTTCCTGTATGCTTTCACTGCCCCCTTACAGTTATTCATTGCGCCCAAATGCACCTGTGGCCATTACCGCCCCACCCCCCGGATCGCTGCAGTGCCCACCAGCGGGCGGTAATGCCCACTTTGGGAATCACTGATCTAGACTGTCGCCTCTGCCATAGACTATACTAACTAGATATGACAGAATGAATACAATTTTTGAGTTAAAATATTTACAGGGCTACAATTTTACAGCTTGAGTTAAAGCAATGTTGTTGTTTTTTTTTTCTTATTCTCATGTTTGAAGATGTTTTCTCCCCACAATATTGCATGCCTATCTCATTCTCCTTACTCTGAGTAAAACCAATGTAACTTTACTACTAGGGCTTTTCTTTCCCACTTGTTTATGTTATGGGAAATGTGCATAATACATGACAAACATGACACAAAGAGAGAAATGTAATTGGCAGAACTGTGCACAGCATGTCATCAAAGAATCAGAGTAGAAAAAGATATGAACAGCATTGATGGAAATTGTCAGCTACCACATGGTTTCTTTTAAAGGATCTGCTCTGAACTGTGATTGTTGCTTGATATATTGTGCTTATATAATACGGCAAACCCTCCACATTTCCTGGGGTTAGGTGCGCAGAACCACTTTGAAAGTGGAAAACCATGAATAAAGAAATTGCTATTTTTTTTTACCAGAGAGAACATTTCTCTAGAAATCTCTTAAGTCTTCCAAAATTGAACTATGTCAACTTTTGCTGGAAACTGAACACAGAATTGCACTGAATGAATTTTATACTCTGGAGAGGTGTTCTTTTAAGGAATCTCTAAATCTTCCAGCGTAACATGGGGGAGTTGACCATACAGTTCCACAGGAAGACCTAGAGAATCATAGAGATTTTTTTAAAATCCACAAATAATCTGCAAAATTCAAAATTGCAAAAGTGGAAGGACAAATGTATTACTAGGAGCTATCCCTAGGTTTCTCCTGTAATTTCAGGTTCAGGGATGCTATTGACCTCTATAAATCTCTCACTTTTTTCTATCAGGCATTTGGCAATGGAATTTTTTCACAGTGCATTAAATCCTAGAAGGGTACATTATGGAGACATCAAAAATGTCATTTTTAGAAGTCAGTATTTTCAGATGTATTTAATCCTGATTCTAGGACTAAGCCTTTACATCAGGAGAGTGGAATGTCTTCCAAGGCTGTATTTAAGGGTATGCCAACACACTAGAGACAAACACTTTTCTCTTTTCCATTTTTTGCCCCACTGCCCAGTTGTTTGATGAAGAAAAAGTCACTTTTGCCAGAGGCCTTTGCTTCACAATCAAGAATCTATGATTTACTGCACTGGGAACCATTCTATGAATTTAAATGTGAAGTGGTTTCCATGTGCTGCTTTCGGAAAGTGTGCGCTTCCAAAGCGGTTTGTGACATGATGTTGAAGTATGTCACGCTGGGTTAAAATTAGGTACCTAGGCTAATCTAGTCTTAAATATACCATTGTGAGTCTTTCCAGAAGCTCTTTATGGTATTTTACACCATAGCAACATTTTCAATATTGTCATTACTTTTAGTGACTGTATTCTTTTCAATCAAGCCATGAAAATCAATCTTGTACCATCTTTCCCAATTATGATTTTTTTCCTTGCTTATTTAAGATAAAATGTGCAAGGCCAGCCATGGAATGTTTTATGCGTGAAATTGACATTCTAGAGGAAGAAAATGAAAACAGAAACATTACGAATACAATACAAAATATCAAGAGAAATCTTCAAGCTGGTTGGGTAAGGACTAACAAAGGATTCTTTTTTCTAAATTGAAACATATGTGAGATATATTATACCATATATACCCGACTATAAGCCGGGTTTTTCAGCCCTTTTTTAGGCTAAAAAAGTCCCCCTCGGCTTATGCTTGAGTGCGGGTCGTGACAGGAAGGTGTGGAGTTGAAAGACGTTTTCAGCCCCATGCCTTCCCACCAGGACTCTCACTTTTTGGCACAGCTGTGCCAAAAGGGGAGGAGTGGGCGCACGCCTTCTTCTCCTCCCACCTCAGCCCTCCTCTCCCAAATCCCACTTCCTCCCTTCCCACCTCAGTTTCCCCCCACTTTTCCAGCACCCATCTTTCCTTTTTTTCCTTTCCTCCTTCCTACCAGTCTTTACTATCCCCAGCCACCCTCTCCACTTTCCATCCCAGCCTGCTTTCTAGGTTCCACCCTCTTTCCATTAGTCTTGCCTCCTTTCCCATTTCAGTTTTCCACTTTCCCAGCCCCCTTTCCCACCTCGATCTTTCCCACTTCTCCACGTGCCTCTTCCCACTCCAATCTTTCCACCTCCCCCTCCCCTTTGAACCTCAGTCTTGTTCATTCTGGAATCTTCCTTTCCCCATCCCAATCTTTTCCAGCTGTCCCCCTTTCCCACACCAGTTTCCCCAGCTTTTCCCAATCGTACCCCCCTTCACACTCGAGACTGGGGTCTTTCCCACTTTTCTAGCCCACTTTCCATCCTAACTTTTCCCAGTTTCCATCTCCCCCTTTCACACCTGTCATTTCCTTCCCCAGTTGCCCCCTCCCCACCCTAAACTGTCCTAATTTTCCAGCTACCCCCTTTCCACCTAATTTTCCCACTTTTTCAACCACCCTTTCCCATTCCAACCTTTTCATGTTTCCAGTCCTTCCTGTGCCAGTGTTTCCCACTTTTCCTTATTCATATACACACAGCATTTTCCCCAAAATATATAGTTAAAATAAACTATGGTGATTATTGGAAGGATACATAAGTACATTTACATTGAAGGTTAGAATGATTTAATCAGAGTTGGACAGTCTTATCTTAAATTACAATTTTATAAAAATATAAAAACATTTAACATGATGTCTCAATTAATGTAATTTTATTGTTATCAATTTTTATTTTAAAATGTATAAGTAGCTGCTGCTTTACCCACCCTCGGCTTATAATCAAGTCAGTAAGTTTTCCCAGGGATTTTTTGTGTGGCAAAATTAGGTGCCTCGGCTTATATTTGTGTCAGCTTATACTTGGGTATATACGGTATATCACAAATAGGAATCCTTCAGACTAGATCCCACTTTGTCTGTCTCATTTAATCAAAATCATTTAAAGTCTGAACAGATAACAATGTCGCAGAAATAGCTAACACAGGCAGTACAAAAATGTTTTCTATATTTGTTCTAAAAAAAACCTCACGAAGCCACTAAGATAAATGGTAAATCTAAATATACTATCATTTTGTATAAAGATATTCTCCCCTGAAACTGAAGGAAAGTGAAACTTAGAAATATCATAGCTTCAGGGCCATTATGTTGAACTAGCTCTTATTGTATTGGTCTGGTCTTGAGCGCCTGAACTGTCCTTAAGTGTTTGCTCCTCGTGTTTCATTGTGTATGCAACATCTGATGATGAGCATAATATAAATTTGATTGGGTAGGCTGCTTGTAACACAGGCATTACAGAGATTGATGTGATCTATAGACAATCTATTGGGGATATAAATCGTATTTGAGATTATGGTGTGGCCTTCTTCTGAAAAACAGAAGATTAACTGTAAGTTTTATAAATCTTTTTACTGCAGAAACAAGTTGCAAAAAGAGATGCAAAAGAAGACGAAATATGTCCGTTGTGTGAATCATATGAAGAACAAAACTACACTGATTTTTTAAATCGCTTGATTGCATTGGTACAATTTGTTTTGCGCACTGGATTTGAAAAACACTAGATACTGATTTCTAGCATCACTTGTCTAATTATTATATTGCTTATCCAACATAGAGGGTCGGCAGAACGTTGGATAAGCAAAAATGAGGGATTAAGGAAAAGCCTATTAAACGTCAAATTATGTTTTGATTTTACAAATTAGACACAAAAACATGTTTTACAACAAATTGACAGAAAAAGCAGTTCAATACACGGCAACGTTCATGTAGTAATTAGTACTGTATTTACGAATTTAGCACCAAAACATTGCAATGTACTGAAACAGCTGTGGATCTGGACGGGAGGCAGACTGTTGGATAATGCAGAATGTTGGATGAGTGAAGGTTGGATAAGTGAGACTCTACTGTATTTAAATATAAATCCCCTTTTAAACAAATTTAAAATGGTTTTATAGACTCACATTTATGTTTTCAGTTAGCTGAGGAGGCTACGGGTGGAATTTGGGTGGGACTGTGTTTTAAAATGCATTTTATTTGTATTTATTATGTTTTAATTGTATTTTTAACCAACACACAATCTATTTAATTTTTTAAAATTTTATATTCACTTTGTTTTAAATTGATCAAAATGTGTGATTGTTAGCTGCCTTGAGTCTCCTCAGGGAGAAAGGCAGGATATAAAGTAAATAAAACAAATACATAACATGGAAAAGGAACAGTTTATTTTAATTTGTAATTAATTTCATAGTAAGTTTATACCTTGCTAAGTTTATTAGGCCATAAGCATTCCAGCCTACACATTGATTATTCAACTACTTTGGTCAAGAGATTATACTTAACTGGCAAGAAAAAAAGAGGTGTACAAACCATAGTAGAGCAGCGATCAGAAAGACATACTTCACACAAACCCAAAATGTTGTTAGGAACAGTGGGACTTTTACTTACCATGTATACCTGTCAACCTCATGTATAAGTTAAAGGGAAGGTTTTGTGTTGTAGAAGCCAGGATTGGTGATAAAGCTTCAGCCGTGACACAATTTCCCCTTGATAACTCTTCTAGGAGTGGATTTCCCTTCCTAGAGATAAGATTTTTCTCACTTCTGGTTGTCTCACCTCCATTCTTAACTATGAGTTCTTTGTAAGTCGGATGTTTGTAACTCGGGGATTGCCTATACTGGTGTTTTGGCCAGCGCCAAACACGGAATAACCATCAGTAGTTCTGTGTGCTGTGGTTGCCACTACAATGGGGGACAGGATTGTGAGGGAAAGTGCAATTCCTTGTCTGGGCCACCCAAGCCCGGAAAAGAGGAGTGGTCATGTAAACAGCAGCAGCCAGTTCCAATTCAGAATTGGAGAAACTGTTTGCACATCCCAAAAGTGTGGGTGAGCTTTGGAGCTTCAGGGAAGCTCTGTGGCATCTCCCAACTTTGGGTAACATAAGTGACCTTACTGGGTATTAGGGCAAAACACTTCCTTGCATCATGTGGACACCACAGAGTCTATTCACCCCCCACCCCACTACATTTGGTCTGTGCATTTGGGCCCTTAAACAGCAGAATTCGATCATGAAAGAGTGAAGGAAACACTGATTTATGCCAGAAGTTATTGTTACATTATTATACTTGTAATATGGCTGACCAATCAGAAAATGATGCTTCACTTTTCCCATCACATTTGTACACAATCTTGAAAAATACACACAGCGCAGAATAGATGACAAATCCCCAATAATACTGCAAAATGCAAACATTTTGAACACAAAGGTAACATTTCAGCATTCTCTTTGATACAAAATGAAAGATATGCTGGTATAATCATCAGTTTATCAGTTATGCTTTGATATTTGCCAGTGTGTGGGTGAGGAATGAAGATGAACTCCTATACAATGAATAAGAGCAGTATTTTTCTTTTCTAGTAAGAGGCAAGCAGAAGGCCAATTTAAAAGCCCGCTGGCTTTTTACAGAGTAGCTGTTATTTATTAAAACATTCAAATCCCACCACTCCTTATCCAAGTGTGGCTTGCTTATGATAATCGAGTGGATTTCTATGACTGAATGGGGATTCAAACAGTAGTCTCAGAAGTCATAGTCCAACACCCAAACTACTGCATTATACTGGCTCCTCTTCTACCCTGTCCTATGTATTATTTCAATTGTAGGCAGTTTGCATGGCTCCCATGAAGAACATGTAGTGGTGAAATGCAGACACTATTTGTAAGAAGGGAAAAAGAACATAAATAAGTATTGCCAGTGGGTGGAGTTCCATCTTATAAATGGGATTTTCAGTGGCCTCTATGCATGACTTATTTGGGAGCCACCACTTGTATGAACTAGCAAAAATGAAGTAAAGATCTTTGGAGTCATGGATAGTACAACCGAGGTGGTTTTTGTTAGTTGAACTGTATGTGGCAAAGCTTTGTGGCAATTGTATTGCATGTTGGTCATTCTTCTTTGGACATGTTCTAGCTTGTCAATTATCCTTCTTGAATTGTGGTGACCAGAACTCGGCACAGTATTAATCCAGCTGACCAACATAAAGTGAGGTTGTACTATGACTTACTTTCCACGATCTAACTATACTTCCATTGGTGCAACCTAGAATTGCATTGGCATTTTAGCTGGTACATCGCTGTCATGGCCAAAACACAAAATGGACTAAATTAAGACTGTAATTGATCATAAAGAGTGATATCTCGGCCAACTTATAAATGCCCCAAGAAAGGAATTTCCAGTCAAAAGGATTTTAAGACAGAAGTTGCTTATACTACCAGATGGAGGCCCTAGCAAACAACTTGTTCTGCTCTGACTGTCAACAAAGAAACTTCATTAGCTCCGAGTAGAAAGATTTGTTTCACTTTTGAGGGGAAGGGGCATCTGAAAGGAGGACAGCAATATGGGTGTCATTAAGCTGGACCTGTATTTCATTTCTTATCTCATTTAAAGTGTTATGTCTGTGTTAGCACTACCTCAGAGGCATCTGGCTGTAACACTCCCACTGCATGGCAACGATCTCTGGGAATGATACAGCTGGTGATTGAGGCTTATCACTTGCTCTGTTTTGGACACCCTTGTGATATTGAAAAAAAAATCAAACTCATTCTTGTATTTATTAAAAGTATGCTACACAAATAAACTTGAAAAAGGAGAAATTATATTCTTAAATATTCTGTGATTACAAAACATCCACTCATTATGTCAATTTACATCTAAACCCTAAACAAAAGGTTTCTTTTACAAAAAATCAAATCACAAATTAAACAGGATGTCTTGATATAATTTCCAAGTTGCTGTTGTACATAGAAACATTAAAATAATACTTGGCTTGAAAGGTATGCAAACTGCAAAATTGTTTCCATAATGTGCATTCAACAGATCATATAACTGGTTCAGGATGTGTTTGTGGTACTTTTCTCCAGAAAAGTATAAATTCAGCAATTCTAATTCAAGTGCCCACAACTGAAAAAGCATACAGCCCACAAAGTTTCAAGATGATTAACAAGGAGAATTGTGGCTTTCTAAGGCAGACTAGGGCTCAATCTTCCAAAAAGCAAATCTATGACATAATAGGTTCTTGTGGGTTTTTTCGGGCTATAGAGCCATGTTCTAGAGGCATTTCTCCTGACGTTTCGCCTGCATCTATGGCAAGCATCCTCAGAGGTAGTGAGGTCTGTTGGAATTAGGACAATGGGTTTATATATCTGTGGAATGGCTGGGGTGGGGCAAGGAGCTCTTCCCTGCTGCAGTTAGGGGTGAATGTTTAGCTGATCACCTTCATTAGCATTTGAAGGCCTGCCTGAGCCTGGGAAAATCTGTTGCTGGGAGGTGTTAATCTGTGCCTGGTTTTTCCTCTCTGTTGTTTAGCTGTTATAATTTTAGAGTTTTTTAATACTGGTAGCCAGATTTTGTTCATTTTCATGGTCTCTTCCTGTCTGTTGAAATTGTCCACATGCTTGTGGATTTCAATTTCAACAGAAAGGAAGAAACCATGAAAATGAATAAATCTGGCTACCAGTATTAAAAAACTCTAAAATTATAACAGCTAAACAAAAGAGAGGAAAAAACCAGGCACAGATTAACACCTCCCAGCAACAGATTTTCCCAGGCTCAGGCAGGCCTTCAAATGCTAATGAAGGTGATCAGCTAAACATTCACACCTAACTGCAGCAGGGAAGAGCTCTTTGCCCCACCCCAGCCATTCCACAGATATATAAACCCATTGTCCTAATTCCAACAGACCTCACTACCTCTGAGGATGCTTGCCATAGATGCAGGCGAAACGTCAGGAGAGAATGCCTCTAGAACATGGCCCTATAGCCCGAAAAAACCCACAAGAACCTAGTGATTCCAGCCATGAAAGCCTTCGACAATACATTATGACATAATAGTTTGCCTTGCCATTACATGATACAGTACCAACCATAGTACAATTACCAATCATACAATTCCCCTCTTCATTATTCATTATGAAGCACTATAGCCAACACAGCATATAAACTGTTTACTACAAAACATGAATTACTTTCTAGTGCCAGTTAGTTTTTCAGTAACAAAAGTCTCAGGAATAAAAAACAGCCTGCATATTTTAACAAGGAAGGTTATTTATTTAAGGCAATGTTTAAGCACAGTTTTTGCACCTAATCGTTGACACTACTCAACACCAATTAACATGTAAAATATCTATTCAGAGAAAGAAACCATTTCAATAGATGGCAGAACTGTTGTATCAATCCTTACATATTGAAATGTTCAATACGTGGAGATTTCACAATCCAAGACCCATAACCATGCTGCTCCAGATAGGTTTTCAGCAATTGTTTTGCTTCATGGTAAGGTTCAGTCATATTCTAAAAGTTTAAAAATTAGAATTAGTAATGTAACCTGATGAGACTAGCATAAAGATATCCTTGGAGAATACACATCAAATAAGAATTTCTTCTTAGAGAAATACTTTCAAAGTAAAACGTACAAAAGCCGTATCACACTTTTAATTTAGAAAACCTGAACATGTGTTATTGGAAAATATGAATACAAATATTGGTTTTTAGATTAGATTTTAAAATTTGTTGAAGTTTGAAGTGTATAACCCCTTGAGTTTGATGTGAATGTACAGGACTGGGTCCCCATGTTGTGATCTGGTCATCGACTGTAATAAACTTTACTTACTTACTTACTAGAATACAAATACAAATAACAATAATAAACTTTATTTATATTCCGCCCTATCTCCCCGGAGGGAAGTTATCTATTTATGGCCTAATAAATTTGACCAAAGTATTTGTACATTCCCCTTTTAATTATTCCTAGAGGGCATTTACAAAAAGATTTAATTTAAACTTAAGTCATGAAAAATAATAAAATCATTGAGAAAAAGGCAAAAGCGATACAACTCCATTTAAAAAAAATTTTTTTTAAAATGTGGTATGCGCTTGGCACCAGAGCATAGTAAGTCAAGTGCCAGGCATATGTCTCTGGAGAGGGTTCCCCAAGTGAGGCATCAACACTGAGAAGGTTCTCTCTGGCAGCCTCCTGCCTTGTTTAAGATGAGGCTACTGCAGGAAGTCAAACCCAGAATAGCTGATAAAAGTATTAAGCAGCAGGTAATAAAAGGTGTAATATAATCATAATGCCCAGACATGTATGCAGCTAAGGCAGATTGATGGAAACAATAAATTGCAAACTAAAATCTGTTTGGAAACTGCAAAAGAAGCTTCATATGTATCACAATGATCAAACCTTGAGATTACTACTGTGTAGTCAAGCTGTAATTAGAATCACACCGTCCCAAGAAATCCTTATCGGATGTGTATTCGGACTAAAATATTGGACATGATATCAACAGGTTGTTGTGGGGTTTTTTGGGCTATATGGTCATGTTCTAATTTTTAGTAGATTATATACAAGTATCTTCTTCCTTATCTAAGGAAGAAGATACTTGAGTATAATCTGGTAAAAATGCCAGATACAGTATAATACCTTTTTTATTTTTGACTATATGATGATAATCTAAATATACACCACAAGCAATCTTGATAGTAGTTAAGATTCATTTCCAAAATTTAGAAAAGCACAATGCCAATCCACTTCTGAAATCACAGTGAATGTAAATCTGAAGTAAAGCTTAGCAAGTTTCACCAGCAAATCTTACCTTTGCTTCGTGGTATGATCCTGCCTTAAGTAAATCATCTCTCTTTGATTCTTTCACCAATAAGTTGAAACGACTTAGCATTGCAGCTTTGCAAAGACGACTTGCCATTGAAGCACCACTTTTGAAGGGTGAACTAAAGATAAAAAAGTAGTGTTTATAATGAGCATATTTTAAGGACACTTATTACAGATTATGAGATTTTTTTAAAAAACTAGCTGAAGATAGGAGAATTGGATTTTTTTCAAACAGTGGTAGCTATATCCACTCTCAAGAGGAGTATGAAAAGGAATCTTGTAACACCTTAAAGCTCCAGCAAAGGATCACCGCCTTGTCGGGGCGCTGGAGCTTGAGCACCTCAATGATGTCATGAGCGAAACCGTGAAGGGACACCCAAGACGGGACGGTTGTGGCAGAGAGGTCAGACCAAGCGTGATCCCTGGGGAAGGCAATGGCAAACCACTCCAGTATCCTTGACAAGAAAACTAAATGGACCAGTACAACCAGAGATATGTCGGTATGCCATTGGAAGATGGGACTCCCAGGTCGGAAGATGGCCAAAATGCTACTGGGGAGGAGCAGAGGATAAGTTCAACTAGCCCCAGATGGGATGACGCAGCTAGCTCAAAGCCGAAAGGAAGGCTAGCGGCCGACGGTACTGGAGGTGAACGACGAATCCGATGCTCTAAAGATCAACACACCATAGGAACCTGGAATGTAAGATCTATGAGCCAGGGCAAATTGGATGTTGTTATTGGTGAGATGTCAAGACTAAAGATAGACATTCTGGGGGTCAGCGAACGGAAATGGACTGGAATGGGCCACTTCACATCAGATGACCACCAGATCTACTACTGCGGACAAGAGGAACATCGAAGAAATGGAGTAGCCTTCATAATTAATAAGAAATTAGCTAAAGCGGTGCTTGGATACAACCCAAAAAATGACAGAATGATCTCAATTCGAGTGCAAGGAAAGCCTTTCAACATTACAGTGATCCAAAGATACGCCCCAACCACAGCTGCTGAAGAAGCAGAAGTAGATCAGTTCTATGAGGATCTGCAGGACCTACTGGATAATACACCAAAAGAGACATTATTTTCATTACAGGAGACTGGAATGCCAAGGTGGGAAGTCAAATGACAACAGGGATCACAGGCAAGCATGGTCTGGGAGAACAAAATGAAGCGGGACGCAGGCTGATAGAATTTTGCCAGGAAAACTCGCTGTGTATAATGAATACTCTCTTCCAACAACCTAAAAGACGGCTTTATACATGGACCTCAACAGATGGTCAACACCGAAATCAGATTGACTACATCCTTTGCAGCCAAAGGTGGCGGACATCCATCCAGTCGGTGAAAACAAGACCTGGGGCTGACTGTAGCTCAGATCACGAACTTCTTATTGCCAATTTAGAATAAAACTAAAGAGATCAGGGAAAATACACAGACCAGTTAGATATGATCTCACTAACATTCCTAGCGAATACACAGTGGAAGTGAAGAACAGATTTGAAGGACTAGATTTAGTAAACAGAGTCCCAGAAGAACTATGGACAGAAGTCCGCGACATTGTTCAGGAGGCGGCAACAAAGTACGTCCCAAAGAAAAAGAAAACCAAGAAGGCAAAATGGTTGTCTGCTGAGACACTGGAAGTAGCCCAAGAAAGGAGGAAAGCAAAAGGAAACAGTGAAAAGGGGAGATATGCCCAGTTAAATGCGCAATTCCAGAGGTTAGCCAGAAGAGATAAGGAACTATTTTTAAATAAGCAATGCATGGAAGGGGAGGAAGACAACAGAATAGGAAGGACAAGAGACCTCTTCCAGAAAATTAGAAACATTGGAGGTAAATTTCAGGCAAAAATTGGTATGATAAGAAACAAAGATGGCAGGGACCTAACAGAGGCTGAAGAGATCAAGAGAAGGTGGCGAGACTATACAAAAGATCTGTATAGGAAGGATAATAATATTGAGGATAGTTTTGACGGTGTGGTGAGTGAATTAGAACCAGACATCCTGAGGAGTGAGGTTGAATGGGCCTTAAGAAGCATTGCTAACAACAAGGCAGCAGGAGACGACGGGATCCCAGAATGAACTGTTTAAAATCTTAAAAGATGATGCTGTCAAGGTGATGCATGCCATTTGCCAGCAAATATGGAAAACACAAGAATGGCCATCAGACTGGAAAAAATCAACTTATATCCCCATACCAAAAAAGGGAAATGCGAAAGACTGCTCAAACTTCCGTACAGTGGCCCTTATTTCACATGCCAGTAAGGTAATGCTCAAGATCCTGCAAGGAAGACTCCAGCAATACATGGAGCGAGAGTTGCCAGATGTTGAAGCTGGGTTTAGAAAAGGCAGAGGAACGAGAGACCAGATTGCCAATATCCGCTGGATAATGGAGAAAGGCAGGGAGTTTCAGAAAAACATCTACTTCTGCTTCATTGACTATTCTAAAGCCTTTGACTGTGTGGATCATAATACATTGTGGCAAGTTCTTGGTGGGATGGGCATCCCAAGCCACCTTGTCTCTCTCCTGAGGAATCTGTACAAGGACCAAGTAGCAACAGTCAGAACTGACCACGGAACAACAGACTGGTTCAAGATTGGGAAAGGCGTACGGCAAGGCTGCATACTCACCCAACCTTTTTAACTTGTATGCAGAACACATCATGCGATGTGCGGGGCTGGATGAATGCAAAGCTGGGGTGAAAATTGCTGGAAGAAACATTAACAACCTCAGATATGCAGATGACACCACTCTGATGGCCGAAAGCGAGGAGGAGCTGAGGAGCCTTCTAATCAAGGTGCAAGAAGAAAGCGCAAAAGCCGGGTTGCAGCTAAACGTCAAAAAAACCAAGATTATGGCAACAAGAATGATTGACAACTGGAAAATAGAGGGAGAAACCATGGAGGCCGTGACAGACTTTGTATTTCTAGGTGCAAAGATTACTGCAGATGCAGACTGTAGCCAGGAAATCAGAAGACGCTTACTTCTTGGGAGGAGAGCAATGTCCAGTCTCGATAAAATAGTGAAGAGTAGAGACATCAGACTGGCAACAAAGATCCGCCTAGTCAAAGCCATGGTATTACCTGTAGTAACCTACGGATGTGAGAGCTGGACCTTAGGGAAGGCTGAGCGAAGGAAGATCGATGCTTTTGAGCTGTGGTGTTGGAGGAAAGTTCTGAGAGTGCCTTGGACTGCGAGAAGATCCAACCAGTCCATCCTCCAGGAAATAAAGCCCGACTGCTCACTGGAGGGAAGGATACTAGAGACAAAGTTGAAGTACTTTGGCCACCTCATGAGGAGACAGGAAAGCCTAGAGAAGACAATTATGCTGGGGAAAGTGGAAGGCAAAAGGAAGAGGGGCCGACCAAGGGCAAGATGGATGGATGGCATCCTTGAAGTGACTGGACTGACCTTGAGGGAGCATGGGGGTGGTAACGGCCGACAGGGAGCTCTGGCGTAGGCTGGTCCATGAGGTCACGAAGAGTCGGAGACGACTGAACGAATGAACAACAACAAACACCTTAAAGACTGAAAAAGCTTCATAGATTAGTTCTACTTCCTCAGATGCTAAAAGCATGGGTGTCACCTAATTCTCTGAGTTAGTGTCTAAGGTCCTACAAGTTCTTTTTTAATACTGATATTCCAGGCTAACACTGCGATGTCTTTGAATTATAAAGTTATTATAAATTTAATAAGTCTGTATTTCAAGAGAAAATTGATTGGGAAAGATTAAGATCACCTTTTATCAACCACATGACAATCTTCCTGGTCACTCAGACTTAAATAACAGGATTAACCAACATTCAATGTTAATGTACTCTGTTATAAACATTTACCTTTCTGTAGTCTTCCCACTTAGCCCGTCTACCACTTCCAATGATAAGTCTCCTTGGGACCAATTCAAGCTAAGAGATCTGTGCTCCAAATCAATTTGTACAGGAAAAGCAGTAGGTACCAAACTAATGTGAGGGCTATTCACCAAGTAGAACATGGGAAGTTTTGAAGTTAACGCATCGTCTACACGTTGTTTGATAGCTATTTCTAACCCTCGTATATCCTTGCAGTTCCCATCTCCTGAAAAACAATGAGTTACACATACTGAAACAAGGTAATCAAAAAGGATATTTAAGATTCTAATTGTGTGTTTCAGAAGAACGATGTTGGCTGCAAATCTTAACATTTATTCCCACAAAACACTAAGGTTATTAGATATACCTTACTAGCATTGACTAAATGAATTAGAAGGGTGTTCACTTACCAACTAGGATCGCACTAATATAAACTGGTTGAATAAAGTGACTCAGCAAAGCTCCCTGAAGACCCAGCACTTCCCATCTTGTTAATTTATCACTGGCAGACATACTGCTTACTCTGGCAATTTCAGCAGGACAGTAGATTGTGAGATAAATCTTGCCTTCAACAGCAACATGAAGACATAAATCTTCAGCAGCTTCAGATGCAAATGCAGAATTAGGACTGAGACGTCTACAAAAGGTACGGTACAATCTTTAAAGACATAACAGCTCATATAATTATAGTAAACATAAAATATATCTTCAAAGAGGATTGATTCATGCTAATTGCTATAACAAATGTATATTTATTGACAATTTCGACAATAGAAGTAGAAAATGCATTGAACTCAAAGTTTCTGCAACAAAGGATATAGGTTAAAAAGTGAGATTAGACTTACAGTGAAGGTACATTCTGGGATGGCTGGAAATATAATCCACTTCCGTTGGCTTCTTCCCTGTTCCAATCATGATACAGCTGGACTAAGTTCCATTTTAATTAAAAACATTAACCCCTTTTCCCCTTTGTTTCCCAGTATTGCGTGTAGTCCCACCTTATCCTCGAACTAAATTATATAACAAATTCTGTCATCTAACTTCAAAACCACCCGCTAAAAATAAACTATCTACTAACTTAATATCAACCAGATTTTTTAAACTGTGGGTGTGAATTATACCTCCATCCATCCCAGAATGCATCTTCATGATAAATCTAATACGACATTCTTGGGATGGCATGAATCCACTTGTTAGGTTTTCCTCATGTCCCAATGTCAGGATATTTTGTGTTGTTTTTCTACTCCAACCCAAATTGCAAAATCATCCCTTCCAAATGCTGCAGTTGCTGACCTGAAGTTACTGATCTTTTAAAGCCTCACAAGCATTGCTGCAACCTTCAAACCAAAGAATTGGGTAACTGCATATGCTGCCGCCATTGGCTTTGTTGAAAACAACTATGCATTTATTGGTCAAGCCTTCTTAACCAAATCATAAAACAAATATATATATATATAAGCTTTTGTCAATCTAGCTAACACTTTCTGATCTATTGCCCTAGGATTACAAGCAATGAATATTGATTTTGCCTTCCTAATTATATTCATATTTCTATAGCTCTCCTAATATCCAGTGTGTGTCAAACTCTACAGCAGTGTTTCTCAACCTTCCTAATGCCATGACCCCTTAATACAGCCTCATCTTGTGGTGACCCCCAACCATAAAATTATTTTTGTTGCTACTGCATAACTGTAATTTCATTAATGTTATGAATTGTAATGTAAATATCTGATATGCAGGATGTATTTTCATTCATTGGACTAAATTTGGCACAAATACCCGATACACCCAAATTTGAATAGTGATGGGGTTGGGGGAAATTGATTTTGTCACTTCAGAGTTGTAGTTGCTGCGATTTACAGTTAACCGACAATCAAAGAGTATTCTGAACTTCTGGAACTGAACCAAACTTGGCACACAGAAGTCCCATGGCCAACAGAAAATACTGGAAGGGTTTGGTGAACACTGACCTTTAGTTTTGGAGTTGCCCAGCATCACCTAAACTCAATATGCTCAAATGTGAGCACTGGTGGAGTTTGGGGAAAATACACCTTGATATTTGGAAGTTGTAGTTGCTGGGATTTATTGTTCACTTACAATCAAAGAGCATTCTGAACCCCACCAACTACAGAATTGGGCTAAACTTCCCACACAGAACTCCCATGCCTTGAAGGGACTCGCTGGTGCAAGCCACCTTCCAGCCTCACACGCTCTCTTTCACACACACATTTGCAACACGCTGCCCTGTGCCAAGCACGCCTGCCCTCCCCTCCCTTTTTGGAGTCTCAGAAACAGTCCTCCCCTTGATTGAGAGGCTAGCCATTCACAGCAGAGGGCTTTTGGTGGGACGATTTGCCGTCTGTTTCCAAAAAGAAAGAGAAGAACAGGCAAAGAGATCTTTAGCCTTCCCTGTCAAAGGGGTTCCTATGACCATCAGAAATATATGTTTTCTGATGGTCTTTGGCTACCCCTCTGAAATCTCCCTCACGACCCCCCCCCCCACTGGTCCCAATCCCCAGGTTGAGAAACTCTGCTCTACAGGATGAAATATATATATATATATAATGTACAAAGCTTCCTGGTATTCTAAGGAGGTGGAGATGTTAACTTAGATGAGGCCAGTTTATCACTGGAAGTAAAATTCCTCAACTTCCCCTTCTATGCATTATCTTTGAGAGATGGCACACAGCCAACATCCCTTATTGAATGAAATTCTGAAAACATAATTTATACAAGTGTTTTAATGTTGAATTTAATTTGTATCTAATTTTTCAAATTATTATTCTTCTGGGACTGGTTTCTTAGTTATCATATAAGTAACCATGAACAGAATATGTATCTTTTAGATCAGTTTTGTCAATTTTCTGGCCCTCCAGATTTTTTTGCAATTCATTTCCCATAATGACTGTTGGACAAGCTGGCTAGGGCTTCTGGGGAGTTGGAATTCAAAGCATCTGGAGGGCCACAAGTTGGACACCTCTGTTTTAGATGTATAAAGATGTATTTTGCTGGACTTCACTTTGGAAACTCTGCTGGACAGAAAAGAGACAAACACTTTTAATAATTGAATAGGCCGTAATACCTGTTGTTAAGAATTTCAATGAATGGCAGTATTTATACTACAAAGTGATGCTGGGCAACTCCAGGTCTACAGAAGACTGCAAACTGCCCCAAGCCATGGCTCCCACCAAAGCTCCTATAAATATGACCTGGGAGGTGTCAATGTTTGGGCTATTTTAAGCAAGGCGAGGACATGTATTTAATTAGATAGTTGGCAAAAGAAAAAATGATAAGACCTGCTCCCCAGAGCATGCAGAATTATCAGGATGTTAAGGGCTTGGGGGCTTCAAGGCTGACTGGGGGGACGGGACAGGATGACCATTGTTTCCCCAAAACTGTTGTAAAGAAAATAATACATTCGTACAGATTTAGCATCAAATCATCAGCATCTTATACTTACAGTACTGATTTTATGTGAGCAGATCCTTTGGGCAGCTGGTTCATATAGAGATATATATTGATATTTGGCTTTAAGGCAAGCAGTTTTGACATTGGTTCCAGGCAAAATATGGATTTTTCCATCATTGTTGTGTTTTTACTGTAGTAGAGCAAAAGCTGTCTATAAAAATACCTTTAAAGAAAAGTTAGCCTGTTAGCGATCGATTATCTACAATGCCTTTAAGATGTACATCCAGGAAAAAAAACAACATCGTACATCAGAAATGAATGTGGATATTCTGCATTGGACAAAAATGTCCACCTGACTCTATAAGTGATGTATGTGTGTAAGACACAACCCAGTTATAGGCAGGCAATAGCTCATAACAGTAGAGCTACTTATTTCCAAGTATCCTAATAGGAATGCACAAGCTTAACTTGAGATAAGAGTTATATACTTACCTTAGAAGAGAACGCCTAGCAGTAACAACAGCATGACTGTCATGTAATATTCTTCCATCAGGCTGAATACACTTACTATAGTTAAATTCACCTGTCCCAATAGCTACCACTTCATGCTGTCTACCTAAACAAAATAAAGTTTTACATTTCAGAATTTGCCATGATTTAACTTTTGCTGCTAATACATATGATATGTACAATAGGTAAATGAAGTCCATCAAATTTTTACATTTTGAATAATCTGCCTACCTCTTTCAATTATGAAGGCAGCCAGTGAACTGCTACAACTCTGGTACTCTGGATATTTAGCAGTCAAATTGTTGAATGTTTCCTTGACAACTTCAGATATTTTCCCATAAGCAAAAAGCCGGCCCTCTAGGAAATTATTGCAAACCATTTAAGAGAAATAAAATAAAATTAGAACTACACATTTTGCAAGTATTGGAAAAATCACAAAAAAGACTATATAAATAGTAGCAGTTTTTTTCTAGGAGATGACTGGAACATGACTCCCCCATGACAGAAAGCATGCATGTAAGAAACTTATCTGTTTCAGGCAATCTCTGACCCCATCTAAGGTAAAGGTTTTCCCCTGACATTAAGTCTAGTCATGTCAGTCTCTGGGGGGTGGTGCTCATCTCCATTTCTAAGCCGAAGAGCCGGCGTTGTCCGTAGACACCTCAAGATCATGTGGCCGGCATGACTGCATGGAGCGCCGTTACCTTCCCGCCGGAGCTGTACCTATTGATCTCCTCATATATGCATGTTTTCAAACTGCTAGGTTGGCAGAAGCTGGAGCCAACAGTGGGAGCTCACACCGCTCCCCGGATTCGAACCTGTGATCTTTCGATCAGCAAGTTCAGCAGCTCAGCGATTTAACCCACTGCTCCACCGGGGGCTCCCCATCTACATCAGACCCCATCTACACTGCTATTATAATGAAGATTGAACTGCATTATGTGGCTACTGTAGACCAGTGGTTCCAACTTTTTTTGACCAGGGACCATTTTGTCCAGGGGCCGCTCTCCAACATTAGTACCAAAAGGGTGACAAATCAGTTTTTGGTTAACTTTAGATTCAGTTTGGTTTCTTGGGGTGCGGATTCAGACAACTGCATTGGATAGACCACATCAGCTCTAGCTTCGGATACAGAACATATGTCATCCAGTAGTTGCCATCTGCTCGACCACAGAAAAGCATATTTAATAATCTAGAGCCGTGGACCTTATTTTAGGTCTCGTGGCCTACAGGTTGGAAACCATTGATGTAGACTCATGTAATGCTGCTTAACGGCACTGACCTGGATTATATGAGTCTACACTAACCATATAATGCAGTTCAATTTGCATTAGAATGGCAGTGTAGATGGGGGCCTTTTAAGACATGTGAAATGGTTGGTTGCAGACATGGTAAATATCTATCAGGACAAACATACTGCTTTGGATATTAAAGTATCTCTTCACAGTTGAAAGGCAGAATGCAATGTTTTCAATAAAAACATAAATAAAGAACCCTGGTTTTTTTAAAAAAATAAATGAAACAAATCTATCAGGAGTTTCAAGGAGACACCGCTATTCTTTTATATTTATTCTGAATTCCATTTCTGGAACAAAGACAATACACAAGTGCAACAATTAGTTAATTTCTGGATACTGGCATCCCTCTTCTAATGTGAACTCCAGAAATCAGGCCTAACTTCTATTCCAGCTGCTTTCCTGTCATCAAAATATTATCAATTTAGAATGCTTAACTTGACAAACATAAAGCAGGAAGATAGAAATATTTTTTATCATGCCACATTTTAAGACTCTGTGACAATTTTACTTTTAAGCAATAATCCCAGCAAAAAAGGTTTGCAAACATGTTACTCACATTTGGTTAATCAAATACTACATTTGGGGTATCTGAATCTAAAGTTGGCACTCTCTATCAAGTCTGTTCTCTATATCTGTGTTATCTTAGCATATAGTACAATTGACTAAACTTCAGCCATATATTAAAAAGATCCAGCGTTCCTACCATAAGGATTCCGAGAAATGTGTTCAGATGGAGGATCAGTTACAACCGTAGTTTCTGAGATATTCCTGTGAGGACCTGTAAACAGAATACTCAGTTGTAAAAATAGCAAACACAGATCTAAATCCTACTGGTAGTCCTACTTGAGTAAATCAGTTGAATTGCTGGTATTCACACAGGTTCGTCCATCATTCAGCAATCAATTCAATGCATTTTAGCTGGGATGACAAAAAAGATTCAGGTCATGGTGGCTTTTCCTTTTTCTGCATTACAGCACTGAAAATTATTTGTACGTACCCCACCAAAAATGATGCCCCCTTTTCTCATTCAGCACAAGTAGTTCAAGCACCATACACAGCAATTATTTATCAGATCATAAAAATGTTCTTCTAGAGTATCATCCACAAAGAATTCACAATAAATGATGTAGGATCTGTAACATGCCTAGACCATATTGCACAGAAACAGTAGACTACAAAAACAGCAATTAGTAAGATGCAAATATTTACTATTTTTCCTGGGGAAAGTGACAAAAATCCCACCTTTTCATTTTTATTTCTCTCAAGCACTAAAACCCCAACATTAGCAAAAGATTAGTATGTACTGAACAGGTTCTCGCACACTAATCTCCAACTCTGGAATATGCATGATTGGTGTTTTAAAAAGTTTACCTGGGTTTTCTATAGCTTTTGGTTCTCCCTCCTCCAGCTGCAGCAGTTCATCAAGGGCAAGTTTTGCAGCATTTGATTTAGATTCCTTCTTGTTTTGTCCCAATCCAGTCTTGTATGTAATACCATCAACCACAGCACAAAAAGCAAAGTAAGCTCCCATGAGATTCCCTTCAAAATATGCAGAGTAGGGATTTATTGCATTTAGCTTCGTTTAAATCTATACAAGAGCTTAAAATTGTTGCAATCATTTTTAAAGGGTCTGTCTATACGGACCATTTAAAGCAGCTCCAAGCCAACTCAAAACTGCTATGGCCTATGTGCAAAATAACATGCATTAAAAGGGGATACAGTAATAATAACTATTATTATTATTATTAATAATAATAATAATAATAATTTATAGACTGCCACATCTCCCCAGAGGGACTCAGGGTGGTTTCCGACACATATGGCAAACAGATTACATCAAAACATGACACATCACAGAAAACAGAACACCCATTACTACTATAAACTCAATACCAAATAAAAATTAACCAAAATGCAAATTAAAAAGTTGCAGGAAGGTCAAAAACAAGCCCTATAGTGCCTGTGCACACTACAGCATGCACTAAAGGGGATACAGCACACTTTAAAAGTTGCAGGAAGGTCTACAACAAGTCCTATAGTGTCTGTGCGCACTACAGCATGCATTAAAGGGAAAACAGCACACTTTGAAAGTTGCAGGAAGGTCCAAAACCAGTCCTATAATGCTTATGCCAATAGTGGTGAACCAATGGAATATGTGCCCGAAGAGTCACACAGTGCTTACTCCTGGCACACACACCACCTGTCCACCCCCTGACTCTTGACTGTCAAGCCCACTTTCCACCCCATACACCTCTAGAGCGCTGATGCGCACATCTACAGTAAGGGGGGGGGGGGAGGGAATTGCAGTGGTTTGAGGCCACCTTCTGTGTTCAATGTTACCATCTTCCTAGTTTCAAACCAGCTCCAGCCATGAAAATTAAGTGCCTATACAGCAAAACCGATTTGTCAAACCAGTACCACGCACCATTATAGTGTCACTGCCCTTAAACACACATAAGCAGGCCCTTCTTTATTTTTTTGATTAAGTCACTAAGCTTCCATCAATTCTTAGAATTACGACTCTGGTATGGCAAATGGAAATGCTAGAAACTAAGCAAAAAGCAAAACCCCTCTCTAAAAACTTTACTTACATGGAGCATTTAAGGAAGGATGACAATGCAAAGTGCGCAGTTCAATCTGTTGATCAAGTTATTGAAGTATGTTTGTGGAATAGATGAAAATACTCAGTGACTGGAATTCAAAGTAAAACCAGTGGTACACAACTGGTGGCCCTCTAGATATTTAGGACTTCTGCTCAAGGAGAAAATCTACCCCTAGAAAGGGAAATTCCACCCTGTAAGAGTTATCATAGGGGAAAGGTGTCTCCACTGAAGCTTTAGCACCAATCTTTGTTTCCACAACAACCCAAACTTTCACAGGGACAGAAAGTGAGGTGAAGTTTTCTGAACAGGCGGACAGACAACAAACCAAACATGACTGGAGTATTAACCCTTCCCTATGCGATCCAAAGTTAATATATTGTGTTCACTTTTGTTTTGTCTTTAGGCACTTTGTGCTGTCTGTAAGCTGCCCCAAGTCTCTTTGGAGAGATAGTGGTGGGATTTAAGAATAAAGTTGCTCTTGTTATATATTTGGCTGGAGCTACACTTTAAAAATGTAACTGTTCCGACTTACATACAAATACAACTTAAGAACAAACCTATAGAACATATCTTGTTCATAACCAGGGCACTGCCTGTATTCATAAAAGTAAGCTGGTTGGTAAAAATAAGCCAGGATGCATGTTTAGTGGAAAATAGCTAGCAGGAATGAACTGAGTGGAATACAGCTCATTCAGAGTTAGATGTAATTCTCTCTAGAGTCCTTCTCACTATATAGTAATTCTATACAGATATCTCTAAAAGTACTCAACACCTGCAAATTCTGTATCGCATCACAATGTAAAATATTTATTCTAAAAATAAATAAAACACTTACCTGTGGCCACAGTTTCTTTTAATTCAAGCTGTACACGTTGCATCTGTGCAAACTGATGTAAAGCTGATACTGGATTTATTTCCCCTCTTTTATATTTTGTGATAAACTCCTTTGGAATTTTTTTGGGGGGAAGTGAAGCAATGGGTGCTGCCTTGGAATAGTAGTAGTCAGGAACTTGACCTAAAATGCATTGTTCAACAACGCAAGGAAATGCTTATCATTTATCACAAGAGTTACTCATTTTTTGAAGAATGACTTCCGACAGTCCACTTATTTTAGTTATTTATGTCCTTCTAGCCTAACTTATGGATGTCAAACTAAAAATGATAGATGTATTATTACTGTCCTTCCTGTTTCAAAGAAACCAAGGATGTTGCCTTTTAAAAATTTCAAAACATAAGGTATGTGTGTTTAGCAAAATAATTATCATATAAGAAAAAGTCAAATATAAGAACGTTCTAAAGTTTTTATAACTGCATGTGTATGGTGGAGATGTCTCTGGGATGGTCCAAAGCACTTTCAACAATTTCTTATTTCAAATTCAATAATTGGAAACAATGCATATTTGATAAAGTAATTATTTCCAAAGTTCCTCTACATATCAATGAGGCCTTCCCATTGTACCAGTGACACACAACCACCTTTTTCTATAGACCAACTTATTTTTAAGTACCTGTGATGTGCGTCACCTTAGAGGCTAAGTTAGACATACTGGATGTTTCATCATGTAAAAACATCTGTTTGGTATTCTCTGTCTGTGGAAACGGAGCTGGTGGTTGTACAGAAGGCTGAGATGGCTGGGCAGGTAAATTCTTCTTTAGCATCTGGGCAAAACTAGGCACTCTAGACGCCTGAGGCCAGTCGTTCGCCATCTTGCCCACCTAAAAATGAAGTTGACATGAACAAGTGCATTTATTAACAGCCATGCTTTGGTATAGCATGAAAGTCTGACAGTTCAGGACAAAATACATTGCATAGTCAGTCCCCAACTTATTAACAAGATAGATTATGTAGGTTTGCTCTTAAGTTGAATTTGTATATGTCAGAACAAGTACATTTTAAGTGTAGTTCCAGTCAAAAATATATATGTAAATTACCTTTGGATAGCATATGGAAGGGCTAATACCCCTGTGGTGTGTTTTCCTGTCTGTGCCCGTGTTCAGAAGATTTCTCCTCACTTTCTGTTCTTATGATTATACTTTGAAAAAGTTGGCTTGTTGTGGAATCAAAGATTGGCGAGAAAGCTTTAGTGGAGACACCTTTCCCCCATAACTCTTTCAGGCATGATTTTCCCTTCCTAGGGGCAGATTTCTCTCACTTCCTGTTGTCTCACCTTCATTCTTAACTATGAGCCGTTTGTAAGTCAGATGTTTGTAACCCGGGGACTGCCTGTACAAAGACTAAAATCATGATAGTAACAGAATACGAATTTAAAATATATTAATGTGCATATAATAATACAAAAAGAGCAACTTTTCAATTACAGCTATCTGAGCTCACAACAACTGACTTTCTGGATTGTAACTCCCAGAAGAAATTTCAGCCAGAATTCTAGGGATTGTAGTAATAGAAAACAATATTTTTCCTTTGTGTATGTGTGTGTGTGTGTATGGGGGGGGGGGATAATATTTTTTATTAAGATGTCTAAATACAATGAATAAAAGAAAAAAATATTTATATGGCACTTTTAAAAAAGATGCAGTAAAGAAAGAACACAGAATTCACAATGCAATAACTCCCGACTTTCTTTACAAATATTTTAAGTCTTAATATATAAAATTATATAAAAATGGCAATTTTAAATCAGAGCCAGACTTTAGTATAACACCACTTGTCTAGATTACAATTCCCAGAAGATACTCCAGACAGGAGAATTTTGGGAATGGTACTGAAGGAAAATGGCAACTATTCTTCTTTTGGTTTAGTAATGTTCATTATTGTTTTCTAAATGCAATGAAAGAATGTGTGTGTACACACATATACATACACATTCACACACACACATGAACGGAAATTCTCTCTCCACACATTTGGTTAATTACTACAAATTTTCTAATGCATTGAGAGAAAACACACACACACACACATTAACATACATAAGGAATATATAGGAAAAATTAAAAGATATAGATTGATAGATGTAGGTATGTGTGTAAACTTTTTTCTATCATTGCATTTAGAAATATGTAATTAAAATTATTAACCAAATCAACAAAGTTTTAAAAATGTATTTATAAATTTCAAATTTTATACATATATGTATATTACATGTATGCATTTGTAAGTTTTTTTATTGCATTTAGAATTTATATAATTAAAAATCTAAATACAAGGAAAAGGAACAAGCTTACAAATGCATAGATGTAATACAAAATATGAATCAGAAAGCATCAGAATAACATTTTTAAAATATAAAAATATGGAAACATTAAAACAGAATTAAATATAACTAATATTTAAAAAAATTCGTTAGAAAATTATAAAACACATTCAAAGTTAAAAAACACAACACTTCATCAATTTCTTTAACACCTTTATATATAAGAAAATTTGGTTAATAATTTTGATTTAAGAATTTCTAAATGCAACGACAGAATGAAAAAAGCTTACAAAAACAGTAATATATATATGAAATACAAGTAATTATATATGACATTTAAACACATCACACACGGATGTATTTGCCTAATCATTTTCATTATAATGTCTAAATGAAATGGAAGAAAGGCAAGCTTCCAGTCTACATAATGAAATTTAAAATATATGTATCACATATACATATTGTGTATATGAAATTTTAAAAATATGCATTTCACATATATCCATCTATTTGGTCAATAATTCACAAACTGCATATAGTTGGTTAAGAGTTGTCATGTAGATTTCTACATGCAGTGAGATACAATTAAAAAGCATGCAAAAATATCTGATATGTATATGTGTCTCTGGTGTATATATGTGTGTGTGTGTGTGTATAATATATATACATAATTATATATATGACATTTAAAAACATACACACATATGAATGTATTTAATAATTTTCATTAACACTTCTAAATGAAATGGAAGAAAGGCAAAAGCTTCTAATCTACATAATGAAATTTAAAATGTATGTATCACATATACAAACTGTGTAGATTGAATTTTTAAAATATGAATTTCATATATATTTGGTCAATAATTCACAAATTGCATACATTTGATTAAGAGTGGTCATGTAAATTTCTAGATGCAGTAAGACACCATTAAAAAGCATGCAAATATCTGACACACACACACATATATATATCTGTGTGTATATATATATATTTCATATATGTGTGTATATACATGCATATATGCATTCCATATATGTATATATTTGCTCAATAATTCACAAACTGCAAATATTTGGTTAAGAGTGGTCATGTAAATTTCTAGAAGCAGTACGACACAATTAAAAAGCATGTGAATATTTGATATATGTGTGTGTGTGTGTGTGTATATATATATATGCATTCCATATATATGCATATATTTAGTCAATAATTCACAAACAGCATATATTTGGTTAAGAGTGGTCATGTGAATTTCTGGAAGCAGTAAGACACAATTAAAAAGCATGCAAATAACACACACACACACACACACACATATATATATATATCTTTGTGTGTCTCTTTGTGTGTATATGCATATATTTGGCTAAGAATGGTCATGTAAATTTGTAGAAGCAGTACAACACAATTAAAAAGCATGTAAATATCTGATATAAATATATGTGTGTGTATATATATATATGCATTCCATATATATGTGTGTGTGTGTGTGTTGTGTGTGTATATATATGCATTCCATATATATGTATATATTTGGTCAATAATTCACAAACAGCATATATTTGGTTAAGAGTGGTCATGTAAATTTCTGGAAGCAGTAAGACACAATTAAAAAGCATGCAAATCTTTGTGTGTCTCTCTGTGTGTGTATATATATATTTCGTGTGTGTGTGTGTGTGTGTATATATATATATATATATATATGCATTCCATATATGTATATATTTTGTCAATAATTCACAAACTGCATATATTTGGTTAAGAGTGGTCGTGTAAATTTCTGGAAGCAGTAAGACACAATTAAAAAGCATGCAAATCTTTGTGTGTCTCTGTGTGTGTGTATATATATATATCATGTGTGTGTGTGTGTGTGTGTGTATATATATATATATATATATATATGCATTCCATATGTATGTATATATTTGGTCAATAATTCACAAACAGCATATATTTGGTTAAGAGTGGTAATGTAAATTTCTGGAAGCAGTAAGACACAATTAAAAAGCATGCAAATATCTTTATATATATATATATATCTTTGTGTGCCTCTGTGTGTGTATATATATTTCATATACTTGTGTGTATGCATTCCATATATGTATATATTAGGTCAATAATTCACATACTGCATATATTTGGCTAAGAATGGTCATGTAAATTTCTAGAAGCAGTACAACACAATTAAAAAGCATGTAAATATCTGATATAAATATATATGTGTGTGTGTGTGTGTGTATATATATATATGCATTCCATATATATGCATATATTTAGTCAATAATTCACAAACAGCATATATTTGGTTAAGAGTGGTCATGTGAATTTCTGGAAGCAGTAAGACACAATTAAAAAGCATGCAAATAACACACACACACACACACACATATATATCTTTGTGTGTCTCTTTGTGTGTATATGCATATATTTGGCTAAGAATGGTCATGTAAATTTGTAGAAGCAGTACAACACAATTAAAAAGCATGTAAATATCTGATATAAATATATGTGTGTGTATATATATATATGCATTCCATATATATGTGTGTGTGTGTGTGTGTATATATATGCATTCCATATATATGTATATATTTAGTCAATAATTCACAAACGGCATATATTTGGTTAAGAGTGGTCATGTGAATTTCTGGAAGCAGTAAGACACAATTAAAAAACATGTAAATATCTGATATATATAATATATATGTTTGTGTGTGTGTGTGTGCGTATATATATGCATTCCATATATATGTATATATTTGGTCAGTAATTCACAAATATTGGTCATGCATATTTCTGGAAGCAGTAAGACACAATTAAGAAGCATGCAAATATCTGATATGTGTGTGTGTGTCAGTGTATATGTATCTATATATATAAATTTCCTCCTAGCGTCGTATGAGGAAACAAAACTCAAAAACCCCCCAACGAAACTCCACCAAACTTCCCATGCCCCAAGGGCAACCAACAAGGTACAAACTAATCCACTCAGAAATCATAAACACACAACAACAACCACAATAAACGGCAAAGCAACTGAGCATGCGCACTGGCGCAAACTCCCTGGCGCGCGCACACACATTGGGAACACATTCATTTAGAAGATTTCTATACCGGCCTTCTCAACCTCGGCGAGGGACTCAGGTCGGGTGCTTCCCGCATGAGGAAGAGGAGCAATGCTGAGGAAGGAGGCGGGGGCGCACTGACAACAGGGGGAAAGGCATGAAAAAGATGGGGGAGAATCCCAATCCACCCACACACCATCCTTAGGCCATTTAGCACCATAACACAGAAAGCTGCCATAAGGAGGCAACCACAGAGGGGAAAGATGGAGACAGTTAGTTGGAGAGTAGAGATGGGTTCAGAGCAGGCATGGGGGGGGGGGGTTGGTGGGGTACACGCGCGCTCGCACACACAGGACAACTCCATGTGGCAACAGCCTGGAGTCAGCCTTGGCTCTCTCCCTCCTCCTTCTCTCCCTTCCTTCTCTCTTCCCCCATTTTCTCCCTTCATGCCTTTCTTGCCTCCTCTCCTCCCTCCCTTTTCCCCTCATCCTTCCCCTCTTTCCTTCTCTCTTTCCTCTTTCCTTTCCTCCTTCCCTTCTTCCTCAATCTTGGGTGCTCTCCCCTTGGGTGCCGCCATCAAGGGCCTCCAGTAAGCCCCGCCCCTAATACAGCAGAGTGTGCTGGGGACGAAGGAAGGAAGGAAGGAAGGGGTGAGCCCAGTTCAGTTCCAGGTGAGCTGGACATCCAAGCAGCTCCCAAGGTCAAATTTCCACCAGAATTCACCTTTGGGCATATTGAGGATTCCTCCCAAGTTTGGTCCCGATCCATCTTTGTTTGGGTTCACAGTGCTCTCCGGATGAACAATTTCTCCTCCTCCTCCTCCTCCTCATTCTCTCATCCACACCAACGCCCCCTTCCCTCCCTCCACCCTTTCCTTCCTTTCTGTACTTCCCTTCCTTCTCCTTCCTTTAATTCTTTCCCTTCCCTTCCTTCCCTCCTTCCTCCCTCCCTTGCTCCTTCCTCCCTTTATCCCTTCCCTTCCTTCTTTTCTTTCCTTCCCTTTTCTCCCCCACCCCCCTCACCAGCTTCATCCTTCTTTATTAAATCTACACTTAGATGCACTCAAAGTCACCCCTTCCACACTGCCATGTAAAATCCAGATTATCTACTTAGGACTGGATTCTATGGCAGTGTAGACACACACACACACAGATATGGATGGATACAGGATCACTGGTTGGTGGTATATATCTATATTCTGTCTATCTATCTCTATGTATATACATATATACATATATATAATTACAATACTATATATATTACTATTATATATATTGCTATATAATACATAAATATTATATTATATATATTACTGTTATATCTATTACTATATAATATGTTACTACTATATGTTACTATATTAAATAGACTCCTAGAATAGAGTTAGAAGGGACTCTACCAGACAGGAGAGAAGTAGGGAGGGAAGGAAGGAAGGAAAGAAAGAGGTACCGAAGGAAGGAAGGAAGAAGATAAAGTAGAAATGAAAGGAAAGGCAGGAAAGAGGTAAAGAAGGAAGGAAGGGAAAAGGAAATAAAAAGTGAAAGAAGCAAGAAAACAGTGTAGGAAGACATGAGACGAAGAAGTAGAGAAAGGACGAGGGAAGGAAGGAAAGAGAGGAGGAAGGATGAAACCAAAGAATGAAATAAGGAATGAAAGAAAGAGGTAGAGAAGGAAGAAAGGAGAGAAAGGGGAAGGGGAAGAAAAAGAGGGGAAGGAATACGTAGGTACCTCCCTTTCATAATAGCCCAGATATCTACCTCTACTTCGAAAATTCTTACTATAGGCCACAGCAACGCGTGGCAGGGTACAGCTAGTATTATATATATGTATGAATATATATTTCATATGTATATATATTACACACATATATGAAATTTTATGAGAAGTGTATATATATGTATATACATGTGTATATGTATGTATGTATGTGTGTATATATATATATACACACACATATACATAGGCAATGTTAAGATACAGCGCAATACAAAGCCCAAGGAATGCAATTTGCTTGCGACGTTCAAAATATATAAAAACTCACTTCTGAATCGCGCCACTGACAAAGAGAAGAGGAACAGCCGCCAACCTAAAGGGAAACGGTTCGAAACCGAAGTAACTGCGCTTCAAACGCTCTCCTCCTCCTTTCTAATTTCCCTTCAGGCCCCTGGAGAAAAACAAACGCGCATCCTTACCTTGTGCCTCCGCCACCGCCTCTCCTTCGAAGCAACTGACCAACCCTCTTCTTCTCTCTCTTCTAGCTCCGCCCCTCAAGAGTAGGCCACGCCCAGCGCCTCGAGCGCCTCGTGCTTCCGCCAGGGCGCGTGCGAGGAGAAAGCCCGCCTCGAGCGCGCCAGTCGCGGTCACGTGGCCGAGCCCCTCCCTTTTAACGGCCGTTGTGGGCGCGCGCGCGCGCGCGAGAGAGAGAGAGGGATTCCTGAAGCGCTCCTTTTTCTCAGTTGATGCAGATGGAACACACAGGCTTGGCGCAAGGCTATGGGATTTTGATAGTTGTAGTTTGGCACCTTTTTGAGGGGCAGAGAAGGCTCAAGACCCCTCCCATGCTTCCCTACCATTGAGCCATGGCAGTTACTGCGTGCTTGCTCCATCCATGTTCAACATCTACACAAATGACCAGCCACTGCCAGAAGGGACAGAGAGTTTCATCTATGCTGATGATTGTGCCATCACCGCTCAAGCAGGGAGCTTTGAGATGGTAAAACAGAAGCTCTCCAAAGCTCTAGGTGCTCTTACTGCCTATTACAGGGAAAACCAGCTGATTCCCAACCCAGCTAAAACACAGACCTGCCTTTCACCTTAAGAACAGAGGAGCATGCCAAGCCCTGAAGATCACCTGGGAAGGGATCCCACTGGAGCATTGCAGCGCATCCAAATACCTGGGAGTCACTCTGGACCGTGCTCTGACCTACAAGAAGCACTGCCTGAACATCAAGCAAAAAGTGGGTGCTAGAAACGATATCATACAAAAGCTGACTGGCACAACCTGGGGATCACAACCAGATACAGTGAAGACATCTGCCCTTGCGCTGTGCTACTCTGCTGCATGCCCAGTGTGGAACACATCACACTAAAACAGTGGGTGTGGCTCTTAATGAGACATGCCGTATTATCACGGGGTGTCTGCGCCCTACACCACTGGAGAAATTACACTGTTTAGCCGGTATTGCACCACCTGACATCTGCTGGGAAGTAGCAGCCAATAGTGAAAGGTCCAAGGCAGAGACATTTCCAGCTCATCCCCTGTTTGGATATCAGCCAGCATGTCAACGACTTAAATCTGTAAATAGTTTTCTAAGATCTACAGAGACACTCGCTGGAACACCTTGTAAAGAACCCTTACTGTTTAGAAGCCAGGGTGCAGGGCCTGGAAAAGCCTGTAGGTCTAGAAGGATAAGTAATTGGCAAGGCGAAGCCATTTTAGAACAGGGAAGACGCCATCTTAGAAAGTTTCAGAGAGGGGGGCGTGCCTTAGTCATTAGACAGCAGGGAATGGCCGGGATTGGTGGAGAAAAAGGGGGTGGAGTTCAGGAGACTGAGAGGGGAAAAAGGAGCGTTTTAAGTTATGAGGAGATTGAATTTGGGGTTTGAAGAGAAGGGGTGTTTAGGAGTTTGGTGTCAAGGGTTAGAAGAAAATGGCAAATGCGTAGCCAGAAGTTTGCCAGCAGGGTAGCTAAAGCAAACTGACAGCTATTAGGAGAATAGCTGGGTAGTAGCAGGATAGAACTAAGATTAAGTTTATCTGGGCTACTGAATAATTTCTGACAGAGATTCAGTCCAGTTAGGATTCTTGTTTTGTTTTGAGAGGGTTAGAGAGAGAGGAAGGCCTGAGTTTGGCCAGAGTTACTAGCGGGGATAGCTAGTAGTAAGCTAACAGCTATTAGGAAGATAGCTGGGAAGTAGAAAGATAGATCCAAGTTAGGACTATCTGTGCTGCTTTAAGGATTACTGTTGGACAAACTATCCTGTCAGTATTCTTGTGTGGAGGGAGAAAGGAGAGTCTCTTGTGTAACTAAATCAGAACTATTTATGAAACAATACGCTTTTAAGACACAACTTTCTGAAACAGCTCAGATTTTAACTACATTTGTTCCTGTTCTAATTAATAAACTTTGTTGATTATTGTTAATCAAAACCTGACTCAAGTGTGCCTCAAAGTTTGAAGATCACAAAAGCAACTTTTGATGAAACTAATGGTGGCAGCATACTTTCAAAGTAAATAAGTCTTTTAAAATTTGGGTAACCCTTGACAATTGATGGTCGCTCTTAGTATTGATGGCAGCATTGATTAGTGATCTGAATAGATCTTTATAATTTGGTGGCAGCGAGTGAGATCTGATTTATCTGATCGTTATACACCTCAGCAAACGAGAGTCCAAAAGTGGCAGGCTCAAACCCAGAACCTCAACCAATGGCTGATACCAAATGAGAGACTCCCGCCTGGGCACACAGAAAACTGGGAGACTTAGAAGGCGCTGAACAGATTGCGCTCTGGCACCACAAGATGCAGAGCCAACCTCAAGAAATGGGGCTACAAAGTGGAATCCATGAAATGCGAGTGTGGAGAGGAGCAAAACACTGACCACCTGCTGCAATGCAACCTGAGTCCTGCCACATGCACAATGGAGGACCTTCTGGCAGCAACACCAGAAGCACTCCAAGTGGCCAGCTACTGGTCAAAGGACATTTAATCAACTACCAAACTCACAAATGTTGTATTTTGTCTATTTGTTTGCTTTGTTCTGTTAGAAATGTAATATAATTGACTGGTTGCCCTGACATGACAAATAAAAAATAAATAAGTTACTACTGGATTCATGTTTTAAAATTATTTATTTATTTTAGACATTTATATACCGCCTTTCTCAGCCCAGAGGCGACTCAGGGCGGTTCACAATTGACAACAATTTGATGCCTCAACAATTATAAAGAAATAAAACAATAAAAAATACTGTGGGTTAAAATTGCTGAGCTGCTGAGCTTGTTGACCAAAAGGTCACAGTTCGAATCCGAGGAGCGGCGTGAGCTCCTGCTATCAGCCCCAGCTTCTGCCAATCCAGTAGTTGGAAAACATGCAAATATGAGTAGATCAATAGGTACCACTCCGGCGGGTGAGTAACGGCACTCCATGAAGTCATGCCAGCCACATGACCTTGGAGGTGTCTATGGACAATGCCAGCTCTTCAGCTTCAAAATGGAGATGAGTACCACACCCCAGAGTCGGACATGACTGGACATAATGTCAGGAGAAAAACCTTTATGTCTACTATAAGACTATAAAAAAAACATACAAAGCCATAAAACATCATGAGCGTCTCCATGTCAAGTCATTATTCAATTGCATCGTCAAGCCGTTCCATAATTTTGTATAATTATGCTACATTTGGGAAGGCTTGCTCATAAAGCCAGGTTTTCACTTTTCAGGAGGGAGGGGGGCGATCTTATATCTCTAGCAAGACGTTCCACAGTCAAGGGGCCACCACTGAGAAGGCCCTGTCTTGGTGGGAATCCAATTCACAATGGAAAAGGAAAATGAAGGAAGACTGCCTTTTCTAGATGTCCTAGTTATCCGCAAACCAGATCAACAATTGGGTCACACCGTCTACAGAAAACCCACTCACACAGATAGATATCTACATAAAAACTCCAACCATCACCCAAGTCAAAAAAGAAGCACCATTAAAGCCTTGGCAGACCGTGCAAAAAGAATCTGTGAACCCCACCTCCTCCAAGATGAACTGAACCACCTCAACTGGGCTCTCCAGGCCAATGGATACTCCACCTCAGACATCAGAAGAGCTGCAAGACCAAGAACAAGCCACGAGAGTAAAGATGAAGATCCACCCAGAGGAAAAGTGTTCCTGCCATACATCAAGGGAACCACTGACCGCATAGGGAAGCTGATGAGGAAACACAACATACAAACAATCTACAAACCCACCAAGAAAATCCAACAAATGCTACGTTCAGCAAAGGACAAGAGGGATCCTCTCACCTCTGCAGGAGCCTACCGTATACCATGCAGCTGTGGACAAGTCTACATAGGGACCACCAAACGCAGCATCAAGGAACACGAAATCAAGGAACACGAAAGGCACTGTATACCATGCAGTTGTGTACATAATGACCAACAAACGCAGCATTGCCCAAACACGAATCAAGGAACATGAAAGGCACTGCAGACTACTTCAACCAGAGAAGTCAGCCATAGCAGAGCACCTGATGAACCAGCCTGGACACAGCATATTATTTGAGAACACAGAAATGCTGGACCACTCCAACAACCACCATGTCAGACTACACAGAGAAGCCATTGAAATCCACAAGCATGTGGACAATTTCAACAGAAAGGAGGAGACCATGAAAATGAACAAAATCTGGCTACCAGTATTAAAAAAACTCTAAAATCACAACAGCAAAACAGCAGAGAGGAAACAACCAGGCACATCTTAACACCTCTCAACAAGATTTTCCCAGGCTCAGCCAGGCCTTCAAATGCTAATGAAGGTGGTCAGTTGAAACATTCACACCTAGCTCCAGCAGAGAAGAGCTCTTTGCCCCACCCCAGCCATTCCACAGATATATAAACCCATTGTCCTAATTCCAACAGACCTCACTACCTCTGAGGTTGCTTGCCATAGATGCAGGCGAAACTTCAGGAGAAATGCCTCTAGAACATGGCTCTATAGCCCGAAAAAACCCACAAGAACCTAGTGATTCCAGCCATGAAAGCCTTCGACAATACACCTCCAGTATTTTTTGTTGGTCATGAGGGGGTTCTTTGTACCAAGTTAGTTCCAGGTCCATCATCTTGGATTTCAGAGTGCTCTTAGATTGCAGGTGAACTATACATCCTAGTACCTACAACTCCTATAAATCATGGTGAATTTTCCTCAAACCTCTCTAGTATGTTCAGTTGCTGATCAATTCCTCTGTTTGCTGTGTGCCATAGAAAATAATAGGAAAGGGTTATGGGAGAGGCAGTGGGCATGGTCATGCAAATTCCACACCAATGGGGAGAGTAAGGAACACTGGGATGTCTGTGGTGGAGGAAACACATAAAAACGAGGATGATTTTATGTGTACCTATATGAAAACCTTCACTTAGGTGGTGTACAGTATGGTGTTTGTGGAGGACATTGGCAGGGCTCTCCTACATGTTTGCGGTGCTCACTATAGCCTGCAATGTCATTGGCGGGAGGGCCATTGGTGTCTCCTGAGTAGTGGGAGCTATAGCTGTTTGTGGAGGCAGGAGCTTTTCTGTGTAAGTGGACACCCCAGCTGCACACATACATAATTTCACTTTTATTATGTGTATAGATCAGATATGAACTTTGGATATTTTGCTGTCTGTTCTCCTGTTCAGAAAAAATCACCTAAAATTCTGTGCCTGTAATAATTAGATTTTGAAAAAAATGGCTTGCTGTGGAAACAAGGATTGGGGACAAAGCTTCTGTGAATACCCCCTTTCCGCATAAAGTCTTTCAGGAGTGCATTTCCCTTCCTTGGGATAGGTTTCTCTCACTTCTTGTTGAGTCACCCTTGTTCTTAACATTGTAACTTTGGGACTGCCTGTAATGCAGTTTCAAATAGGGCCCGAACCCCTGGGAGTGATGAAAAATGAAGCTGGAAACTTGAAAGACAAATAACTTTGACCCATTAGAAGACTGCTTCCAATGTCTGTCTCATGTGTTAAATAACATGTTGAGTAGAATACAATTTTGTGGTCAGTTTATAGCCTCAAATAGCCTCAGTATTACATACTGGATGTAAGTATTTAAAAATGATTTCACATAGCTATAAGAGATCTTTATACTCATTCACATTGTGTATCTTAGTTTATGAGGTAGAAGCTGCAGTCAGAAACATAATTTATCCTATGCAGTTGTGTTACTACTTCGTGGTTGAACTCTGAAATTGGATCCAGACAAATGATTACTACAGTAGACTCTCAGTTAAGCGGCACCCATATGAATCGATAACTGCTGGTTAAATGTAGTTTCTGGTTGCTTGATAGCTACTGTTTAAAAAAGGCTTAAACAATACTATACCCTAGACTTTACCATACCATGAAGTCTGTATTGACTTGGTATTAATATTGAAATGCAGTAATTAAAAGCAAATTAAGACAAACTTGCTTGTTGCTTGAGAGTTTGGGTTGCTTGAGTTAATGGAGTCCATTGTGTATAGGTAAAGCTTGGTTAGTTGATTAAATGCTTTGAGAGTTTGATTTGTTGCACTGGTGCTTCAAATATCCTGAATTCTTCAGAAGAAGTTTTGATCACTGGATTTAATCTGTTACTTTCAACACACTATTGACTCATGATGCTTCTATATACAAAAGTATTAAGAAGACTGAATCTGACATTAAATTTTATTCCAAGGGTAACAAACTTAAAACAATTTCTCACAATGGCGATCACCATTCCATAAATTATATACAAATAGAATTTATACAATCTACATGAACAAGAAAAAGTCATTAATGGAATCACATTATCCCAAAGGGTTTTCAGTGTTATGGCAAGTAAAAGTTATGAAAATTCACAGTTAATTTGTAGCTTAGAGATGCAGAATATTGCACATAATACAATGGTGAATGCTAAACAGCAGCTTTACAGTTTTCTTCACAAACACTGGTCATGCAGTGCTAGGTTGAATACAAAATGGCACCACGTCCCACAGTAAACAGGTATTCACAATATTGTTCATTTTATTACAGTACCAAGCAGCTGTTTTGGTGTAATTCATGAAGTTATACAGCTGGACAAATTGTAAAACAGAAAAAGGGGAGAACCCTTCATTTTAGGATAGTTTTAATGATCTTCCTTGTCCTTTCCTTTCTTTTCCTTTTCATCCTGTAGTGCAGTGCCAAGCTTTTTGATGAGAACAGACAGGACTTTGTCCAGCGGATCCATGACTCCACGTTGAAGCCATTTTGGGATAGTAGTTCTTGCATGATGGAAGCCTAACTTCTGTAGAATATAGTCTACACCCACTGGATCAATTTTTCTTCCAGTCCAGGAGATCAATCTACAAATTAAAACATATTGCAATGCTCAATATTCAGATAAAAATGTTTCCATTAATAAATAAGGCTTTTGGGCCAACCAATTTCATGACAGTTTAGTAACAGTAAGTTATGAAAGAATCTGGTTAAAAAGAACGGGTGTCCAGGATGACATTTTATATACTTAACATTTTAAAAATAAAAGAGAAAGGAATACATTCTTAAAATAAGTTATAAAATATTAGCCTGTGATTTTACTTCCTTACATTCCAAGAAAAAATTTGCATAGAGTTTTGCTATGTAGACTTGCATTTGGTCATATCTGTGATACAACTGAGTATCAAGGAAAGTTTTTTTTTAATTTTTTTTAAATTTTTATTTTGATACATCCCAACAATCAATAAAATTTTTGCCATAAAGGGCTTATTTCAATAAACATTATTCCAAGAGTAAATATTTCTTAACTGACATTCTATACATTCCTTAGTTATGTATCACCCAACAACCCCCCCCCCCCCTTCCCTCCACCCCCCTGGAACAGCAATTCTAAATCATGTCATTACATCAATTTAACCGTGTGGAAAGCCTGGTTCAAAATACTGTATTTGTCGTCTCCGTCTATTTTGTCAATTAACACAGACCATTTCCTAAACCAGTCTTGTTCTCTTTGACTATTTATATACTTGTTTTTCCTTTGATTGATAAAATCATTAATTATATATTCTGATAGATAGGCCCACCAGGTTTCCAAATCCCATTTTGTATCGTCTCTCCATCCCCGGGCTATTGTGGCCTGTATTGCAGCTGTCATATATTTTAGGATTTCTGTCCAATTATGGTTATCTTCCTTTGCCTTTATGGTGAGGGACATGAACCTGGCTTTATCCCACATTAATTCTTTCCCTATTATGTCTTCCATTACAGTCCTTATTATGCCATAATAGTTCTGAATTTTGATACAATCCCACCACATGTGGGAGAATGTACCTATCCCCCCACACTTGTGCCAGCATTTGTTTGAGATATTTCCCATAATATGTGCTAATTGGGTGGGGGTTCTATACCATTTGGAGATTATTTTCCTTTGGGTTTCTTTGATGCTCATATGTTTAATTTTATGAATATTGTCAATCCAAGACACAATTAATTTCTCACTGAAGCTTTCCTCTTGTTTCCAATTTTCTATAAGGGTTGTTTTTGTTTTGTAAGTTAAAGTGATTAATTCCTCATATAGTAGCCCAATAATCCCTTTGTCTATTTCTACTTTCCTTTTAATTATTCTGTCAAGTGGGGTTTCTGCCACTTCTCTTCTTTTCATGGCCGGAGCTTTACTGGACAGGCCTAACCATGCTATCCAGTTTCCTTGACCACATTTGTCTTTTATCTTATCCCACTTTATTATTTCTCCATAAGGTTCCATGAGGTCCCCTATCCTTTTGATTCCAATTTCCTTAAGCGCCCTAATTAGATTCCTGAATGTATTGTCCTTGTTTTCCAAGATTTCTATTGGGAAAGGGTCGATTTTGTTTATTTGTAATTTATTTTGCCATTTTTTCCAAATTAACCACGTTGTTAAGCAGGGGCCGACTTTTACGTTCTTTAAGTCTTTTCTGTCTATTCTCTCTCCCATATATGTTCCCCTTTGCCAACCGTTTGCCTCCTTTTCTAATTGCACCCATCTTTTCATCCCTTCCAATTCAAATTCTAATAATCTTGCCAACTGACTTGCCTCATAATATATTCCCAAAGAGGGAGCCCCCCATCCACCCATTTCTTGTTTACTATAATACAGAAAGTTGGCAATTCTGTTTTTGTTTCCTCCCACTATCCATTTTTTAATAGAGTTGTCCCATTTATTCAGCAAATTGTTAGGGATATTCACTGGGAGAGTTTGGAACAAAAATAGGAATTTGGGCAAAATCTTCATCTTATAAATTTTTAACCTTGTGGATATGTCTCAGAATTTCTTTCCCCATGTGTTAATTTGTTTGCTTATATTTTTCCATAGACAATTAAAATTCATTGGTATGATATTATTGAGATTTTTTGGTATATCTACCCCCAGGTATTTCATCTCCCCCCCCCCCCAATTTAACTCCCATAATATTTTGAATCTTTTTGAGTTCTTTCCATGATAAATTTTTGTGTAGTATCTCTGATTTTTCAAAATTAATTGTAAGGCTCGAATGTAATGCCTCACATGTATAAAAAATCACATATCAAATTGACAACATTACAATAGATGAAAACCATTAAAACTATAACAATTACAGACACAACATAAAACTTATATACATACATACATTAAATATTTTCATAAGATATGTTGTATCCTAATACATTTTGGTATTAGAATTTATAATTACATATAAATGCCGTAAATAAATAAATAAATAATATACTGTTTGTATATAAACACTATTTAGGGGGTTGGTTTAACCTCCAATTTGCTAGTAAAACTGAATTACTGTGTTGTGAAATTATGCCTAACAAGTGTGTCACCAACATGTAATGTTCGGAAAGCTCTGCCCTAGAAAGTTCAACCTCTTTTTATTTATATATTTCAGTTCTATTTAACCTGGTTCTTTCGTTTCATATGTGCATATTGTTTTGAATAAGAAGTGTGCTGATTCATATTGAACTACTCTTTTTGGTGTGTTGGACTCTTACCTTCTTTTTATGATGTTTTGACCTCAGGTGCCAAAATTAATAGTATAAATAGTCACTGAGTAACAGAAGGGAATATTAGAAATATTCCTCAGCATCAGAGCAGCTTCACTGAACTCAGAAACTTCCTGAAATTCTATTATTGGTGAGGCACTGTAAATGAAACTGATTAAAAGAGGAGGCCTAACGTAAAAGAGACCATGATTTATGATCCAGTATCCAAATATTAATGCAAACATATGTGAAATGGCATAACTAAAACTAACATAATGGGGATCAATGGCTTCAATATATACTTGAGAAAAACACCCATGGTATCCCCCACAAACTAACTTCCAACACATTCACAACAGCACACTTGGCATCTTTCCTGCTAGCTGTTCATAGACAAAGGATGTAGCTGCAGAACATTCTATCGAGAGTTCTGTCTATCTGACCATCTGTATGTCAATTTTTCTTACATATAAGTATTTTAAGCGCAGTATGGTTTTTATTATGTTTTAATTTGTTATATTTTAATATTTTATATAGTTTTATTGTTTACTGTCTTGAGTGCTATTTTGGAAGACAGAGACAAAGTGGAAATTTACCAATACACACCTAAGCGTAGGCTCCAGATGCCATGTATTGCAGATAAATTCTCTCCAGTCTACAGTTGTATATGTAATACTTTCTTCTGAGTCCTTGTCAGCAGAACTGTCATCAAGTACACTGATGGGGCTTTTCTGTCCTGGCCGACTAGACAAAATGCGAGGTGGGAAAATGGCTAAAAAAAGGGAGAGAAAGAAGAGTAGCAAACTTTTCATTTTAAGAATCTAGAATGGTTGTTTCTGTAAATTAAAGACACCACAATGACAGATTTGTAGATAAAGTTAAATTAGATGAAAATAAGTACAGTTGGCCCTCCTCATTTGTGGTTTTGGCATTTGTGGTTTTGATTATTTGTGGGTTTGCTGTGGTTTCAGGGGACGGAGCAGCAGCCATTTCAGTTGTCACTGACCCATCACCAAAGTCTACAAACTAGCCGACTGCAGTGGGGTGTGGATGACGATTTCATAATTCAACGCTATTTTATAACTTTGGACTAGTTATAAATTGATCAACATACCTTTTTCCTTCTCTTTAAGGTAAGCAGATACCAAGTCATGCAGGAACATTATCAGTTCAGCATCCATAGTTACACAAATGTGATCGGTGAATTCTGTTACTACACTGCACTCCACCTTTGGTTTATCACTGGCATCTGTAATAAAATTCCATACTTCATTTAGGAAATGATGACTAAATGCAGACATGCTTACAAAGATAAGTTTTAATTTACAATGCAAATTAAAAATTATTTGTAGTGAAAGGTACAAATAATTAACCAACCTGTCTTGAAATGCAATCCATGACAATGTAGTTCAAAAAGCATTCTGATTTGCATAACTAATACAATGATGCAATCTTTCATAAAAACCTATTTTCCTTTTTTTCTTAAACTGTCATTTAAACTTATGGAATGTTCTGCTAGTAATTAATACTATTTTATCACAGAGTTTAAAGTGCATTGCATACATTCTTGCTTGATATTTCGTAGTACACATGAAGCTAAACTAATTTTTTAAATACTTTTACTACAATTTGTGTGTTCTTTTTACATGATATATAAATAATTCTAAAATAATGAACATATCTATCTATACATATAGATATATAAAACATATATCTACCTTGTAATAAAGGTTCCTGTGGCTGCTGAACATGAATTGATTTGAAATCCAGCTGCATTCTTGGTAATGCAAATATAGTTTCAGTTTCATGATTGTAACTGGAGCTTCCTCTGAATCCACTCAATAAGCTGGAACTTTTCACAGTTGTGCTACTCTCTGCATTATTCGCATCAACATTTCGGAGAAGGTTTAACTCTACAAAGAGAACAATAAATTGTTTTTCTTAATTACAGTATACTGTTGAAAAAAAAACAGCAGCAATTAAAGGTATTTTAATGAATATGTAAAAGCTTGCAAGCTCTCAATTGCTGCAAAGAACTATCTTTCAAACCAGAACCATGCCAGCAAAATATATTGTTTCTTTCTAAGCCTGTGACTCTAAATTCCTTATTGTTATTTTCCAGAAGTATGATCTATAGTACAACGAACAAATAGTTTGTTATTAGCACATTCCCCTATGTTCTTAAAAATGAGAAAAACAGATATAAATAATTAATCATCTTCAGTTTGAAATTTCAAAAATGAAGCTTTCAAATTATATACTTAATTTGTGCATAGGGCTAGTATACGTTGTCTATAGTTATCATCATCATTTCCTTCATCGTACAAGATTATTAACACAGACTTCAGTTTTACAGCCAATTTCTTCCATTATAAGAATCTAAACTTGCTATCCAGACCTATTCAAATAGAAAACTTTGGTACGTTACAATATATAGCAATGGCTATGTGACTATATTTCATGAAATTAGAAGCCTGATTGATAAAACAAACAACTTCAGCAATCTGGATTGCCTTTTTCAGTTCTGGGACAAAGCCATTTTATTTTTCTCCTAAGAAAACCACTTATGTTTAGAGTTACCCCTATGATGATCTGCAATTCTAATGGTACTGCCAAACTGCAAGATCTACACATAGATCCACCTGTCACATCTGGTCTTGGAAATATATCACTTTTAATGGAGCTGCCATGCATATATTCCATTCCACTAGGTGAACAAGAAGAGATTTGATAAAAGAAGAAGCCCTACCTTCATTCCTGGTTGCTGTAACATAATTGAACCATTCTTTCACACTTGCAACTCCATGTGGTGGGTTTTCATGACGCCTCCTTGTTATTTTGGTAATAGTTGCCATTGGACTTTCTAGGGCCCCACAGGGTTTTGTTACCATAGTATTGTGACCCAAATGGAAGTCTAATGTTTGCACAACATAGGTCGAATGCTCACTAGAACCTGGAGGAATGAGTCAGTTTAAGTGATATAACTTATTGAAGTGCACAATCATATTGAATGTAATTTAATTTAAAAGCTGCCATGTCTTATTAATATATGCAATAACAGAGTTGTAGACAAACCACAGCCATGTTTTCATTTAACATATAGTAAAAGATGTAGGATTTAATTAAATCTTTTCCTTCTCTTGGTGGCTGCCAATGAACAGTTTAACATCTGCCATCACAAATATGACAGATGACCCAAGGCTTCATATATACTATACAACCATATTCATCAAAGTATTGCCAGGGGTGATGGATTAGATGGTTCTTGTGGTCTCTTTCAACTCTGAGACTTTATGATTCTATAGCATTCATATAGCTCCAAGTATGAGTCAATTGTTCCCATGCATAAAACCCTGGAAAGTAAATGGGTTTGAAGGGATTGAATTCTAGTTTCCAGGAGGCTGTTTGAATTTATGAGGGACCAAGGTGGCATCCAAATGTAATGAAAATGTCATATGGACTTTCCCACAGGGCATTTGGGAGCAAGTTCTACCCATCTCTATACTAAGTGGCTTCCTGTAGAGCTAACTTCCCTTTAAAAATGAGTGGAACAATAACAGTCTGAGGACCACATATAGCCCCAAGGCCCTTTTTGCATCCCTCCAAGGAAAGGGGAACATGGATAAGGGAGTTTTCTTCACACACAGGAATTCACCGGTGGTTTTAAAAGGCAAATTAACTGACAATAACAGAAATAATAAGCTCTGTTCCCATTTCATTTTACTGCTGCATTTGGTATTATTAATACAAATTAATCACATGAAGAAAACAATCACGTAAGATAATAATCACCTTTGAATAAAACTGGTTCACATCTGATTAAAGAAAGCTTTAATAATAATGATGTAATTTTTATAAACAGTTTAAAAACAAAACAAAACTAGCTCACAAGCATTTGAGCAAATCAGACAGTTATTCAGCACTGCCTTGAAGAAATGCTGTTATTGTACCAGTCAGTCAAGACACTTAGTACTGGCTTTACTAAATTCTGGATGCCTTATATGTATTTTCATGCCTTATGTGTATTGATCATTTTATGTTATAAAAACTTGATTATCATCTGATGAAAGTTAATCTAGTCAAAATAAGTAAAGAAAAATACACCAGAGACATGATGCTATAATAATATTCAGTCAAAATACAATAAGTCTATTTAGTTAGTTTTCAGGTTGCAACTTAAACTAGGAAAGGGCGACCTAAAAGATTGAAAAAAAGAACTGCATATATACCTTCTTGCCAAATCTTTTGTGCTTCAGTCCAGAAGGCAATGTTAGGTTCTTCAAGATGAAAGAGAGCCCATGACTTTGAACGAAAATTAGGTCCGTGGAAACATGCTAATGTCATGTGATTTCCATGTAAGCTCATAGAGCCTCCAAACTGCATCCCATCTTCCGGTAAAGGAAACTGAAATAAAGATATGTGGCACCCTGACACAACCTTTAGGACCCCTGGCCAGTGTCGATGATGTGCTGCATCCAATACTAGGGGGGAAAGCAGAAACATATATATAGCTGAGATTAACTTCATACAATCATATACAGTTATCCTTTTACATTTGTGGATTTGACTTTGGTGGATTTGATTATACAGTGTTTTAATTCAAATGTCTCTAGGAATCCCTAGTTCTTTCAGTGTATGGTCAACTTCCTCCAGTCATGATGAAAGACCTGGATATTTCTATAGAGAACACTAAGCAACAATAATGGCAACAATCATTTCATGCACCCTTCACCTTGATATGACTCTTATATTTGTTAAAAGATAGACCATTTCAGTATGAATAAATGCATTCTAATCATCAATCAAAAATACTACAGACATATGAACAAGGCAGTACACAGGAAAGTGATTTGACATTCATACTTGCAAAGTGCTTTCTCATGTTTTATGACTTGCAGCGTTGATGCAAATGTAGATTAGATGTTTAGAAGCATTTTGAGCTTCAACCTTTCACTTGGGCAAAAGAAGCTGTTCTTCACATCAAAGAGCCTATACCTTAATTCTCTTGTGGTTTTTCACAGCAGGAAATGTGCCCCTTTTAAACACACACACACACTGTTAAAAGTAGGTGTGTAGTTGAGATGAGTATTTCCTGGACCAATGCCACAAGTTCATTGTGCTCTATCTAATTACAAGGATAACAACTGATGAATTCTTCTTTCACTAGGGTCTGATGAATCAGAGAAGAATTACACTCCTCCTCTTCTCCTCTTCAATCTGTCCAAAGGGCTAGTTTTCTTTTTCATGCACATTTATCTGTTGCCATGCAAGAAGCCCTGGTTTTACCAGGGCTACCAATTTCAGGAGAACAATGACTATAATAGAATATGAAGGTGAAGGTAAAGGTTTCCCTTGACATTAAGTCTAGTCATGTCTGACTCTGGAGGGTTGGTGCTCATCTCCATTTCTAAAACGAAGAGCCAGTATTGGTCATAGACACCTCCAAGGTCATGTGGCCAGCATGACTGCATGGAGCGCTGTTACCTTCCCTTATGGTACCTGTTGATCTACTCGTATTTGCATGTTTTTGAACTGCTAGGTTGGCAGAAGCTAGGCCTAACAGCGGATTTGAACCACAAACCTTTTGGTCAGCAAGTTCAACAGCTCAGTGGTTTAGCCCACTGCACCACAATAAATAAGTTGGAGACAATTTGGAAAAACAATTAAATCTTTCTTGATCAGCTCACGAACCATTTGTTTTGACATTGCTGAATTTATTCCAAGAGAATCTGATTCAATCAAGGGAGAATGTGCTCATCTCTAGCAAACATATAATTGTAGTACTTACATTCCCAATAACCAGTGCACACTGTATCTATAATAAAAACTGTTTAAAACTATCATTATAACTCAAATAAACTGTTTGATAAGAGAGGATTTAAAATAATACATACATTGTTGTTGTGAACTTTTTTCCACGGTACTGACTACAGACTTTGGGGGAAGATAAGGAACAGGTCCCCATGTAGACAAAGCTCTCTTGCTGGTATCAAACTGCTGGGTAAAGAATTCTTGAAGCTTCATTCCTATTTTGATGAGGTCAGGTGTGGTTGATCTGGAAATCATGACTTGAAAAATATCCCACTTCAAATCTCCATGAACAAAAATCTCACTAAAATGTAAAAATGAAAATATTCTTATGAATTTGTGTTAGTTTATTTAATTCTGACAAGAAGATAATTAATATAAAAAATCTTTAACAACTGTTAAGGCAAGACCCTAAAGAAATTAGTTTAAAAATATATTTCATTTGTAATTCCAGGTGTAGATGTATACACAATTACATACAGCAAAAACAAAACACCAATAACTACATACCTTTTGTCAGTAATGCTAGAATCCAAAGTGTTGTAGAGGTTAACCTTCCATTCATCCTGTAGCTTAAGGTCTGCATTACTGAAAATACCCATTAGGATACTAGACCCCATGTAATCAACACGTGCTTCAGTAGAGCCCATGGTAATCTGAATTTTGTGACTTGGCTGCTGGTTGGGGTGTTCTGAAATATGAGCTGAAGAACAAATATCCAAGTATAAGCTTAGCGGTAAAGGGACGCAAAAATGGTGGTATTACCTTGATTGGCCTCTTTGTTTCAGCTTACAGTTAATATAATTATCTGAGTGACATGGTAAGCTCAAAAAGGCAAAGAAATCCTACAATCAAGTCCCAAAATAAGACTCTAGAACTGATTGTCCCCCGAGGCATAGATGGCATTGTAGCCAAGCCAAGATAAATAGCTTCATGCAGAATTTAGATCAGCATGGCACTAATTTCTACAATACACTACCACCCAAGGACAGAATTAGTTCCCTATTTTAACAATACTTCCAAGAGTCTATGTGTGGTATGGGAACAGGATCATATCTTTTCTCCTATCTTTGCCAATTTACAGTTCAATTCATATCATTAGCCATTACTTGGGAAGGTGCCCAGGATACTAGGTGTCTGAAAGAGCATTAAATGATATCCCTTTGGAATAATATTTAGGGATGCATTTTAAAATGGTTTTGGGTTAAGATATACTGTAATAAAGATTTAAAATATCACCACTAAGATTCCCTTAGGCCTTACCCAAGTCATCATTTTAACACTATTCTTATTGACCACTAGCTGCACCCGCCATGTGTTGCTGTGGCCAACCTTCCCTTCCTCTTTCTCACCTTTTTTCCCTCTTTCCTTCTCTCCCTCTTCCCTTCATTCCTTTTTCCTTTCCTTCTCCCCTTCCTTCCTTCTCTACCTCTTTCCTTCCATCCACTCTCTTTTCCATCCACTCTCTTTCCCTTTACTTTCTCTCCTTTCTCCCTTCTCTACCTCTTATCCTTCCTTCCTTCTCTCTTTCCTTCTTCTTCTCCTTCCTTCCTTCCCTGACAGTGGATGAGGGCTCCCCCCTGCCTTATGGGACCCACCATTGTGCTGTCCATTCCTAGCTCCTGTTCTGGCCAGAAGAGCACTTGCTGTGTCCTCACACATGAGTGGGCGGGGCCATGGAATTCATTTGCATGCATGCGCTGTGTAGTTTTCTACCTTTTTTATTTTAAAGTTCACTGTTTTTGGTGATTTTTGAGTGATGGTCACTCCTTGGGTGTCTTGTGGCCAATTTTGATGTCTTTTTATCCAGTGGTTTTTGAGTTATGTGCGTTCCACAAATGAACATTACATTTATATATAGATAGATAGATTTAACTTCAAACAAGAATGATGTTGCATTGTCAAGGGCTTTCATGGCTGGAATTACTGGGTTGTTGTGAGTTTTCTGGGCTGTATGGCCATGTTCCAGAAGCATTCTCTCCTGAAGTCCTGATGTGGGCAAAACATCAGGAGAGAATGCTTCTGGAACATAGCCATACAGCCAGGAAAACTCACATCAACCCAAGAATGATGTCGTCTAACACAGTGTTTCTCAACTATGCTCCCTCAGGTGTTTTGGACTTCAGCTTGCAGAAATCCCAGCCAGTTTACCAGCTGTTAGGAATTGTGGGAGCTGAAGTCCAAAACATCTGGAGTAGCACAGTTTGAGAAACTCTAACATATCTTTTTACTCAATATTATTGAATATCTTTTTACTTTTTACTCAATATTATTGAAGAGAAGATGACCAGTAATGAAGATGTGCATCTTAGTTGGAAAGGACAATGACAATGCTAAATGGTTTACAGACTTGGATTTGGTGAACACTGACCACAAGATGTTTTTATTGCTGCTAGCATACTGTCTGATTGTTTTAATTAGTTATAACTGTGATATTATGTGGTAAATTTGTGTATTATATATTGCATTGTATGTTGTAATTGTTAGGCATCGAATTGTGCCTTTTGTAAGCCGCCCTGAGTCCCCCCTAGGGGGTTGAGAAGGGTGGGATAGAAGCACCCCAAATAAATAAATAAATAAATAAATAAATAAATAAATAAATATTATATCTTCATAGTTTAGAAATGTATTACAGAAACCCATTTTCAAATATTTGAACAATACATCAGAAGACCAGAAATAATAAGCAGAAAGAAGCTTAAATTCTAACTACTAGTAACCAATTAGAGACATTCAATTTAGCTCAATAAGATTTCAATGGTTATGACTGGATGATACCCATTCTGCTTTAGAGATATCGAAACTTGTGCTACCTCTTGAATAAGTGGTTTATTTTTTTTAAAAAAAGAATAACTATTCAAGTTTAATAATATTTTGGTCACATACTTCTTAAGTGTTATAGGAAGCAATAGCAAGTGCAAGAACATATTAGCATTATTACTCACCAACCATCTCCAAGGCATTAACATCTATGGTACCTCCAACCACACCTCCTCTAGAATCCAGATGTGATCTTCCTAGACCAACTGACATGCTAATTTCCCGATCCCTGTTACTGCCCACAGATAAACGACCCTGGCTTTTCAAACCACTAGTAGTCCATCTAAAAGAAGAGCCGGGGGGGGGGGGGGGGGGGGGAGGAAAATTATGTAGTTCAGTACATCTGCATATCATACCAAAATTACAAATACAAATTGTAAAACTACCATAAGATAAGAATAAGGACTACTGGACTGTAAACTGGATGTTTGCCACATTATGTACCTAACAAATATCCACATCAATAACATTTAGGGGATTATGAATTCAAAATTCTCAAATATGTGACACTGTGGAGCAAAAAATGACCAAAATGGTGTTTTGCACAATCACATTATTTCTTTTCATTATAAAGGTGAGGAATCAAATGTTTATTAGATCAGATGTACTTACGTTGTATTTCCCATTACGTTACTCATATTCATTTGGACGTTTAATTGTTTCAGGTTCATAGCAAATACTACCAGTGTCTCCCATGGTGTCACTTGTTGACTTCCGGTTTTGTTTGACTTATTAAATGGAGTTGATGTTTTTGAAAGGATATCTGTGGGAAATAATTAAAGTTTGCAAAATTAATATTAAAAAGAATAACAGCATGTTAAATATGAAGCCAATTTAAATGTTAAAACTATTATTTAATTTTTTGCTGGAAAATGTTTCACTGTGGTGACAGCAAATCCAATGGAGTTAACTGACTTTGGAATGTATTCCACATTAAATTATTAGTGTAATGGTGTGGAGAATCCTCACATGAGCTACAGAATAAAGGCAACATTATTTGGCCCAAGAACTATTGGGCAAGTGCAGTGAGGGACTACAGTGACAGTGGATGAGGCTACCACACTTCTGATATGGACTCCTCAGTGTGAATATTCAGACCACTTTCATATATGTGCAAACACACACATGCCTCTCCACACGGCACTCAAGCTTTTAAAAAGCCTCATTTGGTAACAATTGAGGCTTTCATGTAGCCTGAGTGCTGAATGGAGTGTACATTATGGGTGCAGAGGTCATAGCATTTTCAAAAACACACAATCTCATGTATACACACAAATATTATTTATACAAATAAACACACAATTATTTATATGTTCTTTCAGTGGATCCTCATATATCTATCTATACACATAATAAAAGTGAAAAATGTATATGTGTGTATGTCGCAGAAGTATCCTGCCTCCACAAACAGGCTATAGTTTCAAATGCTGAGAAGCCTCCAAAGTCACTTCCTCCACTGATATTGCAGGTTACAGAAAGCGCCATGAACATGTAGCCCAAACCCTGTCAATGTCCTCAAATACTATGGCCCACTACCCAAGGAATGCTTTCATTTGGGAACAATTTCATCCTAGATTTTATGTGTTTCCTCCACCACAGGAACCACAGGCAGGCACCATAGGGTTCCTTTCTCTCTCCAGTGGTGTGGAATTTGCATGGACCACCCTCTCCCTTAACCCTTTCCTACTCTTTTCAACTCTGTCTGCATAACAGAGTAGAACTGAACAGCAACTGAACATATTGGAGGAGTGTGGGGTACTGACTCCACATGATGGAAGTTGTAGTTCACCCTGCATCAAGTTGGAGCACTGTGACCCCCACTGACAATGGACCTGAACTGGAGAAATTTGGGGGGAATTCACCTTGATTTATAGCTGTTGTAGGTACTGGTATTTATAGTTCACCTGCAATCCAAGACCACTCTGGACCCCACCAATGATGGCCCTGAATCTAATTTAGCCCACAGAACCCCCATGTAGCTTTGGGGAAAATTCACCTTGATTTATAGGAATTATAGCTTACCTATACCCAGATCACGTTCGTCTCCCACTTACCCAGTCTGTTTCCGGATATTATACAAAATAGCCCACCAAAAACTACAATTTTTTACATTCAAACTCATTCAGACCCAAGTATATTGCCTAAATCATTGGCAATAGCACACAATAGCACACATATTTGAACAGTAAAAGAAGGATCTTACCTCTTTGGGGAACCGAAGAGTCTGACACACTCCTGGATCTTGCAACAGCTGGAGATTTTAGGTTATGAGCAGTTGTTCCAGGGGACATATTGTTACTTGAGCTGTGTTCACTGAAAACATTTGGTGACTGGGCCATGTGGGTAAATGAAGCAGACTGACTTGGCTGCTCCCATGTTCTACAGTATGCTTTTCGTGATGATTCTGGAGACATGTGCTGGTTCACCCCTTCAACAGAATCTGGTGTGCCAGGCCCAGAGGCTACTGAGAAGGGAAATCCAAAAATATGTTATCATTTCAATAATAATTATGTCTTCAATAGCAACTAACCAGATCATCCCACTGAAGCAAGTTTTTTTAAATAGATTAACCAGGCTACGAAAGAGAATATGATTTTTAAAATATTATTTTTTTATGAGCTGGTGAATGACAGAGAGAAATGAAACCTACCTGGCAAGTTTATTGTTTGGTCACCTAGAAACAGGCGTCTTGCAATGCTCCTCCTGTACCAAGCTCTTGGAAATGCTAAAATCTCACTCAGTCGCCTCATGTCATACTTAAAAGATGCTGATCCTATATCACAAACAGCTAAAAAATATTGAAAGCAGGTTAAATTAATATTTTATATTTTGCATTGGTTATTATACTTATAACTTTAAAATTAGCCTCATTCATAAATACAAAGAAACAGGTTGGTTTTGCAAATTAATGATGCAAATGTTTAGAAGCCCAAACAGTTCATAATTGTAGTAATTTGGTTTAGGAACTACAGCATGCTACATGAAACAGCAGAAAACTTTCCAGTTACACTGTGATCATGCCTGTGGGAGAGACGGGCACATGTCTATTAACGGTTCACACGTGCCATGATGCCTGCCATAGGCCTGAAAGGATTAAAGCAGTGTTGGAGAAGTCAGCTGAACTCATCACCGTAATTGTAAACTTTCCAGATACAGTCTAAACTGCAATGATGCATATTCACAAGACAAGGACAGCAAAACATTGCATGGACAAAAACAACCCACGATGGTGTATTAACAAGATCAGTAAATACCGGATATGTTTATTAATGTAGTGTCCATCTTGTTTGCAGATTTGCTTGAAGACTGGCTTTCAAAAAAGGTAGGTCCCCCTGAACGTCTTATTCTTGACAGACTGACTTTTACAAATTCAAGATTGATGCTCAATGAATCTTTACGACCAGTAACGGAAGAAGGTTCTTCATCTACATTTCCTGAAACAACCACAAAGAACATCATCATGTATTGTCAAAGGCTTTCATGGTCAGAATCACTGGGTTGTTGTAAGTTTTTCGGACCATGTTCCAGCAGCATTCTCTACTGACGTTTCACCTGCATCTATGGCAAGCATCCTGAGGCATCCTCACAACCTCTGAGGATGCTGCCATAGATGCAGGCAAAATGTCAGGAGAGAATGCTTTTGGAACATGACCATACAGCCCGAAAAACTTACAACAACATCATGCTTTTTTGAAACTAAATCTAAAGATTCCAAACTGATTGTAGTCATTTCTGAATCAACTACAATTTATTTATTTATTTACTTCATTTATATACAATCCTTCTCACTCTGAAGGGGACTCAGAGTTGTCTCCCAGGTAGGCAACAATTCCAAGCTGTAAGAAATGCATACAGTAAAATAAATGTATACATTAAAACAAGAAATTAAGAATACATATAAACATTAAACCAGTTATTAAAACCATGCAGTCCAAACTCGTATTCCAAGGCTGTTCCATTCCAAGGCCATTCCAGATACTCAGTTAACTATACTTTACTAAGTAATATTTTCTGGCCTGACTCCCCCAACACCACTATGTATGACAGAAATATCATTCACCCATGACCTATCTGATTGCCAGCAGAGTGGGGCTGATGCCCAGTAAAGTAACTGAGAAGAAGAGTTACAACTCTGAAAGTGTCACCATCATGACTGTATAACAAGTGCGAATGTGGAAGTTACGGATGAGCAAATCCAGACAATTCTTCCATATTCACAATCACTACAAATAATTCAGGCATACCATAATTTTAAATTTTAAAGCATACCATAATTACTAAGATTTTTAAAATTACAATTTTGACTGTCTTATAGATTCTAAAACCTTGAATGAGGAAATAATTTTATATATTTCAGAAGTCCAAAGCATCACCACTGCATACAAAAACTCTTAAGATGCAAACATGTAAAAAGCTCAGATTTCAGTATACATGTATTTTGCTTTTGGTGGCAACAAAATGAGATGCTTTTTCCAGACCCCCAAAGTTCCCTTTGCAACAGGCTTCTTTCAAAACGTAACACCACCCAATTGTACAATCTTGCCTTCTGTTATTACCTAAGGATCCTGATCCAGAAGAGAGGCCAGTCACACTGGACTTCTGCTTGCCTGCTCCATATGGATGGAATACATAAAGGGAGAAATCAGACATGCAGGCTGTGAAGCTTAGACCCGAAGAGCTGCTGCTAGAACCAGTCAAATCTGACTGGCTGCTGCTATGCCGCGTTCTGCCAAAAGGGCTGCCTAATCCTGGAGAGGAACCTAAAGCACAAAGACAGGACAAACACACAAGCTGATTAAATAAACTGCATACACTATGGCACAATTCTGAAGATCACCCAGATCCCCCCTATTCCAAATCAACTATTCTTTTTTAGAGCACCAAATCTTCTCGGTATCTGGTCAAATATCTGGAGAAACAGATTCTACATAGCTGTGGAACTCACCAGAGTGCAAATCTAGATATCTTCTGAAATCATTCTCAGAATGCTGAGGACTGGCTTTTACTAGTTACAAGCGCAATATTGGAAAGAGAAGTTTGACATACAAATTTCCTCACCTTAAAAAGTATCTTAGCCTGAGGCATATGGATGCCATTTGAAAAACAAAATCCAAAGCCCTCTTTGACACACACAATTACAAAAATTATTTATATATCACCGTCAGTGTGAACCTGGTTTAGTGTTAAATGCGAACACTACAACCTTCTTGCACTGCTATTTTTAATCATAAATGGCATTGAATGTCTAGACATTTGAAATTACATCTTACCTGGTGAAATAGTTTTAACAGGCATCTTTGACCCGCTTTGAGGAACATTTTCTGTAGGCAAGGTTGTACCTAAAGTTTCTAGTTCCCCTCGATTGGACGAAAATACAAGGTCAAGGGAGGGAAGTTTCAACATGCACTCCACACGTGACACAGGTAAGCAGCTGAACTTGATTTGTGAAGGCTAAAAAGAATAAAACATGTTTAGGTTACATACAGAATAGGCAAATCAAGAAACAAAACTGAATCATTTTGGGGATCAGCCCCTGCGTGGACGCAGGAAATATCACAAGTGTGTCTTTCACAGGGACCACACAGAAGAAAAAAATGTTTTTCCTCTATCAGAACTAGGTTTTAGGTGCTAGAAATTCAGTTTAAATTTGAAGTTGGGGGAAAGCTAAGAATTGCTGATCCAGAATAACTGACAGATTTAATGATCAAGGTTATAAAAGACATAAGATACATTCTCAAGGTTATAAGGACTTACTACTAATATTAAGTGTTTCAGAATATTTAGAGCAATGGTGTCAAACTTGTGGCCCTCCAGGTGTTTTGGACTTCGGCTCCCAGAATTCCAGGGCATTGGACAATCTAGCGAGGGCTTCCAGAGGGATTTTGAGCATTTTAAAGGAGGCTATAGAGTAAGGCATCCAGTACAACACTTAGCATACTCAATAGCTTAAGCAACAAAAGAAAGGAAAAAAACCCTCTGTTAACAAATACAGTGGTATGATATCCCATCTCATCTTGGAAACTAAGCAGGGTCAGGTATGGTTAGTGCAAGTTGAATATCTCTTATCCAGAATTTTGAAATCGAAATACTTCCCAATTGGGCACATGGGTGGCTGAGATAAAGACACTTTTGCTCTCTGATAGTTTAATGTACACAAACATTGTCTAATGGACAAAATTATTAAAATACTGTGTACTGTGATATAATTTATTTGATAGGTTATGTTTTATCTTAAATCTAGATGTTAAGTTATAATATGTTTTTATATGTTGGGTTTTTTTGTTTTTGTTTTTTGTTTTGTTTTGTTTGCTATTATGTGTATATTGGATGTTTTATTCAGGCACTGAATGTTTGCCTTCTTGTGACTGGAATCCACCCTGAGTCCCTTTGGGGAGATAGGGAAAAATATAAATAAAGTTTCCTTACTATTTGTTATTATTATAAAATTACCTTCAGATATATCAACAAGGTGCACATGAAACATAAATGCATTTAAACCAAATTTAAACTTGGGTCCCATCTTGTTGTTGTTGTTGTTATTATTATTGTTGTTGTTATTATTATTATATTTATTTATACCCCGCTAACATCTCCCGAAGGACTCGGTGCGGCTTACAAAAGGCCAAGGCCCTCAATAAAACAACAGTATAACAAATACAACAGTAAAACTCATAAAGCAAAACAATAAACATAAAGCAATAACAATAAACATTAAAACAATAACACCATGACGCATTTAAAACTAAAGGCTGGACCAAATGTAATGAATAAAATTTAAAAAGTGCCGGACATGACAGGTGGAATGTATAGTTTTTTAGAGGTACGTCCAAGATATCTCCAAGGAATACTCAACCAGTACTTGAATGGGGATTGCCAACAAAAGTGCTGCAGGCTGTATCCCTTGTTTAAGAAAATCCCATGAATTTCAAGAAACTGCTTTAAATTGACAGCTTATCTGAAGGCACATACACAAAGGGTATTGGTTCTGGATCTGACAAACTATGGTTCAAACCCAGGCTTGGCTGCAAATGACACAGAGCCTTGAAAAGATCTACGTATCTCAGCCTCATCAACTTTCATGGGATTGTTGTAGAAGTAAAATGATGCATTAAATACCTTGGAAGAATACATAGGATGTATCATATTAATGCAGCTGACTCTCATCCAAATGAAATACATGCAAACAACTTCTTAAATTATAATTTTTGGCCACTGGATATGGATATGAGATATGAGAAAAGCCAAAGGTATAGTTCTTATTAGCTTTCATCCTCACCTGAACTCTGACATATACCACTACATCAACAGGGAAGGAAGAGTATGCTGATGTTGATGAAGACACTAAGGAGGCTGTGGATTCTTCTAAAGGGTCCTGCATATCAAACTGTCCCATATCCTCATCCTGTGAACTGACTGATTTAAAAGAACAAAGGAATTATTGAAACAGAAAGACACATTTTCATGAAAATGAACATAGAAAGTAAACTTAAAATTGCCGGTAGAAACAAATTCATCTGTTATGTGATACCTGTATAATTCCTTTCTATTGGAGTGATAGGAATTGTTTCAAGAGCTTTCTCTAGGAAGTCCAGCAAACATGGGCTAATCACCATTTCTTCTGGCAAAGACTGCAGAGCAACCCAGGCGTATAATTTTGCCATTTTTACACCACCACTTCCTTTTCCTTTGGCTGAAAGATTCCATAAAAGACTTGGTTTAGTTGAGTTAACACTTTCAGTTAGAAGACAAATTAAAAAGACAAAGAAAAGTGAAAGTCAGGTCAAGTCACGTCCATTCAATTGTTTATAAATACTAACTGAACCCTGGCTGAAATAGATAAAAACTTGGATCAATTGCACAATTTTCTTACATGGGATGAATTTTAAGTCACAAAGAAGTGTCAATTTAAATAATTATTTCAATCAAGTTCCAAACTGTATTACTTAAAACGTAATAATATAAAGATGTATGACCCCTAAAATAGATATTTAAAGAAAAAACAATATTTTTTTACAATTTTCAGTTTAAAAGGGTGTTCTTTTTTATGAATAAAAAGAACCAATTTGATAACTGCTTAAAACACTACTTAGAAAAAAGGGCAGAATTACAATGTTCTGCTTACTGTTGCATTGTTCCCTACCCATCTTGTTCCTCTCTGTTGCATGAGAATTAGCTAAATGCTTATCTATAAGGGTTATCCAGAAAGTAAGGTTACAAGGCACGTAGCTCTCATGGGGGAAGTTGGTATCACTGCCATGTAGCAAGAAGTCAGTGGAAGCAAACGAGCAGTGCCAGTCATCAGTAGCTCATCAACTGGTGTTGTGGTGAAGATTTGAGATGAGTGTCCTCATTCTGTTTCCTTCCAAGTGCGAAGTTCGCACTGTAATACACTACCTAAATGCTAAGGGTATGAACACCACTGCGATTCATCATGAAATTGTTTCAGTTTATAGAGAGGGCCTACTGTCAAGACAGCATGTGACAAAATGGGTATGCAACATATTATGAGATCATAAAGATACTTTGCAGAGACATCCTAAACAAACGTCGTGGGATGCTGACGGTAGGAGTCTGTCTTCTTCATGACAATACGCATCCACATACCACTCATGCAATACAAGAGTTGTTGGCTTCATTTGGTTGGGATGTTTTGACCCACCCCTCTCACAGTCCCGATCTAGCACCCAGTGACTATCATCTGTTCACTAAACTGAAAGAACACCTGGGCGGAAAACACTTTTCCAACCATGATGAGATGAAAATCAAAGTGACGAACTGGCTGAAAAAGGTAGAGGGAAACTTCTATGACACAGGCATCAAAAACCCGTCCCATTGAAGACAAAATGTATTGAACTGAATGGACACCATGTAAAAAACATAATGTAATACCTATGCTACAATCCATGTAAGTTTTAATAAAATATATTCATTCTTTGTATTTTTTTAAAAAATCTTGTAACCTTACTTTCCGGACAACCCTCATAATTCTTCTGAACTGGTTTTGGAAACATACTAGGTATTGCATAGGGTAGAGATAGTGTCAACTCCTCTGAAATTTTATTGTCAGTTCAGAAGTAGATGTTATAGCAAGTTCCAAAGCAATTAAACATCAATAAAATAAGTAACAAGTGCCTGTGAATAAAGACATCTTAACTTCTGATCAAAAAGGTAGCAAGACAGGGAGTTCATTAGACCTCACTCAACAAGTGAAATATCTTTTCAACTAACTAATATCTTCTTCAGTACAGGAAAGTATGTTGGCCCAGGAAAATAAATTATGAAATTAAAGATTTATGTTGCTCCCCATCTACACACATTTAAGGACAATAAAGTAAGGACTTTTGTTTAAACAGTTGTATCCAGAACTTTATTAGCTAGTAGTTCCTAACTAAAACAATTCCTGGAAATACAGACAAATAAAATAAAATATAGAATTAGTTTAGAAAAATAAAGATTGAATTATGTTTCTGTCAAAATTAATGAATAAGAAATCTAACCAAAAAAGAAGGAATTAGTTGAGATCATTAAGGTATGTTTGTAAGTACAGAAATGTTTCTATTTTGTAAGACTTAGCAGCAGTTAGAATTATGCATGATGGCAATGTTTTATCAAAGTATAAAGCAGACTACAGGTCTAAGCATTGAACTCTACATGATGAAGTGAATTAAATCAAAAGTTGCAGAATGAAAGAGAAATATCTACCTGATGGAATAGGTGGGGGTTGGGGAGGAAGTAAAGATCTAGCCTTGCTGTGAGGAGGAGGAAGAGGAGGCATGACAGTATCTTTCATACCGTACAACTTGGATTCTTTGGAAAGGGTCCTTGGCAGAGATGACCCTCTGGAAGTATTTGGTGACTCAGTCTTTAACATCTTCGAATTATAATGTAGCTGCAATGAGACAAAATTGCAAATATACCACCACTGCTATCTGCCTTAGGTAGGCAGTTTCTCATGGCTCAAAGAACAACAGTTTCATAAAACAAACATTTGGGCAGGAGGGTAACCTATTACATTTTACAATGAAAAAACCAAGTGTTTCTATTTAAATCTACTTTAATCCATTCAAAAACCCCAGGGACACAGAATATATTGTAGCTAATATTTCGCTAGAAATACTTTTATTGTCCACTCTGTTGAATTGTAACAAGAGCATTTGGTAGTGCCAAAAACCTATCAGCTGTTTTTGCTGCAACAGACTAAATATCATTGCTGTCAAGGCTGAATTTCATTTCTCTTTTGCTAAACAATAGATAATGATGTGATGTAAAGTCCTAAAGCTCAGTTAAGGACAAAACAGTTAAGGAAATCATATTTATTTTATATGACAGCTGAACTTAAGTATGTAAACACTAGATCAGGTTTCATCTAGTGCCAAGATAATATTTCCATTAGTTATTTCTCTGCTCAGGTTAGCAAGCCATTATTTCCAGGGTTGTGTTCATGTTGATTAACAAGGATGTCCTAGCAAACAATGGAAGGAAATATACAGTGGACAAATCACAAATTTACTGATACTTTCTGGGCTGAAAATGCTCACTCTAAAATGACCTTAACGTTTACTGAAATCGGATTTGTACATTACTTTGTATGTATGTTTTGTTATTACTTTCTCGCTATCTGTATCGCATTAAGTGATGAAACACTATAATTCTGTTTGATAATATTTAACTATTGAAGACAACCACATTCCTCAGACTTCCTGTATATATATATATATTACCTTTACATCTACACCAGGAATGTAAAATACTGTTGTTTCCAAGTCACTGGACTTTGTCTGCAGAGATGATGGCACTTTCTTTCCAGCCAGTAAGTGAGTAGTAGAGGCGTAATTAGTTTGAAATTTCTTTTTTTTGGAAGGAGACTCTTGATCTAAACTTCTGGAACTGCGATCGTAGCTCCTAAAATCAATGCAAAGAATATATTTAATGAGAATGTAAATGTAACATTACATTTTATCCTGAAAGTCTCTTATGCACCTCCCAGCATTTTGAACAAAGTAGTTAGAACTGTATGTTGCATTTGGAATTAAAAGGATCTACTTTGAAAAAAACCCACTTCTGAAAAATGCAACAAAGACGGGAATGGAAACATCTTGTGCCAGCTGAATCCACTAGCCACAGCACTTTTGATTTTCAGCCTGAGGAAGAGCCACTTGACATCATATTCCTGGAGCTATACTCCACCTGTCCCATCAGGTTCTCTAAGGCCAGGAGGGACGGTGCTGATCTAATTTAGCTGGGGAGTGAGTTCCATAGCCAAGGAGCCACCACTGAGAAGGACCTGTTTCTCATCCGCACCAGTTGCACCCGTGAGGGAAGTGGGACCAACAGCAGAGCCTTCCCAGAGGATTTTAATCTTGAAGATGGCTCATAAAGAGAGATATGTTCGGACAGGTAAGCTGGACTGAAACCATTTAGGGCTTTATAGATTAAAGCCAGCACTTTGAATTGTGCTCGGAAACAGACTGGCAGCCAGTGGAGCTGATGTAACAGGAGATTTGTGTGCTCCCTGTACCCAGTTCCAGTGAGCAGTCTGGCTGCCGTCCGTTGGATCCACTGGAGCTTCTGAACAGTCTTCAAAGGCAACTCCACATAGAGCGCATTGCAATAATCTATACAGGATGTAACCAGAGTGTGGACTGCCATGGCCAAGTCTGACTTCCCAAGGTACGAGTGCAACTGGTACACAAGTTTTAATTGTGCAAATGTTTTCCTGGCCACTGCCAAAACCAAGGGTTCCAGCGATGAATCCTGGAGAACTCCCAAGCTGCAAACCTGTGTCTTCAGGGAAAGTGTAACCCCATCCAACACTAGTTGTAACCCTATACCCTGTTTGGTCTTATGACTGACCGGGAGTGTCTTGCCTTGTCAGGGTTCAATTTCAATTTGTTCGCCCTCATCCAGACCATCATAGTTGCCAAGCACTGGTTCAGGACCTGAACAGCCTCCTTAGCAGTAGGTGGAAAGGAGTAATAAAGTTGGACATCATCTGTGTACAGGTGATATTCAAATCCAACACTCTGGATGATCTTCCCCAACGGCTTCATGTATATGTTAAACAACACTGGGGACAATACTGAACCCTGCGGGGCAGAGCAGGTGTCCCCCATCAACACCTTCTGGGAATGGCCCTCTGGGAAAGACCGGAGTCAGGTGAACCAACAGGGACACACTCCCCCTGTCAAGTTTCCTACAAAGACCATCTACTAAGGTGACCAAAGCTGTTTCAGTTCCATGACCCAGCCTAAAGCCAGACTGCGCCAGCTCCAGATAATCAGTTTCCTCCATGAACACCTGGAGTTGCAAGGCCACCACATGTTCCATGACTTTGCCTAAAACAGGGAGATTGAACGAAGTGCAAAAGTTGTTCAAGAAGAGTTCTCTGTATCTTTCCAGTTTCAGTGGAACAATTAAGAGATGCTGAAATTTATTGAAATTGAGTAGAAATTACTTAAGATAAAGGGCGAGACATATTGAGAATAACTACTACTCTAGTCTGATGTCTAAACCAGTGGGAAAGATGGCAATTATGGTACCTTATGATGTTGATGGTATCAGTATACAAGGACTTGAACAGACTCCAAGTGAAACTGTGTGTAAAGGCTTATTCTGCATAATAGGTTCAGGCGTTTTAAGTGCCCCTTTTGACAATTTCTTAATTAAAATAAAACTGACCATTATCTTAACCAAATTGACCCATTATGGGACATAAAATTATTATATATGGAACTAACACATGATGCATGGTTCTGATTAATCTTACTTGAGACTTTAGCAGTTCTAGATAAAAAAACACATTACCCTTATTCACTATTGTTTTATCTATTTTTCCAGCTTTCTTACCGTCTTAAACTTATGTCATCGTGTTCTTGTTGAAGTGTTGTCGGATGCAGTACACATTTCCCACAGTCGATTTCAACTCTCACATCAAGTTCAAAGTCAATATTCCTCTCTGTAGTCGTTCCAGTCACACTTCTGTTGGCTGGAGATGTTGGCCACCGTTCAGTAAACAGCTGGTGGACAGCAGCAAAGCCGGTCGCTTTTTTACGAGATGGAGTCCTGTAGAAAGGAAACAAGTATTTTGAAGCATTTGATAAACTAAATTTATCTGACTTACTGAATGTGATTTCTCTAAAATATGTACTGCATTTTACTATTGGAACTTTTAATTTGGCCTCAAACCCACCAAAGTATTTGGAAACTAGTGCAGCAGATCTCATTAAGTGCCATAAAATGTTTAGTAGCATACTTTGAATCAACCCAATGGGGTACCTAATTCAGTACTGTCTAGATCAGAGGTATTCAACCTGTTGGCTTCCCTGGGCCACATTGGAAGATGAAGAATTGTCTTGGGCCTTACATGAAATACTCTAAAACTAACGATAACTGATGAGCAGAAAAGTAAGATCCATTCATAATTTTCATGATATCTGCCACCATAGATAAGCAAACAAACAAAAAGGACTCACATAATAATTTTATTTATGTGCCACCCTGTTCAGAGAGTCTTTTAAAATTGTAGAGCAGGCCACAAGTTTGTGATCACCAATATAGAAAATGTACATATTTAAGTAATAAAACTCCTTTAATTAAACAAAAAAAGCAAAAGGGAAGAGGGTAAAATAAAACTAGTGGGATATTCGACATTGTTTTTGAGAAAGCAATGCATCAGTATCTGGTTTGATGGAAGTAGTTGCAATTCTCATTGAATTGTCAAGGTGCTCATTAGATATTTTGGCTCCAATTCTACTCTTTGTGTGCTTCATCCTTGAAAATACCGTTTTCCCCAGAAAATAAGACACTTTCTTATATTTATTTTTCCTCAAGAAGACACACTATGGCTTATTGTCAAGGGAGGTCTTATTTTATTAAGTATGGTACAACAATCTACATTTATTCAATGAACAATGTGACAATTATCATGGTTACAATGCACTTGCAGTTCAGGCAGCAGGCTTTAGACTCCTCGCTCAGGGAAGCTCTCAGGCCTTGCTAAACTACAAGACACAGAATGCCTCGCTCTGTTGCCGTCACCGGAAGTAGGCCTCATTATGTCTTCACCTCCTGAAGGCATCACTTTCTTTGACCAGGCACTGCCCTGGGGCCTCCTGAGTTGGACCTGGTCCTCCGTGTGGTGTAGCACTTGGCCGGGGGTGGGGGAGTGGGGACGGGCTTTGTGGTGTGAGATGCTGCCCTGGTCCTGGTCCATTTCCTGGCCAAGAAGAGCCCTGCGCAGGGCTCACTCGACCTCCACCACAAGGCTGCACTCTTTACTGCTCTGCGCCGGTACGCTGCACGTCTATCACTATGTCTTATTTTTGGAGTATGGCTTATATTGTGAAAATGCTTAGAAATCCTACTACGGCTTATTTTATAGGTAAGTCTTATTTTCGGGAAAACAGGGTAGTTGCTCACAAATGTAGGCGCTGCCAAAGTGCAAATTGTGAATAAAACTCCAATATTTGTGGATGTTAAATACTTTGATTACTCCTTTCCATTCCGCTGTCATCTATAAAGTTCTCACTTGAGAATGGTGCAATCAAGTTACAAAACATTGAAAAATATCTCATAATATTTTAAGTAAGTTTACGATTTCATGTTGGACTGCATTCATAGCTGTCCTGGGATGCAGGCTGGACAAGCCTGGTCTAGATAATCTGTGATTCTCACATGGGACTCCATTTTTCAGACAAGGTTTTTTCCCCATATCCAGTTAAGAAACAGCCAATTAAGAATTTTATACACACACAGCATGTGCTTTTATCACAGAATTACAGCCTCCCCTAATGTTATTGTTCCATATAAAATAACACCTGTATTTACAGAACAATAAACCCCTTTCTGTTCAGATATTACTTAATTAAAGGCATCCACAACTGTAAAATGTATTTTACAAACAAGCTCACTGTGCTTTCCGGTAAAAATAAGGCCTCTCTCTTTCATGATCTTCCTCTTTTTCAGAATCCTCACTCGTTGAAGACAAGCTGTCATCTCGTCTTCCTTCTTCAGGCTGGAAGGGAACGCTTGGTGAGAAGACAGCTGGAGTTTTGGGTGAATTGAATACTGTGCATGATCCTTCACTATTGGATGAGTAATGGGATGGACCATCAATGGTTACTGACATAAGATCCAATTCTGTCTCTTCAGGAAACTGATTATAAAAAAAACAAAACAGACATTGAAGTTATGTGTAATGTCTTTACCTAAGGCAGAGGAAAGCAGGTGTCTTAAAGGAAAGCAATGCAAATAATCTTTGTTTGAAGTTAGCATTTCTGATTTTGAATAGACCAAGTGTTGTTATAAGAAGATTAAAGCATGAAAACATGTTTTACAAACAGATGAGTGAGCGGACTTGGACAAGAAAGATGAACAGAACATGTTGTACAGACAGCAGAAAAGTAGACTGAAGTAGTATTTTGATGAGTAAATTAACAATTTAAAGCAAAGCTAAAGAACGGCAAGAAACACTAAGACCACCTGTAAATGAGAGAAATTAATGTAATTTGTTAATGAATAGATGTGCATGCAAAATGCTGACAGAGAATGCACAGTATTGTCTCAAGATATCCTAAATAAACCATGAATAAGGACTTTTTAAAAACTAAAAATTATTCTCATGGGCCTTCATGAACACAGATTTGCTTTTTGGGATATACAAAGCTCCAATTAATATTTTCAAACAGTTTTGTTGTTGTTGAAGGCTTTAATGGCCAGAATCACTGGGTTGTTGTGAGTTTTCTGGGCTGCATGGCCATGTTCCAGAAGTTTTCTCTCCTGACGTTTCACACACATCTATGGCGGAAATTCTCAGATGATGAGTGGTCTGTGGGTTGTTGTAGGTTTTTCCGGGCTATATGGCCATGTTCTGGAGGCAATGAGTGGTCTGTTGGAAACTTGACAAGTGAGATTTATATATCTGTGGAATTTCCAGGGTGAGAGAAAGAATTCTTGCTCTTTCTCTGCCAGGCAGCAACCAGCCAGGCTTTGAAGCTGCAAGGTCATTAAATGCTAATCAAGGTGATCAACTGCAACATTCACACTTGCCTCAAGCAGACAAGAGTTCTTTCTCCCACCCTGGACATTCCACAGGCATATAAACCTCACTTGCCTAGTTCCCAACAGACCTTTCAACTTCTGAGGATGCCTGCCATAGATGTGGGTGATGCATCAGGAGAGAATGCTTCTGGAACATGGTCATACAGCCCAGAAAACTCACAGTAACCCAGTTTTGTTGTTTTTGCTCTTGTTTGTTTAGCATGGAGAAACTAGTTAAGCAGAGAGATTTCTCAAAAATATTTCTGGAAGTTGAGTTGGATCTTCTTAGCGGTGGCGAGTCTCTAAGCAGCCTGTCAGACCATATTGCCTGGGTATTGTAAATTAAAAAATAACAAAACTACCCCAGCAATGTTGGTGAGATTAAGCAATGCAACTACCAAAAAATTATGGGAAATTTCCCATTTTTCTGTTCTCCCTAGGCACAAGGAAAAAAAATACATCGGTGAAGGGTATATTTAGAGAGAGTTAGTGTGAAATGTTCACTTTGCAGTATAAATCTGGAAATTAACGTTCCAGAGAATCTGCTAACAGATTCCGAATCAGATTGTGTCTTAATCATACTAGAGGACAATTGCTTGTGGCTTCAAACTTTCCCCAGTTCAAGAAGAAACATCCCTCCCCACAGAAATGAACAAGATTATAATCTCCAGTTTGTGAAAATGCTGCCTTTATGCTTTGCACTACAATTGGCTTAGCTGACAGAGATGATCAATGAAGCAGATTTTCCATGCGATTAAGAAGTATATTGGTTGTTTTTACAAATACCTGAAAATACCCTTCCCCTGGGCTGCTGGATTGTTGTGCAATCCCCAAAACTGTTTTATTCAACTTAATTGAAAATGAAAAAAGAAAAACAAATTATAACAAATATATTTATTCAAGAAACTGGCACATTGAAAGAGGAAATATGATATGAAAATCAATTTTCATTAATGAACATAAAAACTAGCTATATTTGACAAATTCCTTAACTTTCTCCAGACGCTGGACAAGGCTGGGTCAATCATATGGATAACATGCATATGTTATATGCACATACAAATAACACAGCAATGTTAAAAAAGATTTCTATTATTTATATTTCTATTCCTGGACTGGAAGTAGTTTAAGACAGAGTACATTCAATCTGAATATATTTAGATTTTTCTGGTGTTGGAATATTATTGCAAAAAGAATGGCTTTGAAAACAATGAAATATAAAATAATATTTTGTACATTCATGACCAACTCCTGTTCTTAATATATGTTTCATCAAGGTAGTTAATAAAACAAATAACACTCTGGGCCTGCCTTACCGTGTCCTGTATATTGAAAGTCACTCTGGGACCAGGAGATGCTCCATCCACGCGTATTTCTGGAAGATCTTCACTTTCTCCAAGCCGGGTACTATTATAAAATAAAAAAGCATTGAAAAAAAGAATGATTATGAAATAATATGATATGATATCTTTGGTACAAGAGGAAAAATGAAAAAAAACTTTGGAAATCACTTTATAAGGTCAGCACTAAGTAAGATTTGTGAAAGATACAAAGACAGCTTTTACTATAAAACTCCACTATGGAGCTCACCCTTGGAAGCAGGATAGATATATGTGGGAAAAATCGCCCACATATAAAAAAATATTTATGAAACAAAATGGAACATACACCTTAAAAACCCAGAAGAAATTAATCAAACACACAAGAATATATTGTGGTTCCAGTTCAAACAATTATGAGAATATTATACCAAAGATTTTCCAAGAAAGAATCCTTATGGGGAAAAAAATCCAATACAAAAGAAAGCTATTACGAAAATTCACAAGAAACTTCTTGAGTGGTCAACAGAAACTGAGCAAGTCAAAGAATGTATGGTGACATAGGCAGCTAATATTAGACATACGATTAAAATAGAGGACTGAGAAAGAATCTGGAACTATACATTAAAATACATATACTGTATGCATATAACCTGAAAGAAAACTGGTACAAAATGATGTACCAGTGATATATAACCCCTGAAAAATTGGCAAAATGTTACAAAAATATACAGGACAAATGTTGGAAGTGTGAATCTCAAGTAAGTACTTTCTATCATATGTGGTGGTCCTGTAAATCAGCAAAGAATTACTGGAAGGATGTTCAAAATAGAATTGAGAAAATACTTGACATAAGAATCCAACTGAAATTGGAATACTTTCTATTGGGCATTACAGACATAGAATTAGACAGAAATAAAGATACACTCTTCCTCCTGCCTCTGTTTAAAAGCCTCCAAAGAAGGAGACTCCATTACGTTATCATCTAATATACTCTTATATTATACATTTTAAAAATGAAAAGAAAGTATACAGATTATGATAATATATTTGGCCTGTCATTGGTATAAACATTTGTTCTTTACCTTGCTCTGTCCATTCTTTTCAGAGGTGGTCTTCCTGAGGCTGAAATGCTTTTGGATCGATTATAGCTCGGCTTGTAACCTAGTCCCCACTTGTCTTTCAGAGACGCTGCCTACAAAACACACATCATGATCTGTCTCAAAAGCACTCTTGGATAGTTTAACTTTATGGGTAACAAAATATTTATGAATGCATTGACAAGTATTTTTGTAAACTAAAGGCACAACCCAGAAAAAGCTAAACACTCTTTGTTGCATTGATACCCAAATGCTCAACATCCCTTTAAATATGACAGCATTTAACTTTCCCTCCATACTGATATGTAGTCCACCTTGTTGATTAACATTGGTTCTCACATATATACAGTGTGTTGGGCAAGTGGGCTTATTAACAAAAGACCCTCCTCATAAATGTACAGCCGAGTAACATATTAGTAGCAGCGTGACCCAGTATTAGTAGCCCAAAGTGATAAAAAAACAAAAACACAGAGACCAATGTTATATATTCCTTAGGAGGCTTTTCTTTGTAGTAAAATAATATCGTTAAACTATTTACTATTTACATAACACAAATAAAGTTCAAGCTTCACACATGAGGCCTTCTCATACTGAGGTTTTCTCTTAGACTGAGGCCTACCTCACACTGTGAGGCCTTCTCACAGACTGAGACCTTTTTCTCACTGAGGTTTATGATGGCTACTAAACTACAGGCACACCTTCTTATATAGAACTGCCGCTTTTGCTGAGTTATTGCATCCCTTTAACCCCTTCAGTACTTGACTCATATTTCTGTAATTGGGTATGAAGACAGTAATGTTAATATGTTTGGAAAATGGGCTTCAGAAAAACTGCTCACCCTCATACTTGATCGTCGAAGTTTTTTGCGAACATCTCGGCGAATGTCATTGACAGCTACTGACTCAAGCTGCTGATACCGCTGAATTTCTTGATTTATTGTTCCTTCACTTGCACCCAATTTCCTGAAGAAGGAATAACAAAATCTCTAAATAAGTAACATTAGGGAGCATAACATAGCATCAGTATTATAGAAGTAGAACTGAAGAGACATGGATTCAAAGTCTTAAACTAGCCGTTTCCCTTTTTTTGTCATATGAAGTTTAAAAAAGCAATAAAGACAGATACCATTTTGAGCTCTTTCATGGCAAAGTGAGATAAATATGATTTGGTTTTTTTAAAATGAAAACTTGAGTTCTGAATGTTCATTGTAAATAAAGCTTTTGGTTTCACAAAGATTAGAGTAGCTAATGTACCTTCAAGCAAGGTTATGTTGCTATCAGAGTTGGATATTCTGTACTAATCTAGCTTGAGAGAAGCTACCACTGAAGGAACTAGACACACATATTGCTATGGTGAATTGCTGCAATCCTATGATAGAGAGGTCTTCCCAGTCTGTGTCAATTAGCATGAAGTTTCCCCAAAGCAGGAGATCCTAAACCCTCCTCCCCCAGCTTCATTGAATACAAAGCTATTGCCATGGTTAAGGAAGTCTACCACCACTGATGGAAGACAGGAATGATAACTACCATTTTATACGGGATTTTATATGGGAAAGGGTTAATTGGTTATATAGTACACGTGATTTTAAACAGTTTTTAACTTTTGTATTGTATGTTTTATATGTTGTAGCTGCCTTGGGTCTGCTGTGGAGAAAGGTGGGGTAAAAATAGCATAAATAAATACACACTTACTTAGGCGATCCCTCGTTGGACGAGTAAGATGGTCTTCCATTATGGATTTCCTTGTGGGTCCGTATGTGGCTGTGGAGCCCTATTCTTGCTCTGCATCTTCTTCTGCAGTGAGGGCATTGGTTTCCAGGTGGAAGGCGGTCCCGGTCGGGTTGGCTTGACGCGCCTTCCTCCTGGCACGTTTCTCTCTTTCACCCTCCACTCGTGCCTCCTCAAATTCTGCAGCACTGCTAGTCACAGCTGTCCTCCAGCTGGAGCGCTCAAGGGCCAGCGCTTCCCAGTTCTCAGTGTCTATGCCAGAGTTTTTAAGGTTGGTTTTGAGCCCATCTTTAAATCTCTTTTCCTGTCCACCAACGTTCCGTTTTCCGTTCTTAAGTTCAGAGTAGAGCAACTGCTTTGGGAGACGGTGGTCAGGCATCCGGACAACGTGGCCGGCCCAGTGGAGTTGATGTTGGAGGACCATCGCTTCAATGCTGGTGGTCTTTGCTTCTTCCAGCACACTGACGTTTGTCCGCTTGTCTTCCCAGGAGATTTGCAGGATTTTCCGGAGGCAGCGCTGATGGAAACGTTCCAGGAGCTGCATGTGACGTCTGTAGACAGTCCACGTCTCACAGGCATATAGCAGGGTTGGGAGGACAATAGCTTTATAAACAAGCACCTTGGTATCCCTACGGATGTCCCGGTCCTCAAACACTCTCTGCTTCATTCTGGAAAATGCTGCACTTGCAGAGCTCAGGCGGTGTTGTATTTCGGCGTCGATGTTGACTTTGGTGGAGAGGTGGCTGCCAAGGTAGCGGAAATGGTCCACATTTTCTAATGTGACACCATTAAGCTGTATTACTGGCATTGGAGAGGGATTGGCTGGCGACTGCTGGAACAGCACCTTGGTTTTCTCAATGTTCAGTGACAGGCCGAGCTTCTCATATGCTTCTGCGAAGGTGTTTAGAGTGGCTTGTAGATCTTCTTCTGAATGCGCACAGACGACATTGTCATCAGCATACTGGAGTTCTATAACAGCTGTTGTTGTAACCTTGGTTTTGGCTTTCAGTCTGCTGAGGTTGAATAGCTTGCCATCTGTCCGATAGATTATTTCCACTCCGGTAGGAAGCTTCCCATCAACAAGGTGAAGTATCATAGCGATGAAGATGGAGAATAGAGTTGGGGCAATAACACATCCCTGTTTGACACCTGATTCCACCTTAAATGGGTCACTTTGGGAGCCACTGCTGTCCAAGACTGTTGCCATCATGTCATCGTGGAGGAGCCGCAGGATGTTCACAAATGTGTTTGGGCACCCGATTTTGTGGAGGATGGTCCAGAGAGCGCTGCGATTCACTGTGTCGAATGCCTTTGCAAGGTCGATGAATGCCATGTACAGAGGTTGGTTTTGTTCTCTGCATTTTTCTTGGAGCTGTCTTGCAGTGAAGATCATGTCCACGGTTCCTCTGGAGGGGCGGAAGCCGTTCTGGGATTCTGGGAGGGTGTCTTCTGAGAGGGGCAGAAGGCGGTTTGCAAGGATTCTTGCGAGGATTTTCCCAGCGGAGGTTAGAAGGGAGATACCTCGATAGTTTCCGCAGTCTGTTCTTTCCCCTTTTTTGAAGAGGGTGATGATGGTGGCGTCCTTGAAATCTGCTGGGATTTTCTCGGTCACCCACACTTTTTCGCGGTCACCCACACCCACACACACACACCTTAATTAGTACAAGCCAAATATCCAACAGGTTCAACTTACAAATGCATGCAAAACCTTTTGTGAAGTGGAAAATAATGTTTTTATTCTTTAAAGCTGATAATATAATAATAATAATAATGATAATAATAATAATAATAAACATTATTTATAGACTGCCCTCTCTCCCTGAAGAGACTCAGAGCTGTTTACATACAAAAAAGCAAACATTCAATGCATTAATCAATTATGATTATTGGGAATGATAAATGCAGGTGGGCATGTGGTTTGGTAAAATGACAAACTAATACATCTTTTAATTTGGGTTTGGGTTTTTTTTAAGGTTTCCCAGAAAAGAAAAATATTTTAAAACAAGCAAACTCTGCTGTCTTGATAAAAAGCTCAGTTGTAGTACAAGAAAGGCAAGAAGTCTAAATGAGAATTGTGATAGTTTAAAAAGAAAACACAGTCACTTACTTTAGATCGTCAATTACTTTGGCTTGTTCATTCAGCTCCCTTATATCTACTAAGCGTTTCACATACTTCCTTCCTCGTTGCTCTTGAATTTGGTTACTAGATGGACCCTGTCTCCGATACTCGGCATTCTCCTATATAAAAACAGGAAGAGTGTTTCATTTCAATGCCGGCTACCTGAGGCAATGCTTAAGAAGTAGGTGAAAAGAAGAAGAAAGAACTAGTTTCGCATCACCAATCAGAACAGCATGCAAAATCAGTTTTTTATAAGCCAAATAATTGTTGATTAGTGACCCATGAATTTCACCATAAGTTTAGAGAGATGCTGTATATGCTACATACATGTCCCCATGAGCAAGACCTGCCCGCTTTTAAATGAGAACTGTTAGAGTTAGTAGTATCACTTGACGCTGATCCCGTCAGATATTCTACAGGAACAGAATAACGATGGCTTTTGGGGCTCAAGCCAAGCAGGTGATTGACAATCCGTTGCCCAAAAGTGAGCTTGTGAACATCTCCACATTGTGGACCACCATCTGATTTCTAAATGATAATAAATAGCAACATTAATAATTCAAATAATGCGGATGACTCTTTTTTCCTTGCTTTCAGACCTATCTTCAAGGGCTTCTGTACGTTTTTCTTGGCCTATACTTCCTCTTCAAACATTTTGAAGGGACTTGGCTCATTAATGTCCCAAAAATGCAAGCCACCTTATTTCTGATCATGACAAGAAGGTATCACAGAGACCTATTTTTGTTGCAATATTTCGTTGCAATATTTCTAGCTCCTGGTCCTTATTATTCTTGGAACATTATTTTGCCACCCCTTGTCCCTCACTTGTCATCTGTCAAGGACTAAAGTCTGGCAATGAACTAGCATTACAGTTGCCACCACATAAATACTGCAATACTAGCTGTGTTTTAAGGGGACTTTAGATTCACTCTTTCTTGAAGAGTATTTCAACTTTTTGAGATCAACAACAAATTTAAAAGGTATTCCATGAGTTAATACAAGCTACTTTCCAAAAACTAAGCAGATCTTTGTATTGCAGTACACAAATGCAAATTTAGCACTCTTGGCTAAAGTTGCTCTCTCATTAAAATACTCACAGTGTCAAAAAAAAGACTGCGCCCTAAGTCTATCAAAATATGCATATATCAAAATGTCTAGTTTACTCAGAACCACAAAGGATATGGCAAACCTTTAGGATATTTTAATCTGTTCACTTACCACACTAACAGTGGGAGACATAGTATCAACTTCATCTTCATCGGATAGGTCAGCTATGTTAACCGAGTTAAGATCAGCAATATCATCTAAATCCTCTTCTCCTGTCAGTGTCGTCAGGGTATTTCCCAGAGCATTTAATCTTTTCCCAATGTTAGGATCCATGTGCACATCAATGCCGCACATCTTCCATAGCACATTAAGGGTCCACGTTCCCGCACTATTGCTTTCTGTTTCAATAAAAATAATGGGGGGAAGCAGCTAATAATTTTGCTTTATGATAACAGGAAATTTAGGCATGCAATAAAAAGTCAAACATTTTATATGTAGCCTCATGAACCCCTTCTCAAGGAGGGGGGAGGAGCCGCAGTGGTGCAATGGGTTAAATCCCTGTGCTGCTGAACTGCAAACTGCTGAACCTAAAGATTGGCAGTTCAAAACCATGAGATGGGGTAAGCTCCCATCTGTCAGTTCCATCTCCTGCCAACCTAAACGTTCCAAAACATGCAAATGTGAATAAATAGGTACCGCTTTGCCGGGAAAAGGCAGAGACGCTACAAGCAATCTTGTCAGCTACACAATCGGGAGGTGACAACACAGGCTTCTCGGCTGAAAATGGAGAAAGCATCTCCCCAGAGCCAGAGATGAGCATCGCCTCCAGAAATGAAAGGAGAAGCCTCTGCCTTTGTTTGTGTGTCTCATTGTATATGATTGTAAAGGCATTGGATGTTTGCCTATGTATGTAAATGCTGTAATCCACTCTGAGTCCTCTAGGGAAGAAGGGTAGAATATAATAATAATAATAATAATAATAATAATAATAATAATAATAATAATTTTACATGATGAGAAACATTACAATAGTTTCCCAAAGCCTGTTGCCTTATTTTACTGGTAGATGAAAAATAATTCTGAAGACATTCTTCAAACAGAAAATGATAATTACTGTTATTTTTCTCCAAATGTTCAACATCCACAGTAATAGACTGAATGGAATGAGCAGACAAGGAAATGTGAAGTCTAGGAAGGAAATGGCAGTGGAACCCCGGCAAGAGAAAGTCAAATTAAATACTGTAAGTATGTGTTTCCTGATTTCTAGAGCATTAAGAAGAAGATAATTAATCTTTTTAAAGTCTTTACTACTAACAAAATTGCTAACACTGCCTGTAATTTCTTAATTTGTTTGTTAAGATAAAGAAAAGGTCACATTAAACACTAAACGGGATAATGAAGGCATAGTGAAAAAGGGAGAACTACATTTATATGCTGCAATTGTTTTGAAAGAGAATGCTGTAAAAAAAAGCTGAGGGGAAAAACTGTGTGAATATATGAAATAAATTTTACCCGCAGCTGCTTGTCCTGTTGTCCTTGAACATACTTCATAAGTCCCATCTGGTACCACACCTAAAAAAAGAGGGAAATATGGTGGGCTTACCAGTGCATCAAAAGTCTTTTTGGGGAGGAGGGAGTTGCAAATAAATTGAATAAATTATGTTAAAGCATTTCTTTTTCATGAATTTATATTTATGGACAAATTATTAAACACAATTGAGAATTCTGAGTTCTACGTTTTTATAGTTAAGTCTATATAACTCAAATACTTTAAGCAAGGAAACTACTCTTTTTTGAATCAAGAAGGCAAAGGACCACTAGAGGACAATACAGAAAGAAAAATGGCTTACAAGCATTCATAACTAGATCTGCTCGTGCTTCTGGTTTCCAGTCATCCCAACTCGTTTCAAAGCCATCAGCAAAACGGATACAGAAGTTTTTAAAATGCCCTTTGCTGACCAGAGACTCGGAAGAGCAGGCAGTAATTAAAGTGCTTTCAATAGTCAGGACTAATGCAGAGCCAGTGTCTAGATCAGCTGTATGATTACTCTGTCAAAAAAGGAAGACATCGATTACTACAAAGCCTATATGTTCTAAAGAGACCTTTGTCGTTTTGTTTATAAACTTTTTAAATATATTTTTCGCTTACAAAGTATGCACACAGGCAGACATGTGGTATTTGTTGTGGGCCCAGTATTTGTCTAATTTGTTTCATTCGGGGTTTCGTTTTGTACTGTCCATTCTGATGGCATGAAACGATAATCCAATTTTTGTACGGGAGAAGGGGTGAAACGAAAGAGAAAGTTGCACGGTTACTGTTCCTTTGTTTGGTTTTCGGGCCCTGTGGCTTTGCTCATGTGGCCTTCTGCATGCCTCAGAGGAGGAGGAGCAGGTATCTGGGTCAATCAGAGCCCAAGAAAACAGTGATGCTGCCAGGCTATATATGGAGAGACTGCCCCCATCGGTGGTATCTTAAACCCTGCCTTTAACCTCATATCTCCTCTGCAGATCCAGAGGAAAACATCTCAGAATCAGTGGTATCTTAAGCCCTGCCTTTAACCTCAGGTCTTCTCTGCAGATCGAGAAGAAGGGAAAGAGGGAAAGTTTTAAAATTTTTATTAATAGAAAGAAAGAAAAATCCCTAAAAATCGGGGGATGACCCAAACGTTATAAAACTTGGTGGACTAAGAGTGGTTGATGTGCTCTCTATATGTGGTCATTTTCACTTCTCTAGTCCTAAAACAGAGGGGAAGGGGAGCCTGGGAAGGCTGTCCATGTTGGCCACTGGTCCACAGATTTTTGTTCATTTGGATGAAAAAACGAAATAGCTCATTTGGAAAGACCTCATTTTCAGAAGCAGCACTCAAAAAATGAAAATGGGGCCATACGAATGAAACAAACCAAAACGGATAGTGATTCTATATAAATGCACAAGACTAACACACGTCACATAAATGCAAGTTATTCTAAAACAGGGATTCTCAAACTTTTTCAGCTGGGGAGCCCCTTTTGAAGCAAAAGGTTCTCAAGGATTCCCTAGAAATGTTTATATATTTATATCAGACACGAACACACTTTTTGACCAACATAAACTTAACATTATTTCTGTGGAAGATCTCAGGGCCATACAGTCCAAGGGGAAAGGATTTGAGTGCCAAGGGAGGTGAGGAAAAGGGCTTCTTGTGGCAAGGGAAGCGAGGGAAAAGGGTTTTTGGCAAAAGGAGGCTGAGAGGAAAAGGTTTTTTGCAGTGAGAAAGGCAAATTGAAAAGGCTTTTGGTGGTGAAGGAGGAGAGGAGCAGGAAAGAGGAGACAAAGCTTGGAGACGTAGGAGGAGGAGGTGGAGGGAACCGTGGAGCCCCTCAGTATGCTTCATGGAGCCCCAGGGGCTCTGTGGAGCAAACTTTGAGTACTGCTGCTTCAAAATAAATGGCTTTCAATCCGTTGACTATCTGGTACCTCTATTAAGTCAATCCCTAGAATACACAAGCCATTTTCTTTATAAATGTGCATAAGCTTTCAATTAAGTAACATATTTCAATGTTGTTGTTTTTTTATCAGGGACCGCTTTGACCAGGAACCACTTTGATCAGGGACCACTCTCCAACATCAGTACTAAAAGGGTTATGAATCAGTTTTTGGTCAACTTTAGATTTGGTTTGGTTATTTGGGGTGCTGATTCAGAATATTATATTGGATAGACCACATCAGCTCTAGTTTCTGATACAGAACACCCATAGTCACCATCTGCTCGCCCTCAGAAAACCATATTTAATAATCTAGAGCTGATGTGGTCTATCCAGTGCAATTTTCTGAATAAGCACCCCAAATAACCCCAGGGACAGGCCTAAAAATGAAGACACCAAGGTGCCCCCACTTCCAGGCACCACATGGAATGGCTGTGCTCAGGGGGCGGGAGGGAGAAAGAGGAGAAGCAGCAGTCAGGAGGCTTGTTGTCATGCCTTTCATTAGTAATCAGCCTCTCCACACCCAACATCCCCATTGCCTCGGCACCATAAGAGGGTTTCACGAGATCAGTTGTTCTCGTTGCAGTGGTGTAGTAACAGTGAGGCTGTGAACCATATTTTAGTTCTTGCAGACCACAAGTTGGGAACCACTGTTATAGAATAAATATGTATTAATGCTATTTCTTAATGCTAGTTGTTTGTCCTGCCACACACAACACAATCCACATTTTATAAAGTGTATTTTCCAAGGAGTAGTCTCCTTGAATTGCTTCTTAGAGAGCAATTTTCTTTCTACAAGCTCAAGCATAATAAAATTATGAAAAAGGGGTTTATGTTTCATGTCTAATATGAACACACAAGAGGAGAGGGAATATCTAAGTCACTCACTTTCTGTTACATTTTGCTAAACATGGGGAAATATAATTCATTACATATAGCACTTATTACTTACACAGTAATTCTGTTTTTCTTTCTGTCCCCCAAAATTAATCTTGTGCCCCTGCCTCTGAATCTGTACCAATATTAAAAGCATTGCAATCATATGTTTTGGTTATTACTTTTAAAAGATCCCAAAATATAACTATATAGATAGATATAGTATCAAAATAGTACATTACTCTATGGTCCAGTTGTATTATGCAATTCAATTGATAGCAGATACCATTAAATCCTGTTTACTCTACTCTGACAGTAAAACCCAACAAGCAAATATTACTACACTACTTTTCAAAACACAACTATTTTTATTTGGTTTTATACAATCCACATCTATTTAGTTGTCTCGTGTTAGGCTTTGTTGCAGTGGGCCTTCCAGAGAATTGTAATGCTAGGCTCAAATCACTACACTACGCTGGCTCTCATGTTAGGCTACAAGGAGTATATGTTAATATTAGCCTCTTTGAGTCTCCTTTGTGGAGAGAAAAAGCAGGGTATAAATAAACATAATAACAATAATAACAACAATAATAACCTTTCAAGGAAAATATAGTCACTTTCACCTAAATCCAATTGTCAGTCCTAACTAGAATAGATCCAGTGAATCACTGCAAACTACTCCATATACATTTCGTTGATTCTGTTTTAATTTTGAAAATGGCCCTCATCCCATTTTAGCAGCAATTTTGTACTATATTCTAATTTGTATATCAATGGTCAATAGAAATAAATGCATTATCTATCTCTGAAGTATTACAGTTTTAAAAGATGTGTTCACTGTACAAATTAGAGTAGTCAGGAAAATAATTTCCCTAACGAAGTGAACAATTGTGTTGACTACACTACCCTTGACATAATTTAGATACAATCTGCAGAACTACTTCCCATTTCAGGGAATCAAACATTTCAACTTATAATTACCATATATACTCAAGTCTAAGCTGACCTAAATATAAGCTGAGGCACCTAATTTTACTACCAAAAAATGGAAAAACATATTGACTTGAGTATAAGTTGAGGGTGGGAAATGCAGCAGCTACTGGTAAATTTCAAAATAAAAAATAGATACCAATAAAATTACATTAATTGAGGCATCAGTAGGTTCAATGTTTTTGAATATTTATATAAAACTGTAATTTAAGATAAGACTGTCCAACTCTGATTAAACCATTATTCTAACCTTTATCAGTAAATGTGCCTGAGCATCCTTCCAATACTAAGAGTAAAATAATAAATATAATAATAATTAGAGTAAAATAATAAATGCAATAACAATAATAAATAGAGAAAAATAATAATTATACTAAAGTAATAGACTAAAGTAATAAATGTAATTAAAATTGAGTTAAATAATAAATGTAATAAAAATAATAATAGAGTAAAATAATGTAATAATAATGGGAGTAAAATAATAAATGGAATAAAATAACAACAACAACAACAACAACAACAGATTAAAATAATAAATAACCTTGACTTGAGTATAAGCCGAGGGGGGCTTTTTCAGCCTAAAAAGGGCTGAAAAACCCGGCTTATACTCGAGTATATACGGTACACTGTTTTCACAAATTTCTAGCTTTCACTTTATAAATGCTTGACATTTTCAGTTGAGTGGATTTCAAGAACTGCTATTTATTCTTTCAATAGTAATGCTTATTAGAGTTTGCAAAACTGGTATGTATAAAATGCAGGGATTCCATTATTTCTTTTTTTAAAGTATATTTTATCCCCAAATCATAGAGGTACTATATCATTGCAATTTCAAAGTTCATTCAGCTATATTTATATATAAAAGCTTGTTCTGAATACTTATTTTAATTTCATTTATTTTCCCCTTTATTTTTCCCAAAACAGGATGTATTCATTGCTACTTCAGTCAGATCTTTTACTTTCTTTCGTACCTGTGGTGTGTTTGTGATGGGCAGGCAAATCCCCAAGTCATTAACTGTTAGCTGGAGGAAGAGTGTTCCAAAAGCTTGAGCAGATGTTTGCTGGATGCCGGGCAGCATATCAACTATCTCCTTTGTGGCCATATGAATATCTTTATTCAAGGCCATTCTCTGTTCATTCCAGTTGTCATAAGCAGCCTTGTAGTTCAGCCAGAAAAGCACAGCTTTGCAGAAGGAAAAATGTTTTTTAAGTCATGTTGACAGTAAGGTTTTGTGACTTATCCCTGATATTATTCTACTTCTAGACAACTGTTTTAATATGGCAAAGAATTAAAGCAGCAAAATGTCTACAACTTTTAATTCAAATGAATAAAAACTCCTGTTTACATTGCTATTCAGTGTAAAAAAAATTGTGAAACACAACAAAACATTAGTACCTCTATCAAAAGCCACAGGTTGAGCAAAAACGATTGGTCTGTTCAAAGTGATGAGCACAGCTTCTCGATCTGATGAACCACTGATTTCCTCTCTGAGGGCATTCCTTAATCCAATTCTGGTCTTAAAGTAAGCAACCTGATGGAAGTCTGATCCAGCTTCTTCATAAACCTTAAAAGCATTCCAACACACAACATGCTAGGATACGGCACAGCAAAAGATTGAATTTGACACTACATAAACAGAAATATGTTTGCATTTGCATGTATGTGTGTGTGGTAATCTTAAAAGGATGCACACTTTGGATAGAGCTCTGCTCATGAAACCAAACTCGTGAAACTCTCCTTAAACCTCTGTGTCCATTTTAAGATCACCATTAAAGAGAAAGAACAGAAACCAGCATGGGGATTGAAGAAGGAAGAGGATCCAGTAAACTAATCTCCAAATCCTCCTGGTCACCCAAAGGTCAAACTTCAATTTAATCTGAATATTTTTAACCTTATGGTTAACATTTCCTTTTTTATTCCCTTTTGAAAACTACGCAATATCACTGGCAGAATTTGAAAAGGAATGTTAAATTCTTACCTGATGTTTAACAATTTGTCCTAATGCCAGATTTAAGTCAACTTGGCATTTACCAAAGAGTTTCAGGTAGCTGGTACTACCAGGCATGGCTTTGGTTTGTATTCTGTTTGACAGCTCCAGTTCTATTAGCCCTGTTTCAAATCTTACAGCCCTCATGGATGGCGTTGTGGCTGTAACCTGGATACCCTAATATAGATACGGAAAGATGTTACAGACATTTAAAGATGTGCCTTGGCAGTTGGGAAAAATCTTCTGTCTTTTACAGGAAACTACTGAAAAGTGATCATTCTTTAGTTTATTCCTTACATTTAGAAAATATTGTTACAGACACATATCACAATAATGGACTTCTACTAAGAGACAGGAACATAGAAGATCTTCATAACTTTTTGCAATGTCTTTTTTACTAAATTGAAACAGACCAGCAAGAGGACTTACATGAATGTCTAGATAAAGATGGATAGACAGATCGACAGAAAGATGGATAGACAGAGGCATATGCACAGACGCAAATAAAATAATAATTTTAGTCCAAAAACCTTTCAAAAACAGCCCAACAGAGTTATTCCCTTACCGAGGAGCAGGAAAGGTGGAGAGAGGACAAAAAACATGTGCTGAATCCATTTATTAGGCTTGTGCACTGATTCGGTTTGGTTGGTTCCCTTCAGCCAATCCGGCTTGTTCGGCTGGCCATAACAGCAAGGGCTCAGCCACCAAGGTTTTTTTTTTTTTTGGCCAAAATGGCCCACATGGCTGCTGGACGTGGCGTCTTCCCTTCTATTTGGGAGCACACGGCACATGCTTCCTTAACCCCATTCCTCAAACCCAGACTCTATCGAAAGGAAGAAAGGAAAGGAGCCCAGGAAGGGTGCTTCCATAACCCCATTCTTTAAACCCAGAGTCCCTTGAAAGAAAGAAAGGAAAGGATCCAGGAGGGGTGCTTCCTTAACCCCATTCTTCAAACCCAGTCTCCCTTGAAAGGAACAAAGGAAAGCGTCCCGGGAGGGTGCTTCCTTAACCCCATTTTTCAAACCCAGACTCCCTTGAAAGGAAGACAGGAAAGGGTCCCAGGAGGGGTGCTTCCTTAACCCCGTCCTCAAACTTAGGCCCTCTTGAAAGGAGCCTTGTAAGTTCCCCATTCCCATCAATGGGCTGGATCTTCCCAGATCTTTCGCCTGCCTAGCCAAAACCAGATTTTTCTGTTAGCCAATTTTCAAGAGGCTTACGAAAACAGATTTGAGTGCCCAACAACATTCGGATATCACAAACGGATCCCCCTCCAACCGAATTGCACAAGCCTACTTACCACCTAGAGCTCTTTAGTCTCATATCTTGGCATCATTCAATTGTTAAATCACAGCAATCTTGAAAGAACGAACTATGTTGGCCAATGAAAGGTGACGTAAAATATATCTTTACAGAATGACTATTGGTTGAGTTAACAGTTAAAAGGAATTATGTCTATGGTTTTACTTTAAAAAAATACGATGAACTGAAAAGTACCTTAAACTGCAGACTCAAAGAATAAAGGAGGATCTTTGGCTTTTCACCATAAGTTGTTCCATCATGTTCATTCCAAAGAGGAATTGGCTGCTCTCCTCCTGCAAGTATTTGAAAAACCAGTTGACAAAGAACCCATAATTTCCCCTTCTTTCCTTGTTAAAATGCATATTCGAAATAATGCATCTAACATATTCCTCTTTAAGAGCCAAACTACATATGTAGTTGATCTTTAAGCAGATATTCCAAGTTTTTTTTCAAACAATTACAAGTAATTCTGATTTTATTTTATTGACCTATATTATGAAAGTTATGAAAGTATATTACCTACATTATGAAACAAATTGTTTGTGATCTAATATACCATACAGAAAAATCAACAAAAGTATTAACCTCTTAAGACCCTTTAATAAAAAATATTAGGTTTACCTGAGACTTTCTGAATTACTTCATTGACCTCTTTCATAAACACTTTCTGTACAAAGACCAGATGGTTCAAAAGCTCTGTTGTAAGATTATGCTCAAAGGATCCAACCTGGAAGGGAAAAATATGAGTTATGTTATATAAATAAGTTTTAATATATTTTAATGAAGATGTCCCTCATTAAGAAAAACTTAAAGCATATGGCAGCAAAACTTAGTTTATATTGTTCACCCAACTCAAAGTGCTATTATCAAAACCACATTATAAATGTCTGTCCTGAAACCTGGGTGTAAAGAGCCAAATGTGTACAAATAAGTTGCCAATATTCAACAGAACACCTTACAATGAAATCTTTAAGAGATCAAAGGCCCATTTAAATACAAACCTCAGCAACACAACGCAAATAGTTTCCCTGGAGATAGTAGCCTTGCTTAGTGGGTAGTTCATCTATGCTCCATATGTGATCTGAATAGGTATCATGTTCCTCCATTACATATTTCCCTGACATTGTTACAGGAGGGAGGTTAAGACTGGCGGAAGGAGGGATAGTAGACATATCAGTGGCTGAAACCTTGGAGGTGAACCGCAACCTGTGATTTGGCAGCTCAAATGTAAACCTTGTTTGTGCACCTGTGAAAGGAAAAGATATATGCTCAATTTAGTATTCTATATTAGAAAAGCAATTCACAGACTTCTGGTATCATTTATTAATGGAATATTAGAATTCTGAGTTGCATATATTTATTTATGTATTTTTAAAAATCTATTTTATCTATTCATTCATTTAATTTAGATTTGTTAATTTATATAATGGTTTATATGTAAGTAATTCCTTCATATAACAACTGACTCCATGCATAGAGTAAATAAATACATCAGCAATAAAGTAAAAAAAACCCTACAAGAATAAGATATCTATTTCTAGGACCTCAGCCTCTGTCAGTCACATGTGTGTGTGTGTGTGTGTGTATTCCAGACTTCCAATAGATTTACCAGGCAGCGTTTTAAAAAACAGTATTTTGAAAACTGGCTATACTATGGAGACTGTACACTAACAGCGAAGGTAACGGTATATATTGATTAATGAATAACATATATTCATGGGTACTACCATTCGAACACAAAATTGGGAACCAAAAGCAAAAATAGAATAGAGACACATTCCTTCATCACACACGTAAGAGGAGCAGTTATTCTGATTCAGAAAACTTTCCATCCAAAACTAAAAACATGCACATGCCAAACGAAACAAAGCCAATTTAACGATGCGTTACCTGTCATCCCATGACTTCTCATTCTTCCCATCTTGTACTCAGCTTTTAAGGATGGCAAGAGTGCTGCTCCAATTGCAATTCCATCAATCATAGCACTGAATTTAAGGACAATTGGCTTCTTCTCCAAACCTTCAGGGAGCTGAGGGAATTCGTTTGTTTCAATAGGTGTCTGGTTTACACTCGTAGGGGTTTTTTCTGCAGGCAATGGCGTTGCAATATCTTCTTTTGCAGGCTGTGGACTATTTGCACAACAAGAACATGGCAGTTACTGGATACTGTAATATTTTTGGTAATATAGATAGTCCCCGAGTTACAAACATCCAACTTACAAATAACTCCTAGCTAAGAACAGGGATGAGACAACAGGAAGTGAGAGAAATCTACGCCCAAAAGGGAACTTTGTTCCTGAAAGAGTTATCATGGGGAAAATGTGTCTCCACTGAAGCTTTCTCACGAATCCTTGTTTCCACAACAAGCCAAATTTTTCAAAATCCAATTATCACAAGGATAGAAAGTGAGGTGAAATCTTCTGAACAGGGGCACTTTTGAGCCTCTTCTAGAACTCTCATTGTTTACCCCTACTTTAGCCCTTTTTCGTTAGAGGAAATTAGTATTTTGTGTATAGTTTTGTGGGGGGGGGGGGTCAGTCTAGATAGCTTGTTTTCCTTTGAAGCCTCCATCGCCCTGCCCCTTTAAGAACCCCCTCGAGGTGGAGCCTCAGGCAAGGCACTTCTGATTCTTGGAGGAGTTAGCCTTTTTGGTGAATAGAAGGTGAAGAGACAGGAAAGCCAGAAAGTCTTCAAAATAGCACGTCCAGTCGGAGCTGTATTCAAGTCCGGTTGGAGCTGTATTCTTGTCCAATCAGAGTGGTAAATAAAAATAAAAATAAAATAAAAATAAACTATCATGTTGCTAGTCAAAGCAGAGAGAGAGAGAGAGATTCCTTAACTGCTGCTACTGCGGCGGAAGGAAGGAACTAGAGTGGCAGCCCCACCTACTGGCTATATATACTATCGGGGGGTGGGGGGGATGGGGGGGGGGCTTCTGCCAAAAAGTATCCTTTTAAGATTCTAGAGAGTTCCGAAACTGTCTGCACAGGTGCAGAAAACCCATATGTGTGCATTTCACAGGATCACGCAGAGGAAAGTAGAAGAAATAAAGATTCAAGAGCCTGAGTTCCACCAGAACAGTGTCTATCTCTCAAAGGATTTACCTTTCCTCATAAAGACGTTGTAGTGAGACTCAGGAGGAGAGAAAAAATCTAAAATTCTTGTTGGTTAATAAATTCTTGTTTGATTCAATAATATAGTCTCCGATCTGTTCCCTGTGCAGCCAGTTCACCTTCCAAGTAGTTAAGATACCGTGGGGGCAGAACAGACACAAGACAGCAAAACGAACACCACAGGGGTGTTATAACTAAATAGGTAGACAGATATGGCTGGAATTACACTTAAAAATGCCCCTATTCCAACTTATAAACAAATTAAATTAAATAACAAACCTACGGAACTTATCTGGTTTGTAACTTGGGGACTGCCTGTATATAAAGTATTAGATTGCTTATATCTATTGACTTGTAACCAATTAGGTCTCCAAATGATATATCAACGGTAGAACTCACGCTGTACTTGGCTGTCTGATAAGATCAGATATCTGTTTTGAAAGCTGGTGAGAACTGCGCACCATCATGCTGTGGAGTGTAGCTGGATGCTGAGGAATGTTGATGCTAATAGCACCTACTTTGAAGACAGCAGCATTGTTTGTTTTCAGCCCCCTTTGGGCACTATAAAGAGCTTGCGATTTGGCAATGCTACATTTCACCACCGTTCTAAGAAGAAACAAAGAACTTGTTTATTTATATACTAAATAATTTATATAATAAATTGTTTTACAATAGATGACCTGGATAGAATTTCTACATAATTATCTGACACTATTAAGTAGTTTTAATGCTTCGAGGCAGTAGTTATATAAAAAGATATACCGTATATTCCAGCATATAAGATGACTGGGTGTATAAGACGACCCCCAACTTTTCCAGTTAAAATATAGAGTTAAGACTAATCCCATGCATAAGACTACACCCGCGTATAAGACGACCCGTGACTTTTGAGAAGATTTTCTTGGGTTAAAAAGTAGTCTTATATGCCAGAATATACTGTATATCTGTGACTGAATAGAAAATTAATTGCATAAAGTCATGACTCAATGGAATAATAATTAAATAATAATTAAACTCAGAAGCCTGAAGTTATACACTAGCAGAAACAATAAATCAATTTTAAACTATTTTGTGAAGAGATATCCGCTACAGGGCACTAAAAATGAGTGCTCTGATATTTAGCTGATCCAGTCTTACTATAAACTACTGCATATAAAAGTGCAAAATAACATAATTTAAGTAATTATAAACTCAACACCTATTTGGGAACATCTCTTAATCTCACTCTGATTTTAATTCCCTTTCAAACATTTTTTCAATATTGGCTGTGATTTAACAGGCACAACCTTCTGAAATCTAATTCCAAGTGCATGCCTCTATTTAGTAAAAATGTGAAATGCATTCTTCATTACTAAAAGGTGAGCTTCAAATGAAAATATGATGTCATGCTTTCGATGTATAACAGTATGTTATACATAATTGAAAAGTGAGTAGAATCAGGGCATATTCAATATATTTTAATAGACAAAACAAATGACATCTCAAAAAAAAATCTTAGTTTTTTGTACCTTCCAAAGCTTCATCCAAATAACAAGAAGAAATATTATTAGCTATTACTATCTTTGGGAAGTGCTTCTACTTGACATTCCAAAGCCTGCAGATGGAAGTCTTATTTGGGTTTTGTTTATCCAGTTTTAAGCAATAGGTGAAAAGTAGAGTCATATTGCTGTCTCTTCTGCCGCTGATAACCTCACAAAGAAAGCAAAATCTCTGATGGAGAGAAGCCCCTGTTCAAATATTGCAGTGGTTCTTAACCTGTGGGTTCCCAGATGTTTTGGCTTTCAACTCCCAGAAATCCTAACAGCTGGTAAACTGACTGGGATTTCTGGGAGTTGTAGGCCAAAACACCTGGGACCCACAGGTTGAGAACCATTGAAATATTAACTATCTGCCACATTAATAGAAATCTCTCCTCTTCAAATATACTGCTTTTTAGGTGAGGAAATTGCAGACAGTGGTTAGGCAGTCCCCTCTTCATTGGTTGATTCCAAAAAGTGAAGTACTCATGTATAGGTTAAAGGCAGGTTTGGGGGCCAAAATTATGGATTTTGAAATGACTCGTAAGTAAGTTGAGGGTCATTCTGTAAAGAGGGGAACTCAGTGATGCCAACTCATGGGGCAGCTACTCCTGGCCATCACCACCATTTCTCTACTCAGACTTTCAAAAATTCCAGTCAGTGTCATGGTTGAGTGAGCAGAAGTGTTTCTTTTATAGTCTTCCGAGATGGACTACTCAGAGAAGGGCATGGTCCTTTTTTGTATAAGAGTTGAGGTACAGTACTCCCACTGACCTGTGAATTAGTCAACCCAGGTTTTTCAAGTTGATCTTTTTGACTAACATTTTCAGAAATATACATTATACAGGGTAATGCTCTAACTGGGCTAGGATGGCATCTAACCATAAGCAATCCCTAAACTTTCACTGAAATTTTACCTCCACAGATTGCAGGCTTAAATGATACAAAGTTTAGAAGATATGATGAACCAATCATTTTTTTCAATTTTGAAGTCTCACATCCAGTCACTTTAAAATATTTCCCAATTTATTCAATTCATACCTTTCTCATTGCAAAAGAAAGACTAGATTTTACTAGTTAGTTTCTTTTAGTTAAGCTTTAACAATCAAATCTCATGGCCTGGCCACAAGTTATATTATCTTTCATTTATTAAAGACTATAACCAGTCAGGAGAAGGGACTGGCAAAACAAAAACAACTGTTTGAGTATTCCTGGCCTAAGAAAACCCGATGAAATTCATGGGGTCGCCATTAAGTCAACAGGTGACCTGAATGAGAAACACATAATGGGATTTAGATATCTGACTCAATAGCCTGCTACTCCTAGAAACAAATGTATTATATAATAATGAGATATTTCCTTCAAAAGACATTGGAACTCTCTGCCCCGGAAAGTGGAGTTGGCTCTTTCTTTGGAGGCTTTTAAACAGAAGCTGGATGACCATCTGTTGGGGTGCTTTGAATGTAATTTTCCTGCTTCATGGCAGGGGGTTGGACTGGATGGTGCACGAGGTCTCTTGTGATTCTATGGCAAGTGTCTGTATACATGTGTTGCAAATCTCAGTATATACATAGATGACAAACTGGCTTTAAGAGTAGAAGGACTGGAGATAGTTATGGACAAGGGACAGGGGATTCCTACAGTTGGCAAAGCTGAGAACTCCTACCAACTTTGATTTTAACACTTGATCTGGGTCCATAACACAAAACACCTTGCTGTCCATGTGGACCCAGTTCTAACACATTAATAAAGCAGCCTGCAGTAGCTTTATACTGAAAGTCTATATTTAAAAAACTACTATTAAAGGCCAATCCTCATATTAATGAGAACAAAAACATTGCACTTGGCTAAAATTAGTGGGGGAAACTTGCTTCACTACTGTTTTATGTGAGAAACAAAAAGAACATGAACACACATTTAGATCAGAGTTTGCTTTTTTCAAATAAAGGGTAGTTAATCTAATACTGTCAATTCTATTTGGTTTTAACTATAGTTAGGAGCAGTTGAGTACACTTAAGGATGATAAAATACATTTTAAGTATACTAGACACACGGTCAACTGCAAGCCATTTAAACATAATTTGACATACAGAAATTCTTGTTTGGCTGTGCTTGTTGGTGATGTAGGGAAATCCTCCAGTCTACAGGTGAAGATTGGAAGAAAGTAAAAAAAACAAAAAAGCAAAATAAAGAATAAACAGTCATGCAGAAGAATTAGTCAGATATTTTTAACCCACAATATGACCAGTTGCTTGAAAACAGTAATATTTAAGTAGTTTTGCCTTGCAAGTATGGGTGATGGAAGGAATACTTGTTCACACTCTCAAGAACTTGAACATTCACATCAGTGCAAGTAACAGTTCTGATTGTTTTGCAAGTGGATGTGTAAAGAGGCACTCCATCCCAAATCAAGAGAAGGTGGAGTTTCTTGTACCTACTAAAAATCAACAGAAAATTTTTAAGGAATTTATTTTATTGCTTCAAGCTTTCTCACAGGGAGCAGATGTTTAGCCATCTTATAGCCTGTACTTGACAAAATTTATTTACATCTGTGAAATTCATATTCATATATGCAGTGGTTCCCAACCTTTTTTGACCAGGGATCACTTGAGCAGGGACCTGTTTGACCAAGGACCACTCTCCAACATTAGTACCAAAAGGATTACAAATCAGTTTTTGGTCAACTTAAGATTTGGTTTGGTTATTAGGGGTGTTGATTCAGAAAATTGCATTGGATAGACCACATCAGCTCTAGTTTCTGATACAGAACATATGTCATCCTGTAGACGTCATCTGCATGCCCACCGAAAACCATATTTAATAATCTAGAGCTGATGTGATAGTAGTAATCTTTGGTGTGTGATCAGCCTCTCCCCTCCCGATATGTCTGTTGCCTCAGCACTATAAGAGAATTTGGCAAGACCAGTCACTGTCATTGCCTCGTGGTTTCAAGGGAACGGTGACCATATTTTTGTTCTTGTGGGCCACTGGTGGTCCACGGACCACAGGTTGGGAACCACTGATTTATAGCAAGGTTGGATAAAGATAATCCTGGAACTGTATAGCTCCCTCTCCCCAATATTTTTGTGGTCTTCTGTACCTCCAGACTAACCCTTTTCTGACCCAAAAAGAGGATAAATTGCTGTTGCCTCCAGTGACAGCAATTTTCTGTTCAAATAGATTTCAAGGCCTCCCTGTATTGTCCAATTTTTTTGAAACCCCTTTTTGACAACCAGAGATAGACTTCTAGTCACTTTGGGTTTTTGTTTTATTGATCTATGCAATTATTTTGTTGGGGTATTTTAGACTTGAAAGTTTTTCTGCACCTGAAAAATCATTATACAGAAAACAGAAGTGTTTCAAGTGATATTGGTCCACATGTTAACTGTTTCCATGGTCTCTTAACCCTGGTGCTGTTAATGATACCTTAAACAGACAGAACGATATACTGAGTGTTATCTAGATACCTCTAAAAAGTATGTGAATGTGAACTTTGGTACCAACATGCTTTGCAGTGTTCTGACTGAGTGTTCAAATGAAAGAGTGAACTGTCATGCACTTAAATGTGAATAGTGGAGAGTGAAATATTAGGCAAATATTAATTTATAATAGCTGGACAGATTTACCTTTAAAGCATATTAATATCAGAGAATAAATATTTTAAAAGTGAAATTAGCATCATGCAAAAGAAACAAAACACTTTATACATTGCTTGCAAAGTTAAGTTACATGTATAAAGAACCCAGCATAAAGATTGCTCTTTTAAGCGCTGTTCATAGTGCAATAGATTTATCAAAGCAGTTTAAAAAGTAACTGTATTATTAAGAATATCATTTGCCATGTGCCATGACATTCTTGAACAATCACAACTTGCCCAGAAATTTATCATTTTAGAATAGAGATAACAGCATGATCATTGATAGAAAAGGGACTAGCAATTATACGCAGAACTAGGTTAAATATATACAAATTGCAAAGATAATAAGCAAAAGGGTAAGATGGCAATTCCATTCAGGCTGGAATTTCAATTATTACTTCAAACAATTATAATTAGAAGTCAGGTATCCTCACCCAAAAATACTTGGGAGCAGAAGTGTTTTGGATTTTGGATTTCCCCCCCAGATTTCAGAACATCTGTTAAATTTCTGAAATGGTGTAGTGTCAGGGTGAATCTACCTATCCCACAGTTTCATAGACCCTCCATTTCTCTCCAACCTCATGTTTCTCTATAGCTTTTCAACTGCTTATTACACACATATGAGATGAAAGGTTGGAGAAAGTGAGAGTCTGACACACAAACTATCAGTAGATGCTTCCTTGAAGGCAGAAGCGGGGGTGGCTGGAGGCAAAAAGAGGGATTCTGAGAATATGAGGGACAAATGAGGAGTATGACTGCCGTCATCCCCTTGAAGTCAGCTGGTAGTAAAAGGTTTTGGGTTTTGTGTTTCCAGATAAATGGAGACTCAGGCATAATTTAATATTACACATCTCTGATCGTTATTCAAATTAATTCTTATTTTTATTTGTGCATTTATGCCTAAATAATAAGGCATTTCCTTTTCATCACTTTTCCTCTCACAGCTTGCTCATGTAATAGAGCAATTGAAATGCATCATAATAATAATAATTATTATTTAAAAATAGGAACCTCCACTTTTTGGCATAAGTACATTCATTTCCTTATAAAATGATGGCTCAGGAAGAAGTATCGTTTTTTAAATCTAATACTCACTGGATGTTTGGCGTAATCCCTTCCAGAAGAACAATATTGACGCCACCTATATGAGCAGTGGCACACGTCTCAGTCATTTTTTGATGCAGTATATCTTTAAAGAGAGAGAGAGAGAGAAAGGTGAAATATAGGGATGAAATTACGTATTATTTGCAGGTATATTTGTTTATGGTAGTGATTCCCAACCTGTGGTCCGTGGAGCACCAGTGGTCCGCAAGAACAAAAATATGGTCCGCGGCCCCACCATCACTACATTGTTGCCTCGAAACCAAGCGACAACAAAAATGACTGGTCTCACAAAACCCTTTTATAGTGCTGAGGCAATGAGGATGTTGGGAGGAGAGAGGCTGACTACCCACAAAAGATTACTACTACTACATCAGCTCTAGATAGGAGCCCCTGGTGCCACAATGAGTGAAACCCTTGTGCAGGCAGGACTGCTGACCGATAGGTCAGCGGGTTGAATCTGGGGAGAGTGGGTTGAGCTCCCTCTGTCAGCTCCAGCTCCCCATGAAGGGATATGAGAGAAGCCTCCCACAAGGATCGTAAAACATCAAACATCCGGGTATCCCCTGGGCAATGTCCTTGCAGACTGCCAATTCTCTCACACCAGAAGTGACTTGCAGTTTCTAAAGTCGCTCCTGGCATGAAAAAAACAGCTCTATATTATTAAATATGGTTTTCTGTGGGCAAGTAGATGGCAACTACTGGACAGCATATGTTCTGCTGACATGTTCTGTATCAGAAACTAAAGCTGATGTGGTCTATCAAATGCAATTTTCTGAATCAGCACCCCAAATAACCAAACTGAATCTAAAGTTGACCAAAAACCGATTTGTAACCCTTTTGGTACTAAAGTTGGAGAGTGGTCACTGGTCAAAGAGATCTCTGTTCAAGTGGTCCCTGGTCAAAAAAAGGTTTGGAACCAGTGATTTATGGGAAGTTAGTCAGCAAGTGCTGTGATACTTCAGCTGCTGTTGAACTCTTAGTCCCTCTCAGTCTCAATCAGCATGGCCAGTGGGCAATGGGCAGAGATGATCAGAGATGATTCCAACAACATCTGCAGTCAAGAGGATTTCCACTACTGCCCAAAATAAAGCAGGATAAAATTTTTATAATGGATTTCTATTACACAAATATACAACTGCTTTTAAAAAGGTATCAGTCACTTGGGAGAATTTGTTGAAGGGTGCACATCAATGGTGGGTGGCCGCTTTCTGAAACCTTTTTCTTTTTTCCTCTCCTTCTTTCCTATGTATATACTAATAGGCTGCTAGGGGAGGGATAGATTAGTTTTGCAATAGCTTGAACACCTTACAAAGTGATATTGAGATTTGCCTAAAAACTCTATGAGACCATGCCAAGAGACACAGGTCTAGCACTTCACAGGACTCTCATTATATCAGGAAAGGCTTAACACATTTAAGTAATTAAAATTAGGTTGATAAATTGGTCTGGTCTTTATGGTGCATTAAGTATCCAATCACCTTTCATTTTTTCTTTGAGTGTAAAACTACCATGGATCCTTTTCAGTTCCGATTCCATTGTGAGTCCCCCAATATCTGCTTCAAGATGTGTGCGATTCACCATGCCTATTCCAAAAATGATTAGGGTCACATGCTGAGGTTCAGATATGACCAGACTGCGTTTCCTCTGTGTTCTGCTCAAGCTGCTGCTGTCCTGCTCATTCTCAAAGGCAACCCTACAGGCAGGTTCAGTAGGGCTCCGAACACCTACAAAAAATTAAGAAGATGATGTAATTGATACAGGAAAGAACTTATAATTACCTTATTTATTAACAGAGTTCACACTTAAGAATGGGTAAAAATCTATTCAGCAATTCTTACAACTAATTTCTCAATTTTAAAACTTATTTGTATTTTTTTGAAAAAAAAAACATATTTAACACAATGGCATTGTTACATCGTCTGTTCCCAGATCCATACCTCCACCTCCATCATTCACATAAGTAAAGGTTTCCCTTGACATAGTTTAGTCATGTCCGACTCTGGGGGGGTGGGACTATCTCCATTTCTAAGCCGAAGAGCTAGTATTGTCCGTAGACACCTCCAAGGTCATGTGGACAGCATGACTGCATGGAGCACTGTCACCTTCCCGCCATAGCGTTACCTATTCACATTTGCATGTTTTCAAATTGCTATGTTGGCAGAAGCTGGGCCTAACAGCAGGAACTCATCCCGCTCCCCGCATTCAAACCACCAACCTTTCAGTCAGCAAGTTCAGCAGCTCAGCGGTTTAACCCACTGCACCACCCCAGGGAGGCATTCAGATAGCCTTAGTTATTTTAATTTTCTCCATTAGATATAATGGCTGTGATATGTTTTTCTGATCGTTCATTCACAGTTTTTCTTGTTTGGTTGGTTATTTAAATTCGCCATTACTGATAATTAGCTTCCATATATTTTCAAACAGATCTTAACTAATAGGTTAACTTTTCCAATAGAGCTATTTTTTCTAGTGTTCTTGACAAATTATGACTCCCTTTAATTACAAATTCCTGCTTTGTTACTATTCAATAAATATTAAATGATGGTAGATCACCCTCTTCACAAGCTATATTAATTATGAAGCAAAGAAACATTTTGTGGCAATTCTCCACCTGAAACTTACCGGTTGGGTAAAAATTTTCAGAGGATTTTTCTAAAATCCCTGTTGGATCTGATATGAGAGAATAAAAGTTCAACAATTTATACATGTTTTGCCAACACTCTGCAGAAGGTTCACTCTGCTCTGACACTGTAATTGAGTCGGAATCATCCATATGGATTGCCACATGATCGACATCCTTTGAACCTTTCCTTGATACTTTAGAAGTTCTTCTTTCTGATCTTCCAAGTGAATTTTTGTTCCGAGACTCTTTTTTATTGTTCTCATTATTTGATCGTTTGTTCTTTGCATTGTTGATTCTGTTTACACCGTTGAGGCTCCCCCGAGAGCTGCGACTGAAGTCAGAAGAGCGGAAGTCTCTGTGTTTGCGGGTTTTAAATGTGGGTGTGGGAGAGGCCGATCCCGCTGTGTATCTACTGAGTTTGATGTCTGTTTGCGTAGCTTTGATATCATCTATCATGGTACTAAACTGGTGAATAAGGCGAACCAATGCCATATCTACATGCTGGCTTATAGACTGACATGAGATTGTAAAATTACAGTGAAAGGTGCTGTAATGACGCTTATTAAAGTCATGAAATGCAAGTGCACTGGTAGAGTTTTGAGGGGTGCACACGGACTTCTCCATTATCACAGCACTGATGCTGAAGGTTTCCAACATTAATGCTGGTTTGAATTCAAGTGGAGGAAGATTGACAGCTCCTTGCCTAAAAGAAGGAAAAATTAAGATAAGAAAACATTTTGGTTAAACTTTCATATATTAGCTAAATATTAACATCAGACTATTAACCCGCATCCCCATCTACAAACCCATTTGGACTCTGTGATCTTCGGAGGGGGCTCTCCTCGTGGTCTCACCCCTTTCTCAAAGCACAGCTGGTGGGAACGAGAAAGGGGGCCTTCTCTGTGGTTGCTTTTTCTCTCTGAAACTCCCTCCCTAAAGAAATTAGGACAGCCCCCCCCCCACTCCTCTCTTTCAATAAATAATTGAAAACCTATTTATGCTCATTAGCTTATGGAGAGGAGAGTGAATAATATCACTGATTCCATCTTGGTGGACAAAATTGACAATGATAATTTAATTTATTGAAGAGCTACATTTTTATATTTTATACAGGTTTTAACTGTTTAATTGTACTATCTATGATGCCTGACTGACTGATTTATATATTTATATATTTTAGCCAAAGCCATTTAATCTATTTTAATAGTATGTGTAAATGTTTTTGTTGTTTATTATTTCACATGGCATTGAATGTTTGCCATTTTCGTTGTTGTCTCCTAGGTCATGTGGCCAGCCTGAGTGCATGGAGTACTGTTACCTTCCCACAGAAGCGGTACCTATTGATCTACTCACATTTTCATGTTTTCAAACTGCTAGGTTGGCAGAAGCTGGACCTAACAGCGGGAGCTCACCTGGTCCCCAGATTCGAACTGCCAACCTTTCAGTCAGCCAGTTCAGCAGCTCATTGGTTAAACATGCTTTGCCACCAGGGGCCCCAAAATATACTTTATGAAAAATCTTTAATTTAATGTTAAGCAAATGCAATAATTATGTTGCCCCTTCATACACTCAAGCACATTATTTATTTACTTTGTTTTATATCCCACCCTCTCTCCCTCTTTGAAGGACTCAGATTGGCTAACACATGGCATAAGTCAATGCTGTTCAATAATTCACCTCACATTCAAATATATAAAATCAATACATATAAAATCTACAATACTCATCTAGTGACAACAATAAAGATACTGGACCTATTTTGCCCATAGCTGATCCACCTTACTGTAAGAATAAGCTTTAACTGGAGAAACATATCAGAAATCAGAAGTATATATTAAAATATGGTAACACATAAAAAGCTGATCTCTGACAGTTGTACTGCAAGTTTTCCTGATATCTTATGTGGGATGATGCAAACCACCACCACATGCACCCACTGCTGTTACTTCTTGCTTCCACTCTCTATCTTGCTTTGACAACATTTTTAGAACAAGAGAGAGGGTAGGCAGACACGCCATATAGCTGTCTAGGTTCAACTGCATGGCTGAGATGGTGTTTAAAGAATGTTGTGTCCTTGGAGAGTGGCGAGCCTGCAGGAAGGACTCCCGTTAGGCATTTAGCCTGTTCTGAAATGGGTCCTCAAAGCTAGATAGAGGGTGGAAGATGCTCTCCTGCTGTGTTTGCCTCAGCAGACTGCAAGGCTGGAAGGTTTCTCTCAAAAGCTACCATCATGGTGCCTCCCCACTCCAGGGAGATGGCAGGATGTCCCTCTGCTGTGGAGCCAAATACATGATATGCCATTCTCCTAACCCTGGCATGTGAGAATTCATTCCATATACTGGCTTTTCTTGCCATCCAAGATTTAGCTCCAACTAGTTTGTCTTAAATGCATACTTTTGTTGAAATGGGATTGAAGCATTTCTGACCTCAGAGAAAAGATGAATCAGAACTCAACAAGGTCAAGTAATCTACAGTGGGCAAATAGCGTACGTACTGATGTCCTTTAATATCAAACATGCACTTGGAACTTGAAGGCCATACCTTCTTGCTCTTTTGCTTCTTCTTTCCTTTGCTGTATCTGAATCAACAATGTCTGCCCTGAGGCAATCCAGTGTCCCTGAGAATGAAAGATGTTCTCCAAAGTACATCCTGTAACACAATGGTACTGCATCCTGAGATTGAATGCCTGTGTGGCTCAGAAGAGGCTTGAAAACAACCTATTAAAAAAACAAAAAACATTTTTTCTTGTTTTAGATAGATACATTGATTTATTTGATAGCTGCAGAAAGCAGAGCTATGGCCTTGAGTAAAGATGACCTAGTGCAACCCGCGGCCCTACAGGTGTTTTGGACTTCAGCTCCCAGAATTCTGCATCATGGGACAAGCTGGCTAGGGCTTCTGGGAGTTGGAGGCCCAAATGCCTGGGGCTGGGAGGCCCAAATAAGTTGTGCAGGCATGGCCTAGTGTTATGTTTAGCATTATAACCCCTACTGTTGTTAACACCAAATTCCCCCTAGATTGTGAATCTATTTTAACCAGTTTTCTTAATGCACATTTAATTCTTAAATCTAACCATGATAAACTCCAAAAAAATATGAATGGGAAATCTCTAAGGGAGTGGTTCTCAACCTGTGGGTACCCAGGTGTTTTGGCCTACAACTCCCAGAAATCCCAGCCAGTTTACCAACTGTTAGGATTTCTGGGAGTTGAAAGCCAAAACATCTGGGGACCCACAGGTTGAGAACCATTGCTCTAAGGCATGTTGGCTCTTTTCATATCATGATAAAGAACTGCTAAAGGGCTTTTGTTTTAACATATGCAAATTAACACTAAAAAAGAAAAAAAATCCTTTAAGAACAAGCGCTAACCCAAGAATCATAAAATCATAGAGTTGGAAGAGACCCCATGGGCCATGCAGTCCAACCCCCTGCCTCCAAAGAGTAGCCTCTACCACACTCTGGGGCAGAGAGTTCCACTGCTGAACAGCTCTCACAGTCAGGAAGTTCTTCCTAATGTTCAGATGGAATCTCCTTTCTTGTAGTTTGAAGCCATTGTTCCACATCCTAGTCTCCAGGCCAGCAGAAAACAAGCTTTCTCCCTCTTCCCTATGACTTCCTCTCACATATTTATACATGGCTATCACATATTTATACATGGTTAGGATACATAAAAATGTACTTTGCCTGATTCTGCCTCAGATAATGACCACACTCCCCTCCCTTTAATTGAATGACTGTTTTCTTGGAGGAATCCAAGAATGAACACATTCCTCCAATTATAAGACAACCAAGAGAGAGAACAAAATCCACAAGAAAAGCAAACCGTTGCACAAGGGCAACTGACTTCATGTGAACAATACAAAAGCTAGCTGGTATGTGATGCTTCTCAGCCTGGCAAATACGAATTCCTCAAACATCTCTATGTCATACTGAGGTGTGTCCTGGAGTGTTTTTACTTCACACATTTTGCTGGTCAGCCTCAGTCTTTTGCCTTTTTGAAAGCTTGGGACAACAGAACAATGGCCTTGGTGGCCAATGCTAACAGAGTTCAGATGCAATTGTTCTGCTAAGATCTTCCAGGACTGATTCTCTAATGCAAGTTTTTTTTTCAATCTGGTGCCCTTCAAATATATGGACTGCAATTGTTACCATGTCTAAGTAGACTCTGTGGTGATTGTGCTGGCTGCAGCTGATAAGTATTGTAGTCCAAACTGCCTAAAGGACTTGAGTTTTAGGAAGACTAATGCATTCTCCAAGAGTTTAATTTTATTTAAAATGTCGTGTAGCAGATGGGACAGATTTGTTCCCTGGTGGTTTGGGGAAAAAAACACTAATACTATGTAGAACTTACAGTACATAGGGTACACTTACTCTAGGTTTTCTATTGTGTGTGGGAAAAAAAGTTGTTTCGGCTTTACATTCCAGTTTTGAAAGCAAACACTCACCTGGGCATCTGCAAGCTGAACTGCAGGGAATCCCTGGTTGCCCTCCTCAATACAAGCGATGTCATCTTGACTAGTACTGTGTTGTGAATGAGTCCCATCCAATGTATTCTGATCACTGGACAGTACTGTATTGAAGTCAGATGCTGAAGGTATAGTTGGCAGATTTGGGGCCACACCTATAAAATATTTATTGTATTAAATCCTCCAATAGGACTCTTACTCCTAAAATATGTGGACCCATTTTGTTTGCTAAGGAAGGATAGCAAATGTATTGTTGAATGCTTTCATAGTCGGAATCACTAGGATGTTGTGGAAATGCTTCAGGAGAGAATGCTTCTGGAACATGGCCATACAGCCCGAAAAACTCACAACCAAAGGATAGAAAAATCAGCATTACTCTGTCAGCTTGTGTTATTATCTAGTCACACAAATAAATTATGCATAGCAATGACAACAATAAAAATGTATACACTTCTGAAAATCAGAAGGCTGAGAACTGAGATTGCCCTATTTGTGGATGCCATAACTATCTGGATTGACCTTGACAGAAACTGATTACGATGGACGTTTTGTTTGCACTTATTCTTTTGTTTTATGTGACTTGTTTACAGGATCTCATGCTGTGATTTCACTAGATATTACTGTAAACAAAGTTTATTGATTAGTCCACTGACCGTATCAACATTAAAGACAAAAACAAAAACGTACGCAAGTAGACAATAAACACTATCCTAAGACTCCTATAACTGTGAACTAACGTGCATTCAAACTTGATTAAGTTAAAGGGTAATTAAAATATCATCATTAAAATGCCAAGGTAAAATTTCAAACCACAAAAATTAAAAACGAAGGTTAAAACAAGGGTTGAAATAGACCAGCTATTAAACAATCCCACTAGATACTACTGCTTCTTATTGACTTAGTAATTCTCCTCATCTTCTGCAGCCCTCAAAACACCCTACAAAACTGAATCAGAGTAGATTTTGGTGCCATAAAGAGCTATAATGGGAGAAGGACGGGGGAAAAGTCCCACTTCCCTGACACTTTGCATTTTACCTTATGTTTGTTTCGTCATCCGTTTAGAAATTCTAGAGAAAGGTTATCATAAAGAAGACCATGAGCTCTTTAAGTAATGAATGCAGCTATAATATTGAATACCTGTTGGGAGACTATTGTGTCCAGATTTGGTGACCGGAGACTCTTGAACTACACTTCCTCTGTTGCCTACAGCATTTGACATCCAGTTATAAAAGCTTACGGACGATGGCTCCGATAACAATGGATGTTCAGATAATATTTCCGAGGGCATAGTGTTCACTGCACGGATATACAAAAGACAACCTTTATGTAACCTGCAATGCTTGGGTACTTTGGTTATAATGGTAATCATTTCTTTTCCTTTCTTAATGAGCACAAAAATATTTTTAACCAAACAGAAAATGTCAAGTGGACAGTAAACAGGTCATGACATGATCTCTCACAAGACATTTAGCAGAACCAACCATCTGCACATACCTTTTAATGACTGAATATTCTTTCTTTTTAATTATATCCCTTCAACAGTATGTCTCTTTTCCCCTTTGATATATTTTCCCCTTTGCCTGTTACTGTTTCCAGTGTGAAATCAAATCACTACTGAATGTTTGCATCACTAAAACTGAGCCATGCTACAATGATTCTGTACCTGCTCTTGTTAAGGAACTACTTTTAGGGGCCGTAGAGCTTCTCTGAGGTGTTCCTTCCAAGAGATTGTGGAGGCTAGGAAAGCTTCCTGTCAAGTAGCTGAGTAGACTCTCCTTTCTTGGACTTTCTTTGATGGGAAGTCCAGAGCGACCAGCATGCACCGGTGAGTCAGTAACTGTATCTCCACTGGTGTAGCTCAGAGAATGATACGGATGGATACCCTGAAACATGAACGGAAACAAATCAAGACACCTAACCACTGGTTATGTTTATTTCTATGTTTAATGGATGTTCTTTTTCATGGGTGTGCTTCAGATTACAATAAAAAAATACCTGAATTTCAACATGACTTAAGTAATCATCATTTGGGGTTGGGAGAGGGTGAGTATTACCTTTATTTTAAGACCAGAATCACTATGAGTATGAGTCTTGGATAGTTTTCTCATAATCTCAGCCCCGGTCACAGGTCCAGAAGAAACCCCAGCAGGTGGGGCCCGAGTACCAGATCCTTCCAGAAGCATTGTATGTTCACTGACAGTGGCTGAAACATACAACAGTTGTATAAATTAATAACAGGAACATGTAGCCTATATTAGTGGTTACTAGGCCAGCTGTCAGTTCTAGGATTATAACACATTTACTCTTTTTTTCATATTCATCTTTTTTCCTTGTCTATTGGCCATGTCTATAAAATTTGCATGATATTTTTAAAAAAAAATCTTCGCATAAAATTCTCCATTATTCATTTATATTAATCATAGCGCAGAACTTTACATTACATTAAAGCGTTATTTTTGTTACAATGCAAGACAAGGGCCAATACAACTGATATCTACCGTATTTCTTCAATTATAAAGCATCATTGATTGTAAAACGCACCCTAATTTCAATACCTACATTACCAAAAAATATAAGATACACCTGCAATTCTGAGATGAAGCCAATTTGTAGAGATGTTCAAATAAGAACTACATCTCAGAATTGAAGAAATGCAATAATCACCAGATATTTTCCAATATGCACACTTTTCAATCCAGCACAGTTAACAAAAAGGAGTCAACATTCATTGGGTTAAGCACTTTGAAAGAGGATGCCGACACTAAATAGAATGTAAGAGCAACCAAATAGCGTATATACTCGAGTATAAGACGAGTATTTCAGCCCTTTTTTTGGGCTGAAAAATTTATTTATTTATTTATTT